CCTTTGTGGTGGTTGTCCAGGTTGCTATTAAAGTTGTTCATGTGTTGATGTTTGAAAACCAGTTTGATTCACGTGTTCTGTGCCTTTATGACTTGTCCCCAATGTTGGTTGACTGAAATATGTGAGCTTACCTTGTGTAGTACTTGGTTTGCTTGGGGACAAGCAAACAGTTAAGTGTGGGGGAATTTGATAGCATCGTATTTGCACGTGTTTTCACTCTGGTTTCCTGTCCATTTTGGCTCGGATTGATTGTTCCTTGGCCTATTTTACGCTAGGTTGTGTTGTTTTGTCGTATTTCAGGTCCTAGCAAGTAAAGAGGTGCATAGGCGCAAGTTTCGGGTCATTTGGAGGTCAAATGGCGAATCACAGAGAGAATTACGGGCAGCCCCTGCCAAATTACGGCCATAATTGGCCAGGGCATGCCCGTAATTAAATGGCCGAGCCTTCTCCCCAGAATTCCCTCTCGGTGGTAAAATTACGGGCAAGACCCCAAGAATTACGGCCGTAATTCCCAAATTACTGGCGGTAATTGGGAAATTACGGGCGTATCTCCTCCTCCTGCAGGTTAAGTGAAACGTGCGTTTTGGTGTGAATTACAGGCAGGAAGTGATTACGGCCGTAATCCTGCCCGTAATTCGCCCAGAGTCGGGTTTTTGGAGGCAGATTCGAGCCAAGGAAGAGGAATTCGATTTTCTGGGCAAAAACAGAGTTTTAGAGAGAGAAAGAGCGAAGAACAAACCCTAGGAGCTATTTTGGAGTGGATTTCTCATCATTGAAGCCCGGATTGCGTCCCTAGGAGTGAAGATTGACATCCCATAGCAGATTTTCCTCATCTTTATGAGTATGACTACTCTGATTTCCGTTTTCCTTTCTCTCTCTATGGAGTAGAACCTTTCTCTCACTTGGGTATGAAGAACCCTAGTTCCTTGTGTTAATGATTTGATTGTAATGACTTGGGATGATATTACTGTTTGATTTTAATCGAATGATGCATGTTTATTGAATTGATTGGAGTTTGATCAGCTTTTCTCAATTTCTGCTGCAACCTGAAATAGATAGAATCTGATTAGGTTGTTAGAGCCTCTTCATTCGATAGTAGGAGGTTGGCTATACGAGAGTTAGCCAGTTTACTGCTTTGTACTGGTGTTCTTGGCGCCAGTAGTGGAGTTCTGTGTTCATAGCCTCAGCTTTCTATCCCGGTGAAGACTAGTCGTCTGCCGGGTAGTTAGACTGAGAGGGCTTGGTCAGCTTAAGAGATTCCAAGCTACTGTCGGATCTTCCGCAGTCTAATCATCAGTAAATCAACCCAGGGAATTGCAATTGAACTTAACCAAGGGGCTAGGGGGACTCATTCCCGAGTGACTCTTACCTGCTTTTGAAAACCGAACCATTTCCTGCTTTCTTACTGCTTTTGCTTTAAACAACAATCACTTGAATTAGTTTGCTAGATAATAGAGAATCACGGAGTAAGCAGTAGATCTAGACCCCGGGTTGATAATATAACTTGCCTGTTACTGCATTCCCGGACTGCGATTACACTTGGTCGCAGTTTGGTGTTGTGTTTTGGCGTGTCACCCGTCCCGGGTATTATCCGGTATGACCTCGCGGTATGACCCGACTCGCAGTAGTATGGGGCGGGGCGGGGCATGAGTATCTACTTCCGACCTGCCTTGTCCTGCCTTGTTCCATTTTTTGTCAATTCTATCTCAATTTCTTACAATCTCTATACATATTTCTCCGGGTAAATGGCACATTTGGTCAATGGGATTAGTAAATCGTGTTATGTATAGTCACTAGAAAAAAATTAATATCAATTTTGGTCACTCGAATTACTGAAGTTAGACGGAAACCAACAGTAGAGTGACTAAATGCGACTTGTTTCAGTAATTCGAGTGACCAAAATTTATATTAATTTTTTCTAGTGACTAAACATGACATGATTTAGTAATATCAGTGACCAAATGTGGCATTTATCCTATTTCTCCTATTTTGACTTTCTTCAACTAGTTAGAGTCGATCTTTCAATTTGTTAAACTCAATTACCCATTATGTTATAACTATTTTCATTCATAAAGTGTTTTCCTCTTTGTTTTATCGTAAAAAGTAAAATTTACGTGTATTTTTTTCAAATAATATGTAAAAGTAGGTCGACCCGCCCAACCCCGTACCCGCGTGAGTTTTACCCGACCCGTAGTAGTGTGGGTCGGAGCATGGGTATTGACGTACCCGCCCCACCCCATTGCCATCACTATTGGATGCGGGATCATTTTGGTTATTTGGTATTTTGAATCAAAGTACTGCATGAATAGTCTAGTTGTTTTGTTATATGATAGAACATTCACATGTTGTGGTATTTCACCACTTAAAGAAGGGAGGAGTGAGTTAAAACCGTAAAAAAAATTATCTAGTCGGGGAGGAGGTATTTTAATTGACTCATTGTGCATCATTTCGATTGTCGTGCCCCCCCTCCCCCCCCCCCCCATTATTTGCTTTTTGTTTGCCAAACGAGTTATTCCGGATTAAATATAAACCGAAACAACTCATCCAAATGCTGATTCCATGCGACTCGAAAACGAACATTTGCTTCATATTTTTTTTTTCAATTGATGGGGAAGGCTCTACAACAAAGAAAATGGTGGGTTACCAGTGGAAGAAGAAAAAGTTACAACCTTGCGCGCGATCGAACTTAACACTACGGGAAAAATGGCCTCTTGCAACTCCCCCAAATGTGTTGCATTATGTCTTAAAAGGGTTGCGAAATCTTATGGCAACACTTTTGGTAGGGTTGCATATAGTGGGGGTTGCAAAAGGAATAGACAACTGTTTTTTCATTTTTCGCAACCCAAATATAAAGGGTTGCGTATCCTTACCTTTTACGCAACACCACTTTAGGCAACACATTTCACAACTTTTGCAACCCTTTTTTGTAAAATGGGCAACTAAGTTTTTTAACTTTGGGCAACAATAAAATTTGTATATGTGACGGGCTAAATCGTCACGAATAACTAACTCAATTGTGACATCATTGTTCGTAATGGAATAAAAACTTGCGTGACAATATTATCGTCAATAAAAATTCTTTTTGTGACAAGGTAGTCGAGTCACGAAAACTACCATTGTGACATGTCCATTTGTCACGAATAGTTACATGTGTGACCATAATTATGTCACAAATACATATTTTGAAATTCAAGGTAAGATTTAGGGGTCGAGTTGGTTGTCACTAAAGTAACTATTTGTGACGAAGTTTACTATCACGAATGTCCCCCATGTGTGACGAATTTCGATCGTCACTGCAATTCAGTATCGGTGATGAATAGATATGTCACAAATGATTTTCTTTTGTGGCAATCATTGTATTAGAAAAGCATATTTCTGTAAAAAAATGGTCACTAAAATAGTGAAACCGAATTCACCAGATAATACCCAAAAAAAATTACAACTTCAATTTGGCTAAGGAAAACTCTGAATAATATTCCAAGCAATCAAAACTATACATGGGTTACGAACGAAATTTTAAATCATCAAGTTCTTGGACTTCGTCATGCTTTGCTTGGAAGTCAACTAACTTTTTGTTCCTATTCTGAGAAGACTGTGAGCGAGTAGGAGTCTGGCTCTATCTTCCTTCTTCTTGTATAAGTGACACAACCAGTCTCATTACTATCAAAACAGAAAACAAAGGGTATATATCAAATCAGGCAAGAGAGAGGTGCAGTTAGCTGTCTTTTATTGTATTGCTGTAGGAAAAATAAATAAACAAAAAACAGAACCTGTTGCGAGGTGCTCTCGGTGAAGTCTGGCGAGCGGATGGAAGAGAAGAGTATTGAAGCCTCCGGAAATTGGTGAAGTGTTTGTTTCTAATCTTCGTGTGAACCCAGTAGTGATAAAAAGAATTAATAGGAAGGATAGAGGGCTTTCCTTTCTAATATCACAGTATATATGATCTTTAAAGGAAAAAAAGTTAAGGGTTAATTAGATAATTATGGTATGGAGGGAAAAGAAGATGGGAGGAAATCTTTTCTGTTAGCATAATTATCTTTCCTCGTTTTATAATGCATATCACGGATAGATCTTTTGGGTATTAAGTATTAATCTTTAGATTGCTACTGCAATGTGTAATTGATTTTATATTGTTGTTGCTATCTTTCTTTATGTTTAAATTTCATATACTTTTTTTATGGGTAAATACTAAATAGTTTCATTTATTATTTGATAGAATGTGTTGGTGAACTTTAGCATCAAATAATTTGAATGATTTACCTTTATCGGTGAAGAACTGCCATGGCGGTGAGAAATTTATCGTCTAGCCAATGGTGTAAAACAAAGATGTGAAAGGCACTAAGATATTTAGAGAAGTTTTTTCGAGCCACTATTTAGTTGAACCATTCAGTCCATAAAGCTTGTTGCAAATTTATGACATACTAATTGACTTTTCGTGTAAGAAAATTCTCGCCGAAACTTGTTTTTGCATGAACTTTTTCTCAAGAAGAATATATGTGCTATTTAGTAAAACGTAGCTGAAACAGTGACGATCAGTTGCACAATTTACAGTTTTTTTATTTATAAAGTTTCTCGAATCAGTGAAGTATATGTTCTCTTTAATCAAATTATTTACTTGCAATGATCAATAAAAGACTTGCCATAGATAAAAAGTCCACAGATGAAATTACCTCATTATATTTTGCAACTAATTTGCTATTATGTTGCATAAAGTATATGAATAAGCAACACCACAACAAATGTGTTGCATATAATAGAGAATATGCAACAGATAACTAAGTTGGGTTGCATATACTACCTAATACGCAACTCCAAAAAAGAGAGTTGCCAATACATACCTAACGTAACACTTTCGATTAGTGTTGCAATGTGGGTGTTGCAAGAGGTCTATTTTCCTGTAGTGTAAATGCCCCATTATGTCATCTTTGAGAATTGAAACTAACGAATTCATACCTACTACTACAAGGGATAGACGATACTATGTTTCGAAAAACCAATTCTCATGAGTCGTGAACCCAAACGTACTTCAACACATCCCCACTCGCCCCCTTGGTCACGTCCCTCGCGTACACGCCGGTACGCTTCACGGCCCAGTACACGTTGTTCTTGTGCTCCACGAACGCGTGCCGACTCCTCGACGAGTACGACACGAAGTCGACGTGGACCGACTGGCTGCCGTGGACGGCGGTGACGTGGCAGGGGTACTTGGTGACTCCGAAGAACCCCGGCTTGAACCGCCACGTGTACTCCCCTCCGTCCCCGACGTACTGGACCCCGAGGTCCTTGGTCTTCGTCAGGAACCTCTTGCCCCTGCAGTGCACCGTCATCACCACGCTGGACCCCAGCTCGTTGCTGATGTGGACGTGCTTGTACGGCCACAGGCTCCACTCCGGCTGCGCCACGTCATCGGGTTGCCCGGTGGCCGTTGTTAGGATTGTTGAAACGGCGGTGATGAGTAGTAGTGCTGCGGCGGCGTTCATTGTTTGTGTATTTATACTTTGATGGTATAATTACTATAATCTGTATGTTAGGAAGTGTTGGAACGAATTTATAAAATTAATCCTTCCGCCATGGAAGGTGGGAAGTACGTTATGAAAAGCCCTTGAACTTAGCTTGGATATTTTGTTCTTTGAAAGTGTCGTGTTTATCCCCTTTTTTTTATTTATAGTCTTTGCTATTATTGGATGATCTATTCAAGCGGATATCGTTAAATTTGTGTATATAGACACCCGGAAAGAAAATGTCTTACCAAACACAATTAAGCACTCAATGAAGAAGGACAATTAGGTGATCCGTAGTAACTCGGGTAAATCTAGGGTATCACATATCTTTTTGTGTGAAAAATGATATTTAGATCTCATATTAATTACATTATGGGACATGATATTATACTCTGATCGTTGATAAAACCATCGCGATCGTTATTATATCATACGTAATAATGTCAAGAGAACAATGGTCTTTCAGAAATTGCAGTCGACGGAGAACCGGTGCACACTCAGATGGGAATTACTTATCAAACGCGGAATCATGTTAAGAGAAATGAAAATGAAGTTGCTCATATTATGAAGTTGATCATATACCACAACACTTACACACCCCTCAAACGAAAGCCACTCACAAGGACTTGAAGTTTGCACAGGTTTGAAGACAAGAATACCATGTGCTTTAACAAATGGGGGTCACCGGGAATTGAACACAAGACCTCTCGATCACAGAAGGCTCTGATACCATGTCAAGAACCAGTTGCTCCCAATAACTCGAGTTGTTGGGAGAGGTTCAATCGCGGATCATATACCACAACACTTACAAACCAGTTGGTCCCAATAACTCGAGTTGTTGGGACCAACTGGTTCTTGACACGGTATCAGAGTTGGTTTGACCAAGTGGTCGTGTGTTCGAATCTCCACGACCCCCAATATTAACAGTTGTCTTCAAGCACATAGTATGGCGGGCCTGTGCAAACTTTAAGCCCATGAGTCGGTTTTCGTTTGAGGGGGCGTGTTAGAGAGTGGTATAAGATCCAGTATAACTTTCTCCCAACAACTCGAGTTATTGGGACCAACTGGTTCTTGTCAGAAACGAGAGTGTTATATTACTGGATATAGTCCTCTTCCAATGTGTTTACTGAATCAATTGTAGCTGGATGATGTAACAACACATCCAGATTAATAATAGCTAACTTGCAAACCAATCCAAGGTACGGTTCACTCTTATCCGCGCAACCCATCCATAATTTTACGAATATATAGGTGCAAATCATTTTTCATCGCCAACAAAATTATAAAAGCGTAGAATTTTATCCCGAAAACCACCCAACCCACCCACTCATGAAACACCCACATTTCTTAACATGGCCTAAAACAATTACACGTTTGGTCACTTCCACAGAAACCTATGGTTGTCTCCCCATTCCCGTATTTCAACTTGCAGGCGACGTTGCAGGTTTCTGGGCTGCAAACAGGGACTGCTTGTGCCGTTCCTATCTGACAAAATCCACTGCCTTCAACATTTCTAGTCGCCATTGCCACTTCATTTCCTGCATTATCAATTCATCACAAAATCAACACCCAAAAGATATGGGTAAACGGAAATAGGGTTATAAAGGGACAAAATAGTGAATGAAAAAGGAAAATATTATCAGGATATTTACCACCGACGACGAGAAATGTCAGTAAGAAGAGAAGGAAGATGTTGGAGCTCTTCATAATGCGGATTTAAGAACGAAGAATGTGTTAATATCACTAATCACGCGAATTGTCACTTTGAATGTAAGATCTCTATTTATATGCAAACGGAAGATTATATGATATGCATGTATATCGAAATCATTAATGGCGTATACCATATACTTTGCATGTATACTAAAATATTATATATGGTATTTAAATTCACCAAATATGTATATGTGAAAATTCTAGGATATATCTTTATATATATATAAAGAAAATTTTGGGATGTGCATGTATATCAAATAATTAGCCTACCAAGCTCCATTTTCCAAAAACTATAAGAGCAAGCTGTAATTTCCTTTCCAACAATTCCAGTTTTTTCCCCCCTCATAATAATAAAATCCATAGAAGGTATTTGATTCAATGAAATGGGCAATGCATGAATGTATAATGTGAATTGATTCTATTGTTTAAAATAATTTATTTATCGTGGCAAGTGATAGGGATGAAATTCAACTTGAAGTTAAAAGTTGTGGAGATAATGCTTTCTTAAACCCTCTAATATGCTTTTTGTTCTTTCTTAAAAAAAGTTCATTTTTGCCATATATTTCCAATTATTTTATGCTATCCAATGGACAATTTCATTTCCTTCTGAAAGTGGTGGCTCTTCTGTTTTTTTCTTCTTCTTCGTGTATATACCATAAAAGGACTAAAAACTGCACGAAATTTACCCTGCACAAAGTAGGATGACAAAATAACTCATCACCATAAAAGGACTAAAAACTGCACGAAATTTACCCTGCACAAAGTAGGATGACAAAATAACTCATCACCGTAGATATCCTATCGAAATCAAATTTGTTTTGTGAGGAAAAAATCAATTGATATTATTTTTTATTGGGTTTTTCTCGAACCAAACAAAGAGGATAATGGGTTTGGTGCGGTTTTGGTATTTACAGTATCCAGACTGAACATACCTAAATGTGTGTGTTATAACTATGTTATAGACTCATTCACTTTGTTGTCAAAAAAAAAAAAAAAGACTCATTCACTTTAACACTTCGTTCATTCATATCCCCAAATCATTATAATTTTCTCTCATACCACAAATCTTGTCCATTTTCTCTCATTTGTAAATATTGTGACAAATAAACTTCATTTCACATTGACATTCCAAAGAAATTTTATAGATTATGTCGGAAAACTTTATACATGATTATGTTCAGTATGGTGCGGGCGGGATTTCCCCGAACCGCATACTCATTACTTATAGTAATGCCATATTACATCCCCACCTTTTTTAATTACTGGGACGATTACAAATTTCAAAATCGTGATTGCGAGATATATATGAAAACCGGCCCCACACCAAACTCGTTGCGGTCCCTAATCGAAAGACAAATCATATTTGCAGTAGTTGATGATAAAACCATCACTCCACTAACATGAAAGCACTAGCAATAACGAAAGGAAGAAAGCTTTATTGGTGCACTAATTAAGTTACAAGAAATAGCTATAGTGACGATCAACATGGGCCGTAACAAATACAAGCACCATTTTCACATTGACCAACAACTGGGTTCCCGTACTTCAAGTCGCACTGAAAGAAGCATGTTTGGGGAACGCACTGAGGCGTGTCGAACGTCCCTACCTTGCACTTCTTCCCCCCATCTCCACCACCACCAACCCTCGTCGCTATTGCCACCTCGTTTCCTAAAAAAAAGAGAAGAAGAAATTAGCGACCACTTTAGATGCGATTCCATAACTGGTCGCGAATAGTAGGTTTTTAGCAACCAAAATTACTACATTCCGGTTGCAAAAACGTGATATTTGTGACCACTTTAAGATGCGATTCCATAATTGGTCGCGAATAGTGGGTTTTAGCAACCAAAACTACTACATTTCGGTTGCAAAAAGGTGATATTTGTGATAGTGAGCATAAACCAAGAATGTTTACAAGTTTTCATCAAAACATAAGAATTCAAAAAGGCTTAATCTTCATCAAATATTGATAGGGTAAAGAAAAATATGGAGAATCAAGAACGAGAAATTCGAATACAGACGAGATAGACTAAACGATGATATATAATTGCGAATCAAACAATATCTCTCTCTATGATGGAGGGAATTTACTTACCAATGATGACCAAAAGTGTCACCAAGAAGAGAAGGAAAATGTTGGAGTTCTTCATGCTTGGCTTGTTCACTTTTTTTTTTTAAAGAGAATAACTTGTGCAAAGTGAAGAGATTATAATGTTTGGAGAGATGAGAGAGAGGGGAGTGCTATTTATATGGCATTGATATTCTGGGATATGTTTTTTTTTAATATGGATAGTTGACCAATCATTTAATGACAGTGTTTTATATAGCTGACCTGTTCAAAAGGAGGGATTATGAAATGGTAGCTTATTGATTACAAAAACAATATCTAGAACAATTACTACTAGATTCTTTTGGTCAAAAAGGGCAATTAATGATAATGTGAAACCAATATTTCCTTTTTGTTGTATATGGGAAAAAGGGTATATGCGACATTCCATGTGTTTAGTGGATTCTACCTTGCCAATTTGAAGTTTTAATTTTTTAATCAGTGTTTTTAAAATCGTATCGTAATAATAATTTGACTCGATTTTTTTTACTGGAGTATAAATTGATAGACAATTTTAAAGGTATAAAACAGTTAAACGATACTTAAATACTAATTTCAACATAAAATAATTTTTTTTTTTACAATAACATAAAATAACTTACCGTTGATTTTTTGGGTGCAGTTTTGATTGATTTTACAATCCTTCGTTTTGATGCAAGGAGTGGTAATGGGAAAATGGACCTCGGCCCAGTTACCTGCTGTGCGGAGAGATAAACAAAGTCCAAGCCCAAACTTAAGCCCAAGCCTCAATGCAATGGAACGCCCACTGGGCACTATATACTAAAAACATAAATTATAAATTAAAATAGAAAATAGTGAAAACCACAACCCCTCACCAGTTTCATCCCCAATTGTTCAACTCCCAATCCCTCGCGCTCGCTCTTCTCTCTGTCTTCGTCTCGCTAGAAGCCGATCGAAGCCATGGCTATGAACGCAGGTCTCAGATCCGCCTCCAGGCTCTACGCAGCCTCCGAATCTCTCTTGTCTAAGTCAGGTTTGTTTTCAAAACTCTTTTCCCTTTTCGTTTCTCTTATCGCGCCGCGTTTGGTTGCTGAGAAATGCGGGGAAATTGAATTGAAACGAATTTTATAGTCATCGTCTTCCGTTTCTTTGGAAGTGGAGAGTTGGGAGTTTCGCATTGCCATTTCGTTAACATGTCCGGATCTTATCGGCGTGGAGAAATTTTTTATTTGCCTGATGATTCCCCAGTCCCGTTGTTGATTAGGGTTTGTAAACATGTATTTTATTTTGGTTGCGAAGAATTGGTGGAATCCGAATTTCTTAATGTGGAGATGAAGGTTTGGAGTTGAATATGTCCATTGTTGAGATGATAGATTAATGAACGGGATAATGATTTGTTTGAAGATGACATCTATTTGGAAATGATAGCTTTGCAGGGCGCAGTTGAAAGCAGTAAGAAGTAATATGGAGTTATCCGAGTTTGTATATGTTCGTTCTTAGAAAATGGGACTAGTTTTTCTATTTTTTCAGTGATCGTTCTTTTTTTTTTCCTGAGTTATGGTTTGGAAAGAAATCATGATTAGATTGACCGCGTCATGGTCTAAAGTGAAAATCTTTATTTGCTAATTTCTGCTGTAGTAGTTTCTTGAACTGTTACCTTGTCTTAGTGAGTTTCATTTTGTTAGGATTATCATATGCTATTAGTCTCTGTATCCAGTTCCTGTTGGACTTGAGTCCTATTTGTGGATGCAGCTTCTGATCTCTTCCTTAGACTAAGCAATCACATATCTGTATGCTACTGTCGATTAGATTTTAAGCAGTCATGGAACTGCTTCTAATTCCCTCATAACTTGGTAAATTTCCAAACTTTTACCAGCTCCTGTTCTCGGGTTCCTCCATTTGCCTGACGTTTTCCTGTTGCTGAAATAACTATGTGACACTTCACCTCACGTAACCTGTACCTCTTTTCTTTATGGATTATTTGAGAATCTTATGAATCCCTGCATGCTAACTGTTGTATCACAGGTTATTGCCATGTAGTGCTTATTATGTTATTATGTCAGCTAGCTTTTGTGACCTGGAGTAGTCTTCAGCAAATTGTCGATTTTACCCAACTGACAGCAAAGCATCTGTGATGTGTTGTGGCAGTGAACAGGAGTTTCCACTCGACTGGGGTGAAGAGGATGGGAGGCCATGGTCATGATGAACCGTTCTATATGCACGCTAAGCACATGTACAACTTGGACAGGATGAAGTATCAGAAAATCAAGATGCCTCTTGCTGTCCTGACTGCCTTCTCCATTGGCGTGGGAGTTCCAGTATATGCTGTCATTTTCCAGCAGAAGAAGACTGCTTCCGCCTGAAGCCTGGTACTGGCGCTCATGTGTGATTTCCGGACCAAAGTTTGGAGGTTTTTTTTTTGCTGGATTCCTATTATGAACTACTCACAGTTGGGTTGAATTAAGTTCGCTTGGTTGTGTTTTGCTTTCATTGTTTGTTAGGATTCTTGTTAAATGCACTCTATAATAAAGATCAACCAGTTACAGAATCTGGGAATATCTTTGAGATTGTTGTTTCATTTTTAGAGTGAATACTAAGCTTGAAAGTTGAAACTACGTTGTCGGTGGAATTGGAAACTCTTTTGCATGACTGACTGAGATGTTGGAGGCCGAAAATTTGAATGACGAATGGACAATGTGGCAGTGGCATGAGGCTGAATTAAGCCGATGCCCACCCCCAAGTTGCTCATTGCTCCGGTAACATTTCAGTTGGGCAGATCGTATTGACATTCAAGTTGATTATCTGTCATCCTAGTTGGAAGGTGAGAATTCACAGAGCACAATTAGACATCTTGGCTCATATAGGGCTTTGGGAAAAGATGAGCACATTCCCGTGTAGTGGACATAGTAACTTCACATACAAGTTATCATATGGAAGGATCTTAAGGCTGAAAATGATAACATGGCTTTCTACCCAGTTCTCAAATCGGATTAGGTAAATTCACAATAACAAGAAAAGAGAGAACGATAAGACCAGTCACCAGAGACTTAAATCAAAGTTCATGAACAGGTTGTTACACAAATTACCTCATCCATTGAAATCTGATGCTTGGGAACCAAGCAAGTTCAAAGGCGGGAGGAGACTGTTAATTGGTTGCAACAGAAACCTATCCAAATGGTTCCCATTTTGAGGCAGCAATCAAACTGAAGCCCTGATGTGTAGCATATTATGCTACCAACAGGATTCATGCAAAATCCTCTCTGCCATGGAAATCATCCCTTCTCGATGGCTCTCATTCAAACAATACGAAGATTACACAATCTTCAAGAACTCGAGACAGCAACAAAGGGAAGAATCCTGCAGTAGTAGTTTTCACTCTTTTCACTTGTGACAATCCAAAAGTTGTAACCCGAACTGTTGATCTACCTGACGCGGCTCTTTGATCTGTGAATCTAACGTGATCAATACCTCATAAATATGGTTCCTTTGAGGATGAGCCATATCTCCTGACACAAACACATTCTCTCTCCTCTCTACATCAATCCAGCTGCACCCTGCTGGCTTCTTCAAATCCCTCGCTTTCATCAGCTTCCTAATCTCCACTACTTTCTCCCACCTCTCATCAGCTGCAAAGATGTTTGAAAGTACAACATAATTACCAACGTCATTCGCTTCCATCTCGAATAGAGAATCGGCAACAGTTTTCCCCAACTCCACCTCATTATGGGTCTTGCAGGCGCCCAACAAAGCGCCCCATATACTTGCATTGGCAGCACCCTTCGACATCCCACTCACCAAGGTATAAGCATCATGAATTCGGCCACCTCGAGCAAGAAGATCAACCACACAACAATATTGTTCTACAGTTGGTCTCATTCCATACACCTTCTCCAAAGAGTCAAAGATTTGCAATCCTTTGTCTATAAAGCCGGAATGGCTGCAAGCAGATAGAACCGCGGTGAAGATGACATTATCTGGCTTTACACCCAACTCAATCATGTGAGAGAAAACCCTAACGGCCTCATTTCCCATACCGTGCATTGCATATCCACCAACCATGGAAGTGTATAAAATTAGATCCTTATGTTGCGTTGATTCGAAAAGCTTCTCGGCATAGCCTATGCTACCGGTTTTTGCATAGACATCCAGCAATGCACCATTTAAGCGGGGATCATTGAAGCAGGATCTAATCGCATAAGCATGACATTCCTTCAAGAGCTTTGAGCTAGCAATTTGAGCACATACTGGCAGGAGGCTCATAAGGGAAACTTCATCGGGCTTTGATCCACGAGCTAGTAGCTTGTGGAAAAGACTGAGAGCTTGGTCAGGGCATTCGTTCTCTGCATACGCTCGCACCATCAGATTCCAAGTCGTGAGATCCGTGCCAGGCATACTGCTGAAGATGGCATATGCATCTGCATGCAATCCAAAATTCAGGTATCCAGAAATCATGGAGTTGAAGGAAACCAAGTTCCGCTTCTCTGACATGGTCTGGAAGACCTTGAAGGAATGATCAAGATTGCCACATTGAGCATATGCAGCAAGTAATGCATTTCCAACTCTAGGTTCATCAGTAGAATGTAAGAAATGATTCCTGATTGAGTAGCCATGGGTCTCTTTAACTTTATCTTCCCTCAAAACATTCTCACAATACTGGATCACGCTTAGAATGGTAATGGAATCGGGCACAAATCCTTCTATAAACATCAATTCTATTAAATGCACAAACTGAACATCGCTCCTTCCAGCAAATGCATCAAGGATAGAGTTCCATGAGATCAAGTCTCTCCTATCAGTCATGGAAAATGTTCGATATGCTGCTTTCACATCCTCGCATTTTGCATAAAAGTTCATCAATGCATTGGATACAGATGTATCCTCACACAAGAAGGGGTTCCTGAGAACATAGCCATGGATCTCTCTCCCACGTCTCAGGTCCCTCAATTGTGCACAGGCAGGAAGCACGCTAACAAATGTGACCGAATCTGGCCTGACAGCGTCTAGGTCAAGCATTTGATCAAACACTCCCAAGGCCTTTGACCACTTGCCATTCGATGCATACCCTCCAATGATAGCATTCCATGACACCAAATCTCTGAATTCCATCCTGTGAAAAAGCAACTCAGCTGCCTCTATCTGTCCAACCCTCAAGTAAAAGCTCACAAGAGCATTATAAATCGACAAGTCCCTCAGAAACTCGTTACTTCGGAGAACATAGCCATGAATCTCTTTACCAAAGCAGTAGCCACTGTCCTTATACAGAGATGAGCATACAGGAAGAATATTAGCAATGGTGGCATAATTCGGCTTTACCTCACCTTCTTGCATCAACCTGAATAGCCTGAACGCATCACTCATCAACTTGTTCTCAGAAAACCCAGCAATAACCGCGTTCCACGAAACAACATCTTTGTCAATTATGCTATCGAAGGCAGCATAGGCATCAGTACTAACCAGTCCCAATTTCGCATACATTGATACCAAAGCATTTCCCACAAGTGTATGTGTTTCCAAGCCAGATTTAATTGCATAGCAATGAACATTCCTACCTGCATATAAATCTCCCATGCGAGCACATACAGGAACGACGGTGGCAATGGTAACAGAAGTTGGCTTTGGTTGATTAGCAGAATGCATTCTGGTGAACAACTGGAATGTTTCAGCTTCGTACTTCCTCGAGCCAGCAAACCCAGATAAGAGTATATTGTGGAAGACTGCATCGTGCTGACAATCACCCACTTCCCCAAATAACTTCTTGGAATCGCTAAGAGCTCCACACTTAGCATACAGGTTGAGCAAACCTTTGGAGACGTACTGACAAGAGAGATGGCCTAGTTTACAGATACGACCATGGAGGGCGCTGCCGAATTTGATGGACGAGAAAGCGGCGCAGGATTTGAGAACTGAAGCGAACAATTGGTAATCGAGTTCACCACCAGAGGAGGAAGCGCTGCAATTAACTATGGCGTCCCAAGCTCTAGAATCAGCTCTGTCTAGCATTTACCCACAAACGAAGAACCTTCTTCACTATCAGTGAGTGGTGTTACAGCTTAAAGCTCCCATCTTTTCGCGGTGAGCAGCTCATGGGCATTCTCTCAAGAGCCAACAGCCAATTTGTTATTTCAACAAATAGGTTGAGAACTTGAGAAGTACTGGTGAAAAAGATAGATATCTGAGGACTTGATGTAAAAACGATTTGAAGTAGAAGGATCAATTCGGAAAAAGTACATTTTAAGCTCTTAAAGCGGAACGGCGGAATCTATTGACCCGACCCGAACCTTTTCCCGAATTCCGATTCTCCCTTTCTCTCTCCGCCGCTGCATTTTCAAGGGCACAACGACGATCACGGCGATTTAGGATTTAGCCCGATTTCCATTTTCCCTTTCGTATTTCGTTTGTGTTCTTCTCGGTCCGATTCTGTTTTCCGGCGATATCCATGGCGAAATCGGAGAGTTCGAAATCCAACAATCCGGCGGCTTACGTTGGCACCTCAGCTAAAATCCATCCTTCCAATGAATTCGAGATCAATCCTCAGGATTGCTCCCTCGAGAAGTTCAAGCTCTACGAGACCAGACAGGTTTGTGGCTGAAAGTTGATCTCCCTATTTCGGTTCTTCGTGCCGTAGATTTTGCTATTGAGATTTTGCTGTCGCCTTTTATGGATGAGTTTATGATTAGAAGATATTGGAAAAGTGAGATTGGCTTGTGGCTGTTGATGTGGGGCATTCGCAGGCAGATGTTTAGCTGTTTGGATTCTGGGAAAATGTAGAGAACAACGTACTTTCAATTTCCCTGGTTATTTGTTCAAGTGGACTTGATACTTTAGGGGTCATTTTGATTGATTTCGGGATCATTGCAGTGTTTGATAGAGACTCATGTGAGAGCTAATACTAGTTTCCTAACTTAGATTTCACCATTGTTTATCAAGAATTAGTGCACTTGGAAGTTAGTTAGTTAGTTAGTTAGTGGGCACATTTGTTCATTTTATGTTGTGGTATTTTATGAAGTTTCGATTCGTTTTCTTTCATCACTGGAGTTCGTTCAACTTTACATTCTTTTGTGTTTGTTTAAGCAGAGGTTTTACTTAATTGGGAGCGATAGGAATAAGAGGTTCTTTCGGGTGTTAAAGATTGATCGTTCAGAGCCGTCTGATCTCAATATTAGTGAAGATCCTGTAGTTTATTCTCCACAAGAAATGAAGAGCTTGCTTCAGCGGATTGCTGAAGGGAATCGCTCGACTGGTGGCCTAACTTTTGTGGCAAAGGTTTATGGAATTGCAGGTTGGTTTTACAAGCTATATTTATTTCAACATTCCGATACATGATGATTATCGTGTTAATGCTCCCTGTTCTCTTTTTCAGGTTGTATAAAGTTTCTGGAGTCTTATTATTTGATTTTGGTCACCAAGCGTCGGCAAATAGGTTGCATATGTGGCCATGCTATATATGGTATAGACGAAAGCCAATTGATTACAGTCCCTCATGTTTCTATTCAGACTGATATTGCACATTCTAAAACTGAGCTAAGGTACTTCCTCTTGCTCTATTTTCTTCTGCTAAAGCTATCCTTCTCTCCTTAGAGAGGGTGCTGGTGGAACGACTGTCAGAGTTAGTATTATTGTGATCTAGTGCAGGTACAAGAAACTGTTGTCCAGTGTTGATTTGACAAAGGATTTCTTCTTCAGCTATACATATCCGGTAATGCAATGTTTGCAGAAGAATGTGTCTTCTGCAAGCGAAGTCAAGATGTCATATGATGACATATTTGTGTGGAATGAGTACTTAACGCGACCTATTCGGATGAGATGCAGTAATACTATTTGGACAATTGCTTTGGTCCACGGGAACTTCAAGCAGGTTTGCAGTTATTTTTCTCCACTCATCTGTGGTGCTATGGCTGTAGAAATTGTTGCTGTTGGTAACTATCAACCAAGTTATATTTGTACTCGGTATGTTTTTTTTTTATGAGGGTGATATCTTAGCTGTATGTTTTTGGACCATAATAAAACTTTACTCACTTGCAATGTAGATAATGTTGAATTTTTTCCGTTTTACTTCAACAAAATTTGCTGAATATGGTTGTGCACATGCAACATTTCCAGTACTAGAGATACCACTTACACAATTTTTGCATCAGCCACCTGATGTATACTTTAGGAACTTTTGTGCTGTATTGTCCTCATCCTAATCTGGGGTCTGATGACCTTAAGATATTTAACATTTGTGCTTCAGAATTTTGATAATTTTTGTCGCCTATGATTGCAGACAAGGTTGTCAATCTTTGGCAGGGACTTCAGTGTATCTTTGGTTTCCAGACGCTCTCGTCATTTTGCAGGGACTCGGTATGCATTGCTTTTAATTTATGATGTATTGTTTACTACCTTGCCATTACATTCCTTCTATGTGCTATCTATTTTTAGGGATTTTGAAGCTTGTGCAATGCTGCTTTCTAGTTTTTATGCTCACTGTTTTCCAACAATCAGATGTTCCTGTAGGGACTTGATTTTCTATGATTAAGATGCACTACTCTATTACACTTTATGTAGTAACAATGTTCTTTTTTCAAGTCATGTTGTGAAATATTCCTTATTGAGATTTGCTCCCGAATGTTCAGTTGAAGTCATTCTGCTGGTTATGTTTATGACATTGACAAAGAGTATTTCATGGTTGCATTGGGATGCTAAGAGGATTTTTGTCAGAGCCCTTGTATTATAGTTATGTCCTACACTTGTGAAAATTTCAATGCTTGAATTGGCAGTTACCTGAAAAGAGGAGTGAATGATTGGGGAAGGGTAGCAAATGATGTGGAAACAGAACAAATTGTCCTTGATGATGAGGCTGGTTCATGCAAGGGGAAAATGAGCTCAGTAGTACAAATGCGCGGCTCTATTCCCCTTTTCTGGTCACAAGAAGCTTCAAGATTTAGTCCAAAACCTGACATCGTCTGTAAGAACTTACTTCTCTTATAGCTTTTCTTTCCATTGTATGTATTACATACCTATCATGCTCCATCTTTTATGAGCATTCCACTTATTCATTTTGCAATAGTGCAAAGGTATGATCCAACGTATGAGGCAACAAAACTGCATTTTGAAGATCTGATGAAGAGATATGGGAATCCAATCATCGTTCTAAATTTAATTAAGGTATTTAAAGCCCTTTCAGGCAAGTGCTAGCTATGACTGAATTTGTATGGTTGCTCTGCTGTAATTGTATATAAAAAACCATCAAAATGCATAAATTTGCAGACGGTTGAGAAGAGGCCTAGAGAAATGATGCTTAGGAGGGAGTTTGCAAATGCTGTTGGATATTTGAACACAATTCTTCCAGAGGAAAGCCATTTGAAATTCATACACTGGGACTTCCACAAATTTGCCAAGACGTAAGAAAATGTGTCTGACAATTTCATAGTTTAGGTTATTCGTGTCCTTAATCTGACACTTAGGCTGTATTTTTTTTCTTTTTCAAAAGCAAGTCAGCCAACGTTTTAGCTGTTTTGGGCGCTGTAGCAAGGGAAGCACTGGATTTGACTGGCTTCTATTATAGTGGTAAAACCGTTGTTGTCAAGAGGAGAGCCAACGTGTTGAGCCGAACAAGCACTGCAAGGTAATTCTGATGCTTGTATCCTGGAAATTTAAGAGTGCAAGAGTTTGAAAGAGTTAAGTAAAAGTGTGAATATCGATTGAAAACTTGGTTATTTGATTGACTAGAGGCACCAACTAGTCCAGTCTTCTATCTTTAGGCCACAAGAGCAAAAATGTTTTAAAAGTTGTGTGGACATAGCACGCCTAAGAATTAATCTTGAAATTTATGTTCTGTTCAGCTCCATTCTTTCAACTGTTGTAGCAGCGGTATATTTTCCTTCATTCGTAATGCATAGCTAGCCTTGGGGAAACATATTTTTCACCTCCAACATCCCTTCCCCCCTCCAAATAAAAACCCCAAAGTCTAGAAAAATTAGGTTCTGAAGTTTTATTACCAAGTATTTCTTTATATTATACCTATTTATAAAGTGACAGGCTATATATTCAACGAAAGTTGGTGTGGGACTTATTTCAAGAGGAATGAGACATTTTTCATCTTCCCTTGTCCTCTATTTGTTTACAGGGATGCTTCACTTAGAGATATCAGAACTGGCTCTGGTGAGCTTGTACGGGTCGCAAGCAGTAATGAGAGCTTGAACTCCATTCTTAATCGGGACAGAGAGCCAGCTCCTCTTCCCAGTAGCAACCAAGACAATCCCAACACTGATGGACCACGCTTGCAAAGTGGAGTTCTTCGTACTAACTGCATCGACTGCTTGGACCGCACCAATGTTGCCCAATATGCTTATGGTTTAGCAGCTTTAGGACGCCAACTTCACGCAATGAATCTCACGGATGTGCCCAAAGTGGACGCCGATAGCTCCATTGCTGCGGCTCTCATGGATATGTATCAGAGTATGGGAGACGCTCTGGCACAACAGTATGGTGGCTCGGCTGCGCACAACACTGTATCTATTCCTAATCCGAGATTTTTTTACTTGTTGATTGATAGTGATTCTTGTCTCGTCCTTCAACTTTGTCGTTGTATATTTCAGGTTTTCCTCGAGAGGCAAGGGAAGTGGAAAGCTACAACTCAATCTAGAGAGTTTATTAAGTCAATCAAGAGATATTACAGCAATGCTTATACTGATGGTGAAAAGCAGGATGCGATAAACTTGTATGTAGGCTTTCCTCTGCACTTTGAAACTAGACTATAACATCTTGTAAAAGTCTTTGAATGGTTTCTATTCTGTCTCACCAGGTTCCTTGGTTACTTCCGGCCACAAGAAGGGAGACCGGCTCTCTGGGAGTTAGATACCGACTACTATCTTCACGTTGCAGCAGTTGGAGATGACCCTGTGGAGAATGGGTGAGCAGACAGACAAAATTTTACAGTTCTGATATCATAATTTTCCCACTTGACTCAATTGCACGAACTTCATTTGCAGCATTGATACAACAAATCTGGGACCTGGTGTAGGATTGAACCTTGCTCCTATTCCTGCTTGTAAGGAAGACTTTTCCCGAATGAAGTTGACATCCTTCGATAAGTTAATCGAGAGGACATGCAGTTCGATAAGAGATGTTAGATTGTCGAGTGAAGCCGATCAACGACCAGGAGGCTATGGCTCTGGAACCTCAGGCGTCGCACCTGATGCAGCGTAAGTATCCCTAACATAAAATATTCATAGGGGTGGGGGTTAACAGTTACCTGGTGACCATATAATACAAACAGTTTCGATTCTAAGTATCCCTCAATGGTTTTTATGTTTCTGGTTCAGTTAAGCGGTTACTCACCTTGATATAACACGCATTCTGAGTTCTGACCCCATTTGTGCAGTGAAATCCAGCTTAAAAGTCCAAATTGGCTCTTCGGCCAGAGGAAACATGAAGGGACGGCTGCCAAGGAAGTGGAGCGAGAAACAGATAATGAAGGCGACGAAGATGGTGGCATTGGCTCTCTATGTGATATAAATTGGCTGTCCTCTTCCAGTGATGCCAATGAACAAGATGTCTTCCAAAAGTAACATTATTTTAACGAGCATTTCCCCCGTCATCGCCCACATTTCTCAGAATGCTGAAATCTACTATTTTCTCGCCTGTACAGATACCTCGAAATGACCTCTGTTGATGAATCCACGGGATGGTACGGTGGCTCACTGCTGGCTGATCAAGACGAAAACAGTGAGATATACAAACATTATGCTGAATTATGTCAGGTAATAAATTCTCAGTGAGATACAAACTTTGACATCTTATGCTTTGGACGCATCTCCTTTTAGCTTCTAAGTGCTTGGATTCATCGATACAGGGCCCTGCGAGGGATCTCTTCCGCCATGATCCAGAAATGGAGCAGCATTACACGGACGTTCTACGCATGAATGCCATCGATGTAGTGGACAATGCTTCGGTGGAAGCCGAGATGGAAGCAGCTCTGAACGATTACGATCAAATCGGGCTTGATCTTGGGATACTGCCGATGTCGTGCAAGCCCTTTGCTGATGATCCCAGTTGGCTGACTAGGTTGATCCTTGGGGAGGGGAACTGCTGAGAGGGTGTGAAAAAAAACTGCTAATAATGAGTACATTATCCCCTCGTTGCTTCTTCTCTTGTCTATTTTCCTGAAGTTGTGTATTCCTTCGTCCCACTCTGATAAGTTTATTGTGTATCTGTTGTAAATCTTGCTTAAAATTCTTCAGATTGCAGTGAGATGAAAAGTGAGACACTGAAAGATGAACAAGTACATAGTTTGTAACACCATTGTAGTCTTTGAAGTGTAAACAAAATTACTTCGTTGTATGAAAAAAAAAAAGAACAAAGAAGAGCATGGTACTGATTATTGATTGACAGTTTTTTTTTTTTTTTTGTCCTAGAGATAACAAGAGAAAAGTTAGGAAAAACACAAAACTCTCACTCCATATACCCTCAAAACAGTACTCAAAAGGAGTCCGCCTAAAAAATCAATGAAACTAACTCTAAAGGAGATAGCGATAGCGTTTTAAGCGTCACTCTATGAGGAACTCCGAGGAGACCAGCTGGCGATGCTCTTGGAGCAAGGATCCATCTAAAGAATCCGCCACCACACCTAGGCGAAGCTGACGAATCGTCTTTTGGGATATATCATACAATGTTATGCGAAAAGAACAGCTGAACATCATACAATGTAACGCGGAAGAAAGTCAGAAATTGCAGATGTTGGAAGTGGCCGGTTCCATTACTACTACACCAACAAAGTGTGAAAACCCAAAATAGAAAGGAAAAAACAGAGTCAACAAGAGATTTGAAATGCCATTATGCCAAAACAAAACCAGACTCTAGCTTTGGACATATTCCTCCTAAAGAAGAATAATACAGCCAAAATAATGGTATATATATGTGGGTATTAATACCTAGTAAATCACCATCTCAAACAAAGGGAGACCAATTACGTACAATCAGAGCAAATTAGAGGATAATTTGATGAGTTGGGAAAATTGATCAACAGAGCATCTTAGAGTTTACTCACAACATTATTATTGGTGGAAAACATCCACATCAATCAATTTTCCCCCCATATATCCTCCACATGCCATAATTCATCTTCATTTGAGTTTCTCTCAAACATCCCATATCTCAACCTTACAGTTGCTCTCTCTCTCTCTCTCTCTCTCTCTTTCCTCCTTTTCTTTCTGCAGAAACCATGAAGGGTTGCTTCAACATCACGGCAACCTTAGGTTTAGCATTCTCCTTGTTCCTCATCTTCTTCCCTCACTCTTGCTTTTCTCGCAAGATAAGTAGTAGTGCAAGTGTTAACAATGGTTCAAACATCTTCAATGTGCTCGACTATGGAGCTGTTGCAGATGGAAAAACGGATAATTCACAGGTATGAAACTATGAAGCGACTTTTGTTTGAGGGGACTTGTTAGTATGTGGTGTAAGATCCATTTACCGGCCAGAACCTCTTTCCAGTTCTTGACACAAAGTTTCATGTTTGAATACAAACGCTCGAGATATCAATATTCATAAGCAATTCAAGCACAAAGATATATTATATTTGCATAAGCTTCAAGGCCATAGTTCAGTGTCGATTATCGATTATCGATACGAGTAGTACAGACAACTCGAGTTATTGGACCGATTAATTTGTCTGGAAATTAATTAATAAGGCTTTTGTTTGTTTTCTTATAACTAAAAGGCTTTTCTGAAAGCATGGAGCGATGCCTGTGGAGCATCATCATTGGCCAGCAACATGCCAACTCTGGTTGTACCAGCCGCCGGTAACCGTGAATTTCTGTTGAACCCTCTGGTTTTCCAAGGTCCATGCAACTCCTATCGCCTTCACTTTCAGGTAATAACAATAACAATAAAAATAAAGAATATAACGAAAATCTATCGTAAAAAAAGACTCGAATTATTGGAATTCGTTGATTTATAACGATACTTATTATCGTATATTATGAAATGAAAAAAAAAAAGGTGGGAGGTAGGATAGTGGCGCCCGACGAGACTGATGAGGCAGCGTGGAGGAATAACAGGCAGACATGGATTGCATTCTTCAACGTCGACGGCCTGAGCTTGAACGGCGGCGGCTCCTTCGACGGCCGCGGCCAGCTTTGGTGGGATTTATGCAAAGTACGTTCTATTTCTTTATTTTAATGTATATATTTTCTTTTTATGAATTAAATGTATATATATCTTATAAGCGTCAACATTTGGAATATTTTTTTTTTATTCTATATTTCGTCCCATCTTCACATTCCATAATTTGACACTTTTTTTTTTGTGGCTGGTTAATTCACAATATGCAGAACGAAGACTTCAACTGCACTCGGCCCACGGTAAGTTTTTGAGTTACCACTTTAACGTTAACTCGTATCATTTACGTAACGATTACGAGCGACAGTTTTGTTTTTTTTACGCGTAGCAGTTAAATCAGGAGCGTCACATAATAGATTAACATTTTTTAAGTAACACAAGGTTGATTTTTTTTCCTTACGTAAAAGAAACCATCCCCTTACGCTAAAATTTCCGCAATCACAATTTACAAACAACTGCGCGCCAGCTGAACGATAATTATTTCTTACGTAGCCGCTGATCGACGACGACCGGTAACTATCTTTGCTGCAGGCGCTGTACTTCAACAACTGCAACCGCCTCCGGCTGAGCAAGCTCCGCCACCTCAACAGCGCGAAGAACCACATCGGCATCTCCGCCTCCAACATCGTCCGAATCTCCCGCCTCGCCATCGCCGCCCCCGGCGACAGCCCCAACACCGACGGCATCGACATCTCCGGCTCCTCCTACGTCCGCGTCCGGGACACCGTCATCGGCACCGGCGACGACTGCATCGCCATCAACGGCTTCTGCTCCCACGTCGACGTCGCCCGGGTCGCCTGCGGGCCGGGCCACGGGATCAGCGTCGGCAGCCTGGGGGAGGACGGCGCTTACCAGACGGTGTCGGACGTCCGCGTCGCCGACTGTGTTTTTAACCGGACGCTTAGTGGCGCCAGGATCAAGACTTGGCAGGTATCCTATGGCGGCTTTATGTGGTCTGGTTCAATACGATCTTTTTTATTATGCATATCACATTGAGCGAAAAATGAACAATTTATTTAGTCAAACATACAAAAATCGATGTGGTTTTTATATCCTTAAAACATAGATTTCATCAAATATACATAATTCTGATACCATACATTCAAGTAAATAAAAAAAAACATAAAGTCAGATCAACAATCCAACTTGCATCATAGTGTCATAAACACTAATACACGAGCCGATCGCTCTCCAGGATTTGGGAGAGAGTGATCAAGTACTGAGTTTCTAACACGAGCCAAGAATTGGATTAGGTCCACGATTTGGTTTGGTAATGTCAGGGTCTGTACCAGGCTAGACCAAGAAATCAATACATCTTATAATACATTATCATAGACCAAAACAAAACCATTCTTAATTAATGGTCTGCAATCTTGACCAAACTGTATGTATCCGGGTTGGTCCACAACGATTTTACAAACGATCGTCTGGTCTATATTTTCTCCGCCCTATTCATTAGGTTGTGGAATTTGCCCCGGCGGAGCCACGTTAATTGGTAGGCGAGGGGCTATTAACGACGCTCCCTTCAACTCTCAAAATCGTGTAAATTTCGTAACAAATTTGAAAAATAGAGCAGGTGTTAAAGCTTTTTAGCTTCCTTCCCTTATTCAAATCTCCTAAACGTAAATTTTTAGTCCCGGCCCCGCTCATTTAGATTTCTAACTCCGCCACCGCCGAAAATGATTCATATAGTGAAGGTAACTCTCTCTTCTTCTTTTTTTTTTTCCAGGGCGGGAGTGGGTACGTAAAGAATGTCACTTTCGAGAGACTAAGGATGATCGACGCCGGGAACCCAATCATAATCAACCAAGACTACGTCAACAACCGCACCGGCAGCCCGCCGTCGAACATCCAGATCAGCGACGTCACATACGACGGCGTATCGGGCACTTCGAGCGTCCCCAGAGCAATCTACTTCCACTGCGAGGAGGGCACCTCGGGGAACGGCTGCGACGGGATTGTACTGAAAGACGTCCACATCGCGGCGGCGGCGGCCGGCGTGGAGACTTACGCCGTCTGCGTTAACGCCCACGGCACTTCCACGCCGTCCAATTTTCCTAGCGTCTCTTGCCTGGCGCCTTAATTAGTCGATTGCCAATTTTTTTGGGGGGTGTAAATAATGATCTATCTAGTTGTTACATGGTTCACATTATAGAACCTGATTAAAATGGAATTTTTCGAATTGATTAGTTGATTTGGTAGATTATTGATTGCAATATGTGTTTTTTTTTCTCCCCTTCTAGTAGCATGTGATTAAAGTAACGTAATTTTTGGTGATTTGCGGGTAGAATGTAGTTCATATTCAGTTGCAGAGCCAACATTTCAAACCAAACCATCCCTGTCGGCTTTTCATAATATAAATATATACATATTTAATTAAAAAAATTAATTAAAATTAATTAAATCTGCATAATTCATTCATGTATTAAAAATAAACCGACTATACAATCATTATTTTTAACAACCACGGAGAGATTTCATATTGTGAAAGAAACGCAAAGACATTCGTCGTCTGCACTATTAAATAAGTCTTTTTGCAATGTATCTCACTGAATTAGCATTAGCAAATTGGTCGCCAAATCGACTTGGAAACTTGTTCTTAATATAACTCAAAGCTGGAAAAAATGCTCTTTTTACATTTGCAGTTGTAATTCTTAGAATAAAAACTAGTGGAATTGTCGATGTCGCTAGACAATTTCAGGATTGTTGGGAGGGAAATCGAACAGGCATAAGGAGAAAAGAGATCCGATTAGGTCTTTATTGCAATTAAAATTCGTTTATAGTATAATAAATTAATTTTATGTCAATTTATGAATAAGTAATGAGTTGTGTTGTAGTGACAAAAAATACTGTAATACTACCTATAGGCATTGTTTTGCATCATCGATATAGCGTTATTTTGCATCACCAATATACATATATACGACGGATTATAGAGAATGAGTCTCTTTAGTTTCCTATGGCTGAAACGCTTCGGTTGAAACTAAGTAATGCGTGCCCAGAATATATTTGAGATACACTAAAATGCATGCCAGAAACATAGCACTGCCTGTAACAAATACAAGCATGCATATTGAAAACACTAGAAATATACTAAAGCATAATACAAGAAAATATACTAGAAAGATAGGGAAAGAGGAATCAAAATATTTCTACACTTATACTAAAACCTATTCTCCATTAAAATTTTGGAGCGACAGAAGCCAATATCTTCCATTGTCGTCCAGCGGTTAGGATATCTGGCTTTCACCCAGGAGACCCGGGTTCGATTCCCGGCAATGGAACTTTTTTTAATTTTCCAGAGACTCAACATATTGGGTTCAAAAATTGCTACCGAGCTACACCAGAGAACTCAGAAAGAAACCAGTGTTGCTTGGCGAAACAAGCTGGATTTTCTCGCTTGAAATGAGTTCATTGTTCGAATTTGACGCACTTCTATAGGTATGTATTGTAAACCATTCGTTATGTTTTGACCGGGGGAAGAAAAAGATGCAATGTATCGCTCTAAGATTATCTAATTTTGAATGTTTCTCAAGTCCAACCAAATCGAAATAAGAATTCAGTTAAACTCCCTAGAGTAGGGGTGGGAATCGGTCGGTAAACGGTAAACCGTTTACCGAATTTACCGGTTTCGGTATACCGACGGTGGGCAAACTGGTTACCGTTTACCGATACCGGTTTGTAACCGGTTTACCGATTACCGAATTACCGGTAAACGGTTACAAACCGGTTTACCGAATTACCGCCCGAGCTAATTTGTTGAGTTGCTGGTTTGCGTTGGAGGAGGAATGGCGGATGGCCTGTTGGCTGGAGGAGGAATGGCGGATGGCTGTTGGTGGGCATTGGCTGTTGGGACTGGGAGGAGGACAGCAGAGGCGATTATTGGATGCGTTTCCGTCTCTGCCGGGGAAATCGAGAGGGGGCAGAGATGGAGATTTGGTGAGTGATGTGAGGGTTGGGACTGGGAGGAGGACGGAAGAGGCAGGGGATTAGGACTGGTGAGTGATTGTTCGAGTGATGTGAGGGTTTGGAAACTTTGGATGCAGGGGATTAGGGCAGGTGGTGGCGGCCCGCAACTGGAGGAGGAATGGCGGCGCGGCGTCTTCTGCTCTGCGTCGGGCGAAGGAGAAGCGGAGTGGAGAGGCGGCGGGAGAGGCGGACTGGAGAAGAGAGGCGGCGGCGTCTTCTGCTCTGCGTCGCCGTCGGCGACTCTGCGTGGAAGGGGAAGGGTCGAAGGCACGAAGCGGCGAGGGCGAAGGGATGAAGCGGCGAGGGCGAAGGGGCGAAGGAGGCGTTTGCGTTTTGGCAGGGGCGCGCAGCCTTTCAGCTAGGGTTTCATTCCCTAAAACGCCGGCGTTTCCAATTCGGTATTTACCGACGGTAAATACCGACCCTGTGTCCGGTAAATTGGATCTTCGCCGTCGCCACCGGATACCGATACCGACGGTAATCGGTTTACCGTTTACCGACCTTTACCGGTTCGGTAAAACGGTAAACCGGTTACCGTATTACCGATTCCCACCCCTACCCTAGAGGAACTGAAGGAAACTAATGTTTCAAAAACACAGTTTCTTCCCGAGAAACCTACCGTAGGAAAGACCAATGATTTGGTGGAGAAACCTTCCTTCCGTAGGAAAGACCAATAATTTGGCAACCATAGTGTAGAATAGAACTAATGATCACAAATCAACTCCTAAAAGTTTTCTATAGTGTCTCCTCTCTCTATCCAAACAGAAACTGAAAGAAAGCTCTTATCTTTCTTCCCGTCAAGACAAAAAAAAAAGTAAAATGCCAATCTTATTCGAGAAAGAAAGCAACCAAATTTTCAGTCTTTGGCTATTGTACAAATCATCACATGGACAGCAAACAAAGAAAATGAAGGGGGGGGAAAAGATCAATCTTTCTACTTCAAATTACCACCAAGGAGCTGCTGCACGTGAAAGAAGAAGAACTGGTTTGTGTTCCACCAGAAGAGAGTTAAAGAATTCGTCACACTTTCAAATCTGGGTAATCAGCAAGTCCAAGAGCTTGATCTCTTGAGCACAGGCTTCATTTGCTTGTCCTCTTCGAGTGAGATCATTCCCAAGTGCGAAGGATCCTCGAGCAGCATCTTTGCCACCAGATATCCAGCGATGGACCATGTCTGATACTTCCTTGCCTGCTTACCTACATATCTACCGAGCTTCCCATCGTAGTACTCCGGCCAACCGTCCTTCAGCAGCCGTTGCTCGGCAAGATCGATCGCTCTTCTCGCAATTTGGGGCCTTCCCGTCTTGATGCAGGCAGCGGTCAGCATCCACAAAAGCACTGAATAGGGAAACATTCATGAGGGGCCAGTATCAGCAGAGTAAAATGACAATGGTGATACTCAATCTTAGCATGTAACTCGAGCTCTCTTTTATTAATTTCCAAAGTTCGAAAGTAACTGCACTAGCAAGTAGCAATCTTTCTACACGGCCCCTAGATGATAGTTTGTATTCAATAACCAATGCATGAGAAATATTAGCCAAATAAGACGGAGAAGAAAAGAGACAGACCTGGCCAAGACCCGCCATTGTGATAGCTCCACCTCGTGTTCTTGGGATCACAGCCCGTGACAATGCGCCATTCATGGCTCTCTATAGCAGGATAAGCAATTTTGAGAGGCATTTCTCCAACCAACTCCTCCCAGCGAGATTCGATGAGATCCATGATGGCCATCGACTGTTCCGGAGTGGTGAGAGACGCTAGGATGGCAACACAATTCCCCAAAGCGAACCATCGGAAATCCATCCTTGCTGGACTCACATTGCCAATGAAGTAGCCACCGCGGGTTGGCATAAAGTCAAACACCCAATCGGGGATAGAATCGGGGATCACATTAAACTTATTTACTGCGGTGTGTGAGTACTCCTCAGTTTTATATCTGTATATGTCATTTAGCTGTTGGAAGTCCAGCCAGAAGTAACTCCGCATGTGGAAACTCAAGGCGTGCAACCGTTTCACGATCTTCTCAATGAACTCATTGCCTTCTGTGTCATGCTTCAACATGGATAGAGAAGACCGCAATGCCATGAAGAAGAGTGATTGGATTTCAATGGGATAGCCATATACACCCTGCAAAACAAAAGGATATCAGGGCCTTTGTTAAGCTGCAAGAATAGACATGCCGAAAACACCATAATCATGAAGTCACGCAGGACATAGTTTGAGCAAAATGTATGAAACTCCTTCAGGAGAAGTCAAAATGAGAAGAAAATAGAAAATACTTCTTCGAGCATTTTGGTAAATGCCATACACTCCAGAATAATATAGCAATTTCCCCAAATGGACATATCGAGAACAGACATTAGACCACTGCAGAGTTTTGAAGTTGCAACATGGAACTGGAAAGCTGCATAACTAAAAGCAAGGGACAACTAAAGGATGTTGAAAAACTGATTAAAAAGGAACGCATTTTATGAAACCTGAAATAACAGTGTCAGGTACATAACATACTCTCAACAATACCTAGGGATGATGCTTCATTTTAACATGGTAAAACAAGAGAAGTATCGACTCCAGGACACAACAGTAGACCCTCAACTTACCATTCTGCGATCAATCATAGAGCATCCATCAGCACAAAGCAAGGTAGGAAATGTATCAAACCCTTCTGACAAACACAGTGAGAGTATAAGTCTCATTCCCTTTTGACATTCTGGTGTCTCCGACAGCGTCATATCCCCAGTTGACTTTGTATATGCTCGTAGCAAGATGATCCACCAGAATCCAGAATCAACTGGAGCAACCCTTCCAATGGCACTCTCACCGAAATCCGCAATCAAGGTATCAGTTTTTCTTTCAGGGTCATGAAGAACTTTAAAACTAGCAGGCATAGCTCCTTCACCGAGCTTGAATCTATCTATCCTCTTCTCCCACCCTTGAAGAAGCAATGTTTTTAACAGAAAATTCTTTACTATCTCAGGCTCTCCATTCATGAGAAACGCCAGAGCACTTGGTACAAAATCACGCACAAAGACCTGATGCAAAGTATATATGCATGGATTATAAATATGCACGAAATTCATTAACAATAATACCAGTGACAAATTTTCGCGAGTAACTAAGAGCATCAATAGATTCTGTTTCAGTTCATCCCTGCCCTCGAGCTTTTCTTTCCGATCCCCCCACCCAATAGATAGAAACAAATAGGAACAACCCTGAAAAAGGTCTTTAGTCTTTACTATTCAACCTTCTCACTCCTGGACCAGAATAGTGAAATTAGAGCTCAATTCATCACCTTCACCAAGATTTTAGTTTCAGGATCATTAAGCCTATATGAATGAAATATATGTATCATAGAAATTAGAATGGATATACCCCACTTACTAGACAACCATCACAAAGGAAAGCTATCAAAGGAATAACAGGAAACAATACCTGATCATAGTTCAAAACCTCCTCAGAGGCATGGTCAACAGCAGCAATAGTTCCGACCGGCTGACCTTTAAAGTACACAATAGATTTTCTAAGAGATTCCCAAGCATCTGCCACCATTGGATGGGGTTCAAACGAGTTCCTAGTAGATGAGGCAGGTGTGTCGAACCCCGACCGCGCACCAGGCGAGTAAGTGTTCTCATAATTATCATGTCCTCCTCTTCCCAGCCCGATTGAGAGCTCACTTAGCGATCTCTCATCAAATGATCTTTGCCTTTCAATATTCAGCCTCGGCTTGTCAAGGAGGCGCGAGAGATCAAAGTCATCCATTTCCGATATGGAGCATGTTGAGCTCACATTCCTGAGTCCCCCCTCCTTAGGCCCATCCATTTGCTCTCTCACTCTTTCAACTTTCCAACTCCAACCAACCGAAACAAATGCTTTGCTCCTACCACCACGAAGATTACTTACAGTCAGCAGTCGTTCCCCAAACAGCAGAATCCACAACTACAAAGCTGCAGCCTACAAGTTGTAAACAATCAACAACATAAGATGGAAAGTTCCTCTTCATAATCAATGAGTAACCATCCAATTCTAAGGAAATTAAGTAAAACCCAACAAAACACTACTCATTTCCACATCGATCCAGCAATTACCAAACCAAGACAACAACGAGAAGCAGTGATTAAAAGTAGAGGATTGGCAGCTGCAGAATGACACTTTGAACTAGCCAAGTTCTCAAAGAATGTGAGATAATAACATCACATTCCTTCCATCACCAAGCTCTTTAAATCAAACAATAAACAAATTCCTAGACATGTAGAGTGACCGAATGAAGCACACCAGAACAACAGAAGTATAAACAACTAAACAAAAAGAAGTTTTGACTCTTGAGAAACAGAGCAAAATGAATAATAAAGAGGTTAAAGATAGCCTTTTTTATATGAATATATTATACTGAAACATCCCTGCATTATACAAGATACATACTTTGTCTAACTACAATGAGCAAAAAAATAAAACAACCCATCACAAAAAAGGAGATGAAGAGAACAAAAATTCAACCCCTCAAACAGATCAAGATCCAGAAAATGGGGGCAATGGGGTTCAATGGAAAAATGCTAAACTAGAAGATCAGAAGGGAGAAGGAACCAAATTTAGCTGGGAAACAAACATAGCCCAGATCTATAGATATGCCCAGAAAGAGAGAATGAATTGAATGAGAGGAGAGGAGCTGAGAGAAGTGTGAAGAGGGAAAGAGCTAACCTTTTTTAGGAATGGCGAGATAAATAAGGAAGGGAAGGCAAAAGAGGGGTTGGTTTCTCTTCCACCGGCGTCAACCAAACGGGAAATTCGCCGGGAATTGGCCGGCGGCCAATAGACGGGGGGAGGAAAAGAGACGAAGAATTTAACAAAGGGGGAAAAAGAGAGAAGAGAGAAGAAAAAGGAACATGTTGTACAAGAGCAGCTACTTATAGCTGAGAGAGGAAGTCGAAGACAGAGAAGAAGAGAGAGACTAAACTCATAAATAATAATTAATAAGCAAAAAAAACCGGGAGCTTCCGGTGAGGCTTTTCCTACGTGGACAAAACGACGCTGCTTGCGGTGGCGCTGGCTGGTTTTAGGTGAGTATTGGAATCTCCACCGGTGGCCGTTGGCTGGTTTTGGGAGAGTGTTGGAATCTCCACCGGCAACTTGTGTTATCGGTTTCTCTCTTCTTTTTTTTTTTTTTTTTTGGGTAGAAAACGTTTCTTTTTCTTTTTCATAATTGGGCGTTGATTTCTTTGACCAAGAAATTGCATTGCATGCTTAGTTGGAAGGAGGTTAGGTGGAAGGGTTAATTGGAGACTTAAATATAATAATATTTTTTTACCTATTCATATTTTGGTGTCTCTTGGGAAGATATTGTGGTTAGTCAACAAACACTCTTTGCCTATTGCCCCATGGGAATAATAACACACATTGGCAAACTAGGGGTAGATAGTAGCTAATTTGTGTGTCATCTATGAAATAAAATAATAAAAATATGTTTAGTGTCACTAAATTGTGTAATTTGTGATTTTGGTTATGCATTTACTCCATAGTGTGTATAATAATAGTATGTTGAATCCTAAATATATTGCATTATGGTTCACCTATAATTGTATAGCTCAAAACTTCAGTCTTGCACACAAACAAACGATAACGATGATGGTGACATCAGCCATGTGTTTGACGAATGTGAATATCGTTAACTCATACTCTTTACCTTTTTCGGATGCAACATTTTCCCTCTTCTCCTTCATGTTATTGCTAGATTATCAAGAAAGAGTAAGGGATCTTATGATTGATTCACTCTATATAAGTGTTGTCGTCATCGCTGATGCCGTCTTTTTATGATAATATATCATTCATGAGCAGGTGTATATCGTAACATTTATAAGTGGCAACACATAACCATTACGATCAACTAATTGGTGCAGACTTTCAATTAATTATTGTCTTTAGGCTTTGGTAAAGTCATTGCATCATTGGTTGTCTTTCATCCTCTTCCCTTGACGATGATGATTTTTTCGTCGGGGTAGAGGAGTTGAATGAGGTAAAGATAAAGGTTTAGTAGGATTTTTAGGTCGATGATGTCCTGTTGAGAATACTAATATCTAAAAGAAACAGGGTCTTACCTCGTCTTCATTAAAACTTAAAGCAAAGTTGTATATAATTCCTCTATCACTTAAGAAATTTTTTAATGTGAAATTTAAGTAAATTTAAGTAAGGAATGACCAATTTCATTGGTCCTTTTGCCAAAGTATATACAAGCTAGTTCAAAAACCAAGGTTTTTTATGGTTAGTAATTGACATAATCAAATATCTAACACTCTTCCACACAAGTTACAGTCCTTTCCTACACGTCATTACATATAAAAACTTGCAAGGCATGGCATGCACAGATGCATATATGAATATCCTTCTTCTTTTAATAATACTAAATTAAGAGAGATTTTTCTTAAAATATAAATTTTTTCTGATTGGGATAATACCCTATTTTGCCTCGATCTTTAGTATAAAAGTCAATTTCGGTATGAACTTTTAAATAACAAAATGTTGTCCAAAATTTTAAAGAAATTAACAAATTTAGCTCGAAATTTAGGTTGACTGGAATGACGAATGAATATGGTGTTCGAATCGAACCTGTGCAAACTTCAAACCTATATATACAACGGCTTTCATTTGATGAGGTATGTTAGTAACGTATATATGATTCACAATTGAACCTCTCCCAACAACTTTAGTTATTGAAATAAACTCATTCTTGACAAATAGTCTCATTCTCACACTACCACTGAACAAGGTTGTCAACCTGCGGGTCGACCGCTACAAAGTACCGGGTTGGAGGTCAAATTGTGTCATTTTTTTCTTTGGTTTGTGAAATGCGCCTATTTTCCGATTTTTCTTTTCGCCTAACTCAATCTTTGGAATTCTAAGTTGAACATTTGAATATTGATGTTATATAAGTGTGTGTGAATTTTCACTATATGTTGGATATAAGTGCGACATGTTATTTTGGTGTAATATTATATGTTATAACTTATAACTCATATGTTTGATGAGATTTGATATAATTTATCAGGATAAGTACATTAGTACAATATAATGACTCTTTCCATATTTTCGGGCTCAACCGAGCTAAAATGGGTGACTCATTAACCGTTGACTCACTAGTTCAACCGGATCCGGATCAGCCCGCGGGTTGACAACCTTGCCACTGAACCAGTCTTTTAAATTATTATTTTTCATTCACTCATTATTTTATTTTTATAAACCAACACCCGTCTAAAAATGATCTCAATTAAATGAGAACAACTACCCGCTATATGAAAAAAAGGACAATACCTTGAATTGTGTTGCAAGTCAAGTCAAGCTGACTGTGCGCTTAGTAGACATCTTGATCGTCTCGTCACCAAATCAATTTCTCTTTGTATTTTGTATAGATCGACGTGCAAGATTCTCACTCACACAACACAAGAATAAAATATTATGTCTAAGCTTTTCATGGTCCCAACAAATCAAATGAACCCTAATAAACTTTACCAGTATTTTGGAGAAATATGAATACCAATATTCCGAACAAATCGAAAGATTCTAATTCTTAAAGAGCGTGTAGTTGTACAACTAACTATTCGAGGTGACAACGATTTCATTTTAGCATTCTCGTTCTAGGGTGATACTCGTTACATGGTAATGGTTGCAAGAGGTGCAGTTCTTATCGTCATATCATTGATGAGAACTTGTATGATATCACTCACTCGAAACTCTATAGTTCTCAAACATACTCATTTGAGTGTTGATGGAATTTGAATGGTAGTCAAAATCATTTTATAGCGCTGAACTTCAACAGCCCACTAAATTAATCAAACACAAAAATACTACGAAACGCGCGCTGATCATACACCTTCATTTTTGTCATAAGAGACCCAATTTTTTCACCTAGGTTCTTGAAAACCATGAGAAGTAATCTGAATGTTAGGTGGATCAAAACCAATCATACAAAATATTGAAATTTGATTGGAGATTCTCAATTGTATATTACTAATTGTTTGGTTGGAAAAAAATGGAGTTGAGGTCTATTGATCACCGTGTGTTGGTCCTGCTGTCAGTCAAGCCACAGCAACTAATTCCAGTCACAAGTAGAACGTGTTAAAAAAAAAGACAGTGCCAACTGCCAATAGAAACAAGTGTTCCAACCATCAAATGTTTTTATTTCTCCTTACATACACTCTCGTTGCTGCTTCTTCGAACAAAAGATATCCTAATCTGATAATTTTCGTCGTGAGAATTTGTCACGTATAGTGAATCCAAGTCACCATTTGTCGTGAGTGCTAAATAACATAAGTACTGATCAATATGTATCCTTTCAATCTCGAGCCAATGCATGTCTTTTATATGATTATTATCCGAAAAATTTTAATCCCTCATATCATGAAGGATTTTAATTACATCAAGAAAACCATTTCCTAAAGTAAGGGGATGAAATCAAAATATGATTCATATTGTTGTTTTTTCTTAAAATCAAAGTAGCATGCATGGTTTGCATGGTCAAACAAAGCCACTTGCCCACATCAATCTTCCCATTAATAATCCATCAAATAATTTAAAGGAACCACGATCTCATGAATGACATGACATAGCACGAACCATGTATATATATAGTGTAAATTCTAACAACGTAATTAAGCAAATTTTATATAAAAATGTTGAAATAAATTCTTCAAACCCTTTGCTTGCCTCACTTGTTTATATATCTTCCACTTTGAATAGTTTGTGGCCTACATGTTCAAGATTAATAGTATTATCAATAGGCGAAATTCTTATTCGTATATAAATAAGGAATATGATTTAAATATTTCGAACATAATACCTCTCTTAACGAACAAACCTTGCATAAATCCAAAAAATTTAATCACTACGACATTGTTTAACATATTTGTTTTCTATATATTAACAAACCTTGCATAAATCCAAAAAATTTAATCACTATGACATTGTTTAACATATTTTTTTCTCTATGTATTATGAGAAATATCTTGCTTTGAAGCATGCACCATCTGAATTATAGAGAGTGGCCTACCACCACCAAGCACGCAACACCCACCAAATTGCATTAATCGAACCATCTTAATTTCAGCAAACTTGTCATTTTCCACACCATATGGGAAACGAGAAGGGAAATAATAAGAAAAGGAAAACGTTTGGTGGGCAAATGGATTTGGTGTTTGACCTAATCTACACATAAAGGGTGGGCAACGATGGGCATGAATCGTACCAAATTAATATTTGGATCAAATCGGATCACATCTAATACATTTTGATTCGAGCTTGGCCCTGTGAATTTGAGTTTAAGTATGAAGAAAAAATTGTGAATTTGAAGTTAGATCAGACTCAAATCGAACCAAATGAACCAGAAATGCTTTTGATCCGGTTCTGGTCCTAATTTTTTCTTTGCTTTTGATCCAATATTATCTCCATTCAGTTCGGTTCTGGACCGAATCAATCGATAACCAGTCTTATCCACATTATCCACATTGCATGCTTTGCAATTGTGTTTGTTTTTTCAAACTTGTAACCAAAACTAATGTTTATCTTTTTCCTAGCATATGGGTCAGTCCATTGTTCCTAAGCATAACCCTTTATTTCTGGCATGAGCTTTCCCCCATTCCTAAGCTATCCAATTTCCAAATTATTGGTGACTATATCAAGCATACTCTTGTATGGATATGTGATAACAAGAGATGATACACAATATAGTTTTGGAACTCCACCAACATTTTGACTTATCGGAATACTGTATGTTAATGGATTAACATATAGTATCTCCTCATTCATAAGGTGCTTTTTGAAATTTTCAGGCAATGTAATTCTTTGCAAAAGGGCGTCTAAAACAAAATGTTACATAATGTAATATTGGATATCTCCTAGTAACTTACGAGTTACTGAAAAATGAACTAGCTCTCGGCTTATATTACATATACCGTATATTACAACAAGGGAGAATGAACGGTTATTTTTTTAAAAAGATTTAGAATTGATCACTTCAAGATGATTGTTGATTAATGTTTGTATGACAACTTTGCTTCAAGGGAAATAAATGGTTAAAGGACAAAATATTATGTGTGTGTAGTTGGTGTGCGATTATTGCTATAGCTAGTAGGTTTGTATATTAATTGGCATTCAAGTGTTCAACAATCTTTTGGATGCCTTCATTCTTAGGGAAAATGACCTGCTTATGCGGCAATTGTTGGCACGTTATTATATAGAGTACGGACCATTGATTTGTGTGTCCCTTCACGCATTTACTCACTCGTACATAGTTTACACGTAACTTGACTCATACCAGAATTCTAGCTAGTTTAGCTAGAGGTGATGTGGGCATCATCCTCTTCAGGCGGGCATCACATTCGTGCTCAACATGTTGCACCCGAACTTCTACTTGGCAAGCGATGTTGACAAGTGGGAGTCGGCAAAGTACCACATCCACCGGTATCTATGGATAAGCGTTGCGATCACCGGTATTTGTGGATGTGATGCCTTATTCTAGGATGGCGACCGTTACACGATATTGATTACAAGAAGTGCTTATTATCGTCATGCCACTATGAGAACTTGTATGATAGCATTTACTCGAAATTCTATGGCGCTCAAAATCGTACTCATTTGAGCATTGTTGATAGACTATGAACGATAATCAAAATCATCTTATAAGTAGCTTTGAATTATTTTTTTCCACCCAATAAGTAAGAGGAAACTTATCAATGTAAGTTGAGAGATGTCGAAAACCGTATTTAGCATGTAGGTAAATGGGAAATTGATATTTTCTTAATAATGAGTGACCAGTATGTTATCGGTCTAAAGTTGGGTGACTATTTTGGTTAATTGCAAATTAACCATATGAAGACTGAAGTCAGCTTCAGCTGACAAGTGGACCAGTCAGTCACTAGGCCTTCAGCTTCTGTCTACTCTCTCCGTCTTGTTCAAAACTTCCAAGCGGAAGCTGCCGGCCGCCGATGACGATGCCGGGGAACTACTTCAAACGGCGGGAAACCGGCATCAATGGAAAGCAGGCCCCATCGCATCTCAATTCTCCGATTCACTGTTTGTCAGGTATGTATACATTATGCTCTCCTAACCCTTTCCCCCTAATTTGCTACCGAAGCTTTAACCTAAAAAAGGAAAAAAGCCCCAATTCTTAACACTCCTTAGAGATATCATAACGATGGTTTCGCCATTGCTCAAATTGCAGTGATACTGGTAAGTGGGTATGGTTAAGATGTGAGATTAAAGGGAAAGCTAAGCAATTTTCGGTTTTTGAGTAATTATGAGACGTAGCAGATTGGTTGCAGATCAAGAGAGCTCCATAGAGTTGATTCTTCACCTGTGGTGCTTTCTGGGTTCTTCTGATGTTTATCTGCCATAATAAAGCTTTCATCTTTATCTTCTTTTGCCAATGCCCTCTGTTCTATTTCATGACTCACTTCTCTGTTGTTCCTTCTGCAGGCATTCTGAAGGCTGGATAACTGTTCAGACGGAGATGATAACACCGACCCACTAAGCTGCAGCTTCAAGCACTCTGGAATCCCGTGGAAAGCATACAGAGAAGCCGAGAACTTCCTCTCGTACTTCATCCGCTTCATTGCTGCTCTCAGCTGCATTGATGGCTCGTCGTCATCAATGCCATTGTTGCTGTTGCTCTGATGATCTGGTTCCAGCACAGGCTCCTCCTGAATCTCCTGAGCGATCTCGAACGGAGAGTATTGAGCTGCTGCAGCTGCGGAGGGTGCTCCAAGATAGTTGACGAAATTGAAATCCATATCCAAATCCAAATCACCACCCTGATCAATTAACTGATCACCCATATGTTGCTGTACTGCATTGGAATAGACTGGCTGGTGAAAGTTACTATTATGACAATTGTCTGAATCCAATGCTGTGACTGCTGCTGCTGTTGCTGAGCCCTCATTCACAATATCATAGCAAAAATCTCCCTTTCTATCATCGCTCATAGTTGATGGTGATTCTGCAATGCTTGCTGTCATGTAAGGATGATTGGTTGTTGTGTTTGTCCCAATACTGGTGATGGGGTTGGCGTTAGTGAAATGGTTGAAGAAACCTGTGAATTCAGATGAGGCTGCTTCATCATCATCTTCTTCATCGACTTGATCTTCTTGTCCTCCTCTTACGAATTGTTGTTGCTGCTTCTGCTGCTGCTTGTTGACAACCCTGGAAGAGGAGGAAGAGAGATGACGGTGGGTGTTTCGAGCATTGAGGCGCTGGAGGAGAAGGTTGGTGATCTTGGAAGGCAATGCAGGAGGCTGTGATGGGGATGAGGAAGAGGAGGTAGAAGAGTGGCGAGGACGATGAGGATCAGCAGAGGGCCAGAAATTGGTCCTCGTGTTAGCGCCACGAAGTAAGCAGGCGGCTTCGTCATAAGCTCTTGCAGCTTCTTCAGCCGTGTCGAAGGTACCTAACCATACCCTGATCTTCTGAATTGTGTCCTTGATCTCTGCAACCCATCTCCCGGATGGTCTTTGCCTCACTCCCACGAACCTCTTCCTCCCTCTCCTCCCTCCTCCTCCTGTTGCTTCACTCACCATTTCATCCCACGCCATACCATCCTCCTCCACCTGATTATCACCATCATCATGGAACTCGTCACTTCCTTCTCTTTGTTGCTCCTGCTTCAGCATGATTTCAGCTTCAGCAGCCCCAGCTTTTCTCTTTCTGCCCATCTTTCCCTTCTCTTGACCTCGTGCTGTTTCTTTTGAACTTGTGTTTGTTTCTGCACAACCCAAATAGGCAAAATACTAGAGCAAGGTCGTCTTTCTTCTCTCAGGCAGTTGGTTTCTTCTCTAATCTCTCACTCTCACTTTGGTTCTGTGGTGGTAATGGGGGTTATATAATGGCAGCCCTGAGACAAGTTCCTCCTACTTATCAGTAATGAATTAGGTTTTATTGTCAAGAAAACAAAAGGGCTGCAAGGGAGAATCTTAGAAGGGAGCGTTTCATATAACTTGTTCAAACACTGTTGTCATTTTCCCATCCAGCTCTGCTATGTCCATGTCAGGCAAACATATGGAGCCTCCCCTTCGATTTCGATTTCTAGCTGTCCCAAATGGCAAGAACCTGAGGAGTTCAAGCATTTTATATCAACTCTGCTATTGTTTACTGTTTCTTTGACCTGGTTAGAACGGCTGCTCAACTAAGCTCTTGCCGTTTTTTGTATCTCACATAGTGTTGTGGCCTGCTGTAGATTAGTTTGTTTAATTGAGTTGGGAGTAAAACAACATATAGAAGGAGCCAAAGCTAAACTTTAGCAAGGTTTGTATGGCTGGCTTGTTTGGGTGGTCGAACATTTTTATTGTTTAGCATTTGTAAATACTAAATAGATGTTCATTATCCCAATCCCATGATATAGATGTTTGCATATTTTAGTATTGTTATGTAAGGTGCATTTGTAAAAGCATTGTTTTGCTCAATGTATCTCCAAAACCATTTTTTTGTGGGCAAAAGTCGATTTTAGAGGATGAATCGGACTCCACGTATTTGAGGAATCAGATAGCCGAAGATAATAACATCACACACTCGTAGTTAGAGTATTCTACCAGACCAGTCTCATAAAACAACAATTTTGTTTGTTTTGAAGATTTTCTTGGGTTGTTGCAATTACAGGAATCCGAATTGCAAGCAAACGACCTTTACAAGTTAATCTCATCACTTGAAGAGGACAACAAATGGGTTGAATCGGCTATCTATGAGTTGCATAACGTATAATTCGTATTCAATTCAAAAGAGGCGGATTTCACCAATGAAAATCATCAACCAACCTTAAAGTTGCTTAAATATGAATTTTAACGATAAATGGGGATACGTTGGTTCAAATTGGATGGTGGGTCGTGTTACGGTTATTTTTATTCACCCCTACCCATTGTTGTTCCTATCCACCATTGATGATTTGAAAAGTAGAGGTACTCGATCGTTACCCGGACCAAACTGTAGGCACCAGAACGTGATTGAACCTTGAAGAAAGTTGACCAATGACCACCAAACCAGCGTTTCTCGATCTTCAGGCTCCTTTCTTTGGTTTTTGCTTCGACCATTTCTTTTACTAGTCTTCTTCACTGTTCCGACGGCGACCATGTAACCGCTAAGGGGTAGAAATCGCCGCCACCCACCAACCGCTTTACTTTCCTCTCTCTTTCTCCGCCTAAACCCAGAGAAAGAGAGACAAAGTTCCCGGAACCTGAAATTCTCCGTTGGCGCACAATGCTCTTGAAGAACCCGATCAACACAATCACCATTTCCCTGATGCTGCTGGCCGCGTTCCTGATCCTCTTCTTCGCCGGGTTCCTCGAATTTCCTCCTCCGGCGTTGACGACGACCTCCCTATCCGATTCCGGGTTTCGGGTCGAGCCGACGAAGTTCGACCCGTTCGTCGACCTGTTCACTGCTTACAAGAAGTGGGACTCTCAGGTGGGTTGCGCCCGGTTCAGAGAAGGCCACAAGGATGCGATCCACGCCTCCGGCGGTTCTGGGTTTAATGGATCGACGGGCTCTCTGCAGCGGGTTGGGGGTGATTCGGAGTGCGGCGAGCTGAAGATGGATCATGTGAGCGTTTTGGTCAAAGGGTGGACTTGGATCCCTGATAATTTGGACAATTTGTATCCTTGCCGATGTGGTTTGAGCTGTTTGTGGAGTAAATCGGCTGTTCTTGCTGACAAGCCAGATGCTTTGTTGTTTGAGACCACTACGCCTCCATTTCAGGTAACTCTGCCGATTCATTTCATTATATTTTCAATTAGATTAGACAATAGGAAATGTTGAATCTTTGTTGGCTGGGATGAGGGGAGCGATGTTTTTCTGCTGATCAATTAGTTGGCTTGTGTGACGATGAATGGTCTAGAACATGGTGGATGGAAATTTTGATGCAGGAAGAACTTGGTTTGAGGTGTTAAGACTAGGTTTTTAGATTGATTGAACATGGGGTCGGTCACATTGTCTTAGTTCGCTTGATGTGGTTTGGTGTACGCGATAGATGCCGGATTTTGGATGTGCCTTTCAGTTTCTTTCTAGTTCAGGAATAAATTTTCACTTCTGGCTTGTGAATCGGGTTGCAGTAAGAACTATAGATCACATATATCGAGATATGGAAACAAGGCTGAATTTGAAGACGCGCGCCTATAGTCACTGTCTTCTATGGAAGACGGTTTGGCTCTTTTGAAGATCAGTAGTACTTTCAGAATCTAATGCGATCTTTGTATTCAGGCCTTGCCAGGTCGGACACTCCACATCATATGAACATTCCATATTTAAGCTCATAAGCATTCCCTTTTAGGCACCAGAATGGCTGGCAGGCAGAATGCAAGGGGAAATGCTCCACAGTTACAGAGTTATAAAGATCAACTAGCGCTGTTATGGCAACTACTAGATATGGGTGTTCATAGAGGAAAAAGTGTTGTGTTGCATTATGTTAAATGCTGTAGTATTTGGATTCTAATGCTTGCTACTGTAGTCAAGTTTAAACATCAAGGGTATGCAATTGTGTGGAATGGCAGCATGATAATCTCATCTTTCCTATTGTCCTTTGTTATACGATGCTTACATATGAATGTCGAAGTCCTAGGGGCATGCAGTTGGTGCATGAATAATTTCTGTGCCTCTTTGTTGTTTTAGTAAACATTATAAGGAGGAAATGTAATCTATTTTGATTGTCAGAGACGCAATGGAGATCCACTTCGTGTCTATATGGACCTAGAGCCCGGCAGAAAACGCTCTGGTATGGAAGATGTATTTATCAGTTATCATGCTGAAGATGATGTTCAGTCAACTTATGCCGGTGCCCTGTTTCATAATGGTCGAAATTATCATGTGTCTCCAAGGAAGAACAATGTGAGTATTAATGCTTCCAATCTTTTGATACTTCATAAGAAAGAGATGGAAATGGCATTGAATGATCTCAAACTATTTTTATTTGAAGGATACACTTGTATATTGGTCTTCCTCACGCTGTCTAGCTCAAAGAAACAAGCGCGCAAAGTCTCTCCTCAGCTTGCTGCCTCACCATTCCTTTGGCAAGTGCTTGAACAATGTCGGTGGACTTGACATGGCCCTTTCATTGTACCCAGAGTGCGCCAGCGCTACCAGTGAGAAACCGAGATGGTGGGACCATCTACATTGTGCCATGTCCCACTACAAATTTGTGCTGGCTATAGAGAACACAGCCACCGAGAGTTACGTGACGGAAAAGTTGTTCTACGCTTTAGATTCTGGAGCGGTCCCAATCTATTTTGGGGCGCCGAATGTGTGGGACTTCATTCCTCCTCACTCAATCATAGACGGGAGCAAATTCAGCTCCATGAACGAACTCGCTTCGTATGTTAAGGCTCTAGCCAATGATGCAGTGGCATATGCCGAATACCATGCATGGAGGAGATGTGGTGTTCTCGGCAACTATGGGGAAACACGTTCATTAAGTCTCGACACACTGCCTTGCAGGTTGTGTGAAGAAGTCAGCAGAAGAGGTGGTAGAAATGCAAAATCGTAGCATATTTTTGGATACGCTTATGAAGACAATCATGGAATGGCTGTTTCCAGGCCTCCTCACTCAGAAACGATGAATTCAACGATTGCAAATTGAGTACAAGCCTAGAAGATCTGTGATTTTCTCCCCCCTTCTTTTTTTGCAGTCATCACTGATCGTTCTTCAGTATTCTCTGCTGATTTACAATGATGAGAGATCACTTGAAAGCTAGTGAGTTTGTGATTGTAGTATTTGTAGTAGGTTTCATATACTGAAAAGGGATGTGGAGTGAAAGATGAAGACGTTGCACCAGAAAGATTTGTTGAATAGAAACTGATGTATACAGAAGAACGGTCATGTCCGAGGACAATTTGCAGGTGCTTTTTTTGCTTTTTTTTTTTTCCAGGTTACAAGAAGTTTGACGAAAGAGGATGAACATGAAGAGCAGAAGTGAAGTGAAGGGGGAAAAGTGGTAAAAGAAAGAAAGTTCAAATTTTTCTGGCTTACTTTTTGGTCCCTAGGAGGAGGAAGTTTTTTCTTCTGGATTTTGGAAGTCTTCACCTCTTGAGGCCATATTCTTCAAGTATTCCTTCAATTGCTCATCGTTCATTGCACCCACCATACCAACCTTGATTTTTTTTTTTTTATCAAAATCACAACAGATGAAGAAAAAAGCTACAAATTCGAATACGAGACCTCTTACTTATGTTACGTAGAAGGACATTTAAAAATTATAAATGCGACAATGAATACCCATTATTCGAAGAGTTTGAATCTCATTTAGTAACGATTTCTTTTCCTTGTCCGCAATATCCTTCTCTTGCCATGTAATGTTGAAACATGATTCTTCCTCTCTCTTCTTCTTCTTTCTCTTATCCATATCTCAAAACAATACCCTTTTTCGTAAAAAATCAATATCATATATTTATAGAGTTTAGTTCTTAACGAAAACTGTGAAGTGTGAATAGTTGCATGAAAGAAGTGTTAATATGACAATTTTACGTTATGGTGGAAAAGGGAATATGAGATTTGATCAAGACATCTGAAAGGAAAGGAAGTAACCAGAGATTACTTGAAATACATCAATACTCAAGTACGTAGTTGCATCCACATGCGCCTAACTTGACTACGAAATTACTGAGTATTGGAGTATGATTAATTTGTATATATGATTCTTTTGTTGTGCCTCTTGTATTAGAGTATGCATAGTACAAATAGTACTATTATGTTATCCTATGAATGTTGTTATATAATTTTATATAACTTTTCTGAGTTATATTTCCCTACGAGAGTAGAAAAGTTATACTGTGACCATGAGTGAAACGGGAGTTCAAAACAATTAAAGACTTTATCCTTAATAGAAACTAGTTTGGTATATGATCCATTGGTCAGATATCATTTGAATATGACGTATTTACGATGTACATTCTAAAGTTTTTTAAAATATTTGAAAGGTGTATGTGTACCCAGTAGTTAAATTGATTGTTTAAATCGAATTAATAATAAAAATATCAAATTGAAATATCAAACACCAAAGACATACTTACGGAAGAGTTAGTGAGCTAGTTAATCGTAGTGGAAAAATCATGTTTTTAAGATTTTAGGGTTCTGTATGTTTTGGAGTTTAGAAAGATACATGAAATTCATTCAGCGTAATTGGTAAAGATTTATGTCTTTGTTTAGAAAGACCATGGTTCAAATTCCAGTATTGATGTATTCTTTTCTATGAATAAGAAAAAAACTGTGAAGACAAATATACTCTTACTACTTTCGCTCTCCTTAGAGGAAATTTGAAATGGTGAAAAACGGCTCCCAAATCTACTTCTACATATTTGTAGACGACCCACCAAGAAGCTCGTAAACCTCTTGCATAAACCAGCTGGCCACATAGTGGACACTTGGGGGACAGTCGGCTGCACTCGAGCACCCAATCATGGATGCAGCTGTGATGGAATACGCGACGACATCCATGGACGATGGTAACCACATCTTCAGCAAACAGCTCGAGGCAAATGCAACAGTCGTCGTCGTTTATTTCGGAGTGATAAACGACGACGACTTTTGTCACTTCCATATCTCTGCTCCGACAGCGGTTGTAGCTTTACAGTTCCTTGCCCAGCAACAGCATCATCATCGTGGTGATAGTTTGGATCCGGTACCAAATTATGCATTTGTGGATCATGCCAAAACTAATGTTGGCGCTTAGATTGATAGACCGCCTCAAGAAGTTGTGTATATCTTATCATGCCTTTGTAATTTATATCTCCTAAAATATAATGACACTGATCTTTGCTGCCCGTAAATAAGCTAACGCACATCTTATTATTTACTTACTTGCATTATCGATTTTCCGTTCAATTATAACATTATATAATATCATAATTGTGTGGTGTGGCATGGTATCTGCGTGCTGAAGTTTGATCAAAGAGTAAATCTCAGTTTCATTGCTGCTACGGGAGACCTTTATATCAACCATACAGGCTGCTAGGGCTGGAAGTTTGATACCGGTATTTGGGATATACCGAATACCATTACCGAATTTGTCTATATTTGATATAACTGAATACACGTATTATTTTGTGTTATTGGGATTGGGCCGATTGAGATTGGGATTGAGTTTCAATTGTTATTTGGTATTAGGGATTACAGGATTGGGATCGGTATATACTGAAATACCGATCAATACCGAAATATAAGCTAGTGTGTATTTTATCCTCTCAACTAGACTCTCTCATTCACTACTACGCGACCCTCAACCACCAAGAGTGTCATTTAATTATACATAGATCATTACATCACTACTTCACATTAGTATTAGTCCTCTCTCAACCTCAAATTCATCAAATTAAAAATTACCAATTACAAAAACTTGACATGTTAGCTCTAGGAAACTCAAGACTCTTTGCTTAGTCTCTTTGCCCTAAATTAAACAATAAAATCTAATTTACATATTTAGTTATTAATTGCAAAGGTAATTAATTTTGTATTTGATAATACTAGTTGGGATACCGAGGTACCGATTGGGATACCGAAATTATTTAAGGATTGGGATTGTGATTGATTTCAAGGTGTAATTCGGTATTTGATATTGGGATACCGATTTCTACCCTACAGGCCGTTGGGAGCAAAGCCAGTAACACGTAGATACACAAATCAAGTAATAGGACAGATTTATCATTGCTTGCAGGTTCATCAGTTTCCATTACTCTCATTTCCTAAGACTGTCCACAGCAAGAAGGGAAAAAGATGATAAAAGGGGATATTGGATTTTTATTTTTAAAAATTGTTTTATGGTTTTTTTATTGGATTTTTATGAGTTATTGGATTTTAGTGATAAAATTTTTTATGTCCAAATTAAAAAAAATTATATTGAAATGTTCGTCTTAATTAATCAATACAACCTATATAAAAATAATGAATAAATTATCAAAATAAAGTTACCACATCAACTCTAGATTGATTTTGGAAAAAAAAAATCCCTCCCCCGATACCCTTTTTTCTCTACCACCTATTGTGGCCATTATAATTCCCCTATCATTTTTTCCCACTTTTCCTATCTTTTTTTCCCTTTTTACCTTCCACCATTGTGGATAGTCCAAATGCTTATAAGATTTTTTTCCTTTTTTACCTTCCACCATTGTGGATAGTCTAAATGCTTATAAGATGGCTATCGACCAGACTGACAAAACCTGCCATTTTCTTTAGCCTACTCCTACTTTACCATACCACAATTACTTTTACTGTTAAGAGAGACTAAACCATCTACCCAGTCCAAAGGAATTCACTGCGAAATGAAACATTTGGTCACTCTGTCACTTTACAAGAAGTAAGAACACCAATTTCATCCAGAAAAAAAAGCACACCAGAAAGAAATAAAAAGCAACCCCCAAAAGCTAGATCCATGGTTAAGATCAACTCTTCTCCCTGTTGCCTCGATTCCACAAACACTCTTTGTCAAACTCCCTATGGAAACCAATTACAAACAAATATCGACCATCTCGGTATCATTCCCATCTATAATTTACAACCAGAGAAAGAGGGCCCTGTTTTGAAGGAAAAAGGCAGCACACCATTGATGAATAACATCAGAGGTAGAGAAGATTGTACTGACATGGTTAACTTCCTTATACCATGACAAGGTCAAACAAAAGTTCCAAAACCTGGCTTTCAACAGTCAGGAAGGGAGTGGGTAGAAGCAAACGGTGAGAAGCTCGCATAAGATTCGCTGCAATGTAGAGGGCGGGGCTGATAACTGGTGGATCCCACTAAGCTCGCATTAGATTCGCTACAATGTAGAGGGCGAGGCTGATAACTCGTGGATCCCACTAAGCTCGCATTAGATTCGCTACAATGTAGAGGGCGAGGCTGATAACTCGTGGATCCCAATAAGTTCGGCGAGGCATTGCTTGGACTAGGGTTGTATACAGACATGTAGCGCGCCGTGTTCAGGGGCGACATGGAAGGGTAGCCGTAGGGAGAAATCAAATGAGAAGCTTGAGATCGATGTGAAGACATGTTCCTTAGATCGGCATTGCTTCGGCTCATGCTGAGGGAATATGATGATTGATGGCACGAGCCAACGGAGGACTGCGGGGCATAAGGGGTACCACCGGAGTACGAAGGGAAATGAGAAACTGACGGGGACCGAGATGGCTGACCGATTCTTATAGCTGACGATGTTGTGGATCTAAAGGATGATAGAACAGAAGAGGAAGCTACCGAAGACGGGTTTGATGAGAGCAATGGTGTGGATTCAGATGCTGGTGGCTCCCCTGTGCTCGTCCTTGCATCTCTCTTGCACACGGGACAGAATGTTCTCCATGATGTAAGCCAAGAATCGACACATAAAGCATGGAACTCTGCAAAATTCACAAAATGGAAATTAGGGTACCGAGCATATCAGTCGTGGTGGACAACAAACTTAACTAAATGCAAGTACTAGTGATTAACATGAACTCCATGCAATGAGGGCATCTACCTACTTGCACTTTCCCACAAGTGCAAGTAGATCTTAAATGTCCAGCAATTGCCATTTTTTCAAACCCTATACAAGAAAAGACTATTCATCAGTTGGCAATCAGCCTGTTCCAAATACTCAGTATCTTGACTAACTGCACTAGATCCACACTGGCCAATGGTGAGAACCAATTCCAATATAGCACAGCTAAACCTTTTATTTTTTTCAAGCATTACTTCATTTGGAACAATAAAGAGTGAATTTATAGCGCCTAATAAAAGCTGGCATATAAGAATACAGAAGATGGAATTGGAAAGGAAAATAAAAACTTACTGTGTCGACAAGGCAGAAGCCGGATCTTTTCCCCGACACTGTAATCTTCAAGGCAAATGGCACAAGTTGTTGAAGTACAATTATCCTCCTGAACAGCAGAACTAAAGATGAGGCTTGGCATTGCTTTCACAAGGCGCTTGCTCATCCCGTGGAATTCCCTAGCACGAGAAGACCGAGGACGGTCTCTTCTTATGCGATGCCTCCGGACAAAGAAACAAGTGGCCAAAACTGCTGACATGGCCAGCAAAGAGATGAAAGAGATTGCCATGATAGACCAAGCTGAATTCTCATAGCTGGGTATTATCCATATATCCACGTTAGTCCACCCAGCATACTTCTTTAGTGTTTCGCCTGCAGACTTTGCGACAAAGACTGCATGTATTCTTATGCCAGCTGAGTTCCCTGCCACTTTAAATTTTGCAAGACCAAACGATCAGGAACTGACAAGGAAAAGGTGAAAGTCAAGATGAAGAAAAATAAATCACAGAACAATTTTCTCCAATCCTATCAACGCCCTAAGCTGCTTATGCAGATCATTAGTGAATAAGTTAGTAAAGTCAACTTGCCATACACTGCAACTCTGCTCTATCACTCATAGAGCTACAAGAACCTCACAAAACATACACAAATTCCTAATCAAAGGTGCATAAAGATGTGGTTTTAGAACAAGGATTACGCGGAAACTGAAGCTGGCAGCCAGTAAAGGGTATATCCATTGCGTAAAATGGACAAGTGAAGATCAAGCTCCTAGGTGAGCTTGAGCAAGGATGTGATCTTCTAAGCAAGCATTTCGTAAACTAGGACACTCAGTCACACAGAATTCTATATCCAACAACCATAAATAGATAAACTCACACTAGAACATAAGAAAAGCTGAAACTTTTGAGAAGATTAAAATTTCAACAGAGGCAAAATGTTATTACTTGCAACCAATAAACCACTGTCTTCATCATCGTAGACAATCGCAGCATGGAACCCAGCTTGCTGTGCTCTCCTAACTTTATCTTCAAAGCTGCACCCTCCTCTTATCATCAGCACAAATTGCGAGCTCGAATTCGAAGCGTTCACAACTTTATTAGTCAAATCTGAACAGGCATCAAGAGGCTCTGCTACATACAACACTCCGCATTCGCCCGAACCCTTCACCAGCGGAGCTGCAAATCACCCAACAAACAGGAAAAAGAAACAGAATTTCAATGACCCATTACCCTAAAGGACATTCAGAATCAGTTTCTCGGCAACCAAGCGCTGAATTCAAAAGGGTGAAAGCACTCACCGAAATTAGCTTCAATGTCATCGAAAGACATGGTGACGTTATTCCCCATCAGAACCACACTCGCTGAAGTCATGAAACAACAACAGGCTAAGAAAGACAACAATAGAAGCTCTACAACTACTCGTTTCTCCATCGGTAGCTGGAAAAATCGAACACCAGAACACCTGAAATTTCGTTGATCGAGAGAGAGAGAGAGAGAGAGGGACAGAAAGGGGGAAAGTAGGAAAGGAAGAGGAAGAGGAAGAAGCTAGGGTTTAGATTCGATGTAGGATAGAGACGTCAGCTTCCATTTAAGGATAGGAAGGAACCAGAGAGACGGCGAACAAGGAGACAGAGTATCTGAATCTTCCCGTTTTCCCGACTCCGATTTGAAGCTTTTTTTTTTCTTCTCTTTCGCCCCCTTTTCTCCAATCGAAGAGAGATTTTGGCCTTTGGTGTTTCCTGTTTCTGCCCTTTCCTAGAAAATTTTCAGGGTGTACTAAGAAAGAAAATCTGAATCAGCGAGTTCTCGAACGGGAAGTGGCGAAGAGAGAGGAGGAGAGAAGAGAAGCATATCCGTATATTTTCTATTATAATTAATTTTCTATGTTCGATGATATTTTAATTTATTTCGCGCACTAATTTTTCTTATAGAAATGTTGTCATATACTATTTTCCTTATCAGCTTGTTTGGATATAATTCTGTTGGAAAATGAATTCCATTTCTTGTGAGAATCTGAATTCAAGTGAGAATTCATTTTAAAATATTATGTTTGGAACAAATCCAAAAGTTTGGGAAATGATTTCAGCTTTTTATGTTTGGAAAAAATGGAAATGATTTCTTACTAGTGCTTTTACAATAATATCCTTGGTATTAGTGATTTCAAATTAAAAAGTAGTAAGGGCTTTCTTGTAAAGGTGAGTCAAAATTAATGTGGGGTCCACTAATTCCATCACTCCCTCCACCAATTCCGACCACTTTTGGTAGGAATTAGAATTTCCAACTTTTTGCATTTTGGAATTCCATTTCCTTTTTACTTTTTACTTCCAAACATGAGAATCATGGAAAGTTTGGGAATTGGAATTCCATTTCCTCAAAATTTAGCCTTTCCAAACAGGCTGTATGAGTATCATGTTGTCATATTACTTTGCTGGATGAGATTAAAAAGGTTGTTTATCTCATCTCATCCGATAAATCGATTATACGCATATAAATTCCCCACTCGTTATCGTATCAGATCAAGTGTTAGGTTTTGAGTAGAAGGTTTAATCTGACCATATGAAACTGTGAATCCGTGATGTAGGAGATCAATATGAAACTTCACAAATAAATTATTCAAAATCCACCGCCCCAATTTGTTACCCAGTGCTCGAATTTGGTGGTTGTTTACATAGTAGTAGTAACAGACTCGTGGTGGTGGTGGGGCAGATGTGGTGGAGGAGGAATGTCTTTTGTATCAAAGATTGTAAACCTGTATCGAAAGTTAAAAAAAAAAGTCGGCGATATATGATATTTTGTACTGAAATTAAGATTCAACCATTTCGTACCGCTAAAAATCCGTCTATCAATCAACATAGACTCCAACATGAGATTTCCTGACGGAACCTTCAATTCAGTACAATTTCACAAATATTGATATATCTCCACACAACTCACCAAACCCAAAAATATGTCGATATAATGTCGAACAAGTGCTTGATCATGAGGAAGATAGGGATTGCGATGATATGCAAAACTCTCTCCTAATCCGCTAATCTTTTGCCAAGCCAACCCATATCGTTCAACCTTGTCAACTCATCATCCACCCACTCAATTTTAAAAACCATCAAATTATAGTACTAACTCATAATTAAACAATAATTATTGCTTTTGTTTCCATTCATTTGTTTTGTATTGTTGCATGACTAGTTGTCTCTTACTACCTAAGCCACTTGGTGGAGAGTTCTTTGTCACTCATTGGACATATGGTGGTGGAGGTGATATGTTTCTGGCCTGTCCATTTCTCCTTCATAGGAATATCTCAATTATAATATATTAGTTGTTCTAGTTCAATTTCAGTTCAATTATGACATTAGTTTAAAGCTAGATCTTTGTGTTAATTGTAGTTTATATGTTCCTAATCAAACATTAGATATTCCACTAGGAGATGATTGTCTATCTAGTTTCATTATGGGAAAGTATCCCTACACCTTCCTGATTTTGCTTAACTAATGTCTATGCCCATTGATTTAGAAACTTAGAGACATGAGAGACCTATTAAGAGCCAGGTAAGAGTTAACATCGATTATATATTCAGATTTTGAGAAAAAAAATTATCTTACGAAAAGGAAGATTGAAATTACTATTCTGTATTGATCGAGTCGACTCTTCAACATAAGTTCAAGTGAAGCATTAGAGAGCATACATCAGAGTCATCCAACCTCTACTTGTGCCTCACGAATCTCATTCAACGAGAACGAAAACGTTTGATAAAGCCAGCTAGCAATCTTTCGTTATTGTCCCCCGTCCAATTGTATCATCTTACAATCAACACTCAATTTTCTTTTTCTTCAAAAAAATATTTCAACTATCCTTAGTCAGAATCAATAAGTCCATATAGAACTACATAACCTACTAAAAACAAAATGCATATATAAGGTTGATAATGGCATATAATGATTTAGTCCAATGTTTATTACCATTATTGATGAAAAAATCACAAAATACAAAAAAAAAAAACCTTCAAACACTTCAACCCTGGCTACTCCCTAAACATCCAAATATAAAAAAACCCATAAGAAACACAAATCCCCTCCACCTAATAACCAGACAGGAAAAAAAAAAGCTCCGCGAAACACACGAGAAAAAAACATTCAGTCGAGCCACTTCGTTCCTCCGCAATCCAAAACTCTCGACACACACGCCGACACGATCCACATCACTTGAGAGGAATGAACCTGGAAGAGTGAGTCGCACCGACACCGGGCTTCCCGTGCCTCACGGGCTTATACGAGATCGAAAACTCGGCCAAGTAGTGACCGATCATCTCGGGCTTGATCTCGATCTGGTTGAACGTCTTCCCATTGTACACTCCGATCACGGACCCGATCATCTCGGGGACAATGACCATGTTCCTCAGGTGGGTCCTGACGGGCTCGGGCTTTTCCCCTGGTTGGGCCTCCCTCTTGGCCTTCCTCAGCTTCTTGATCAGAGCCATGGGCTTCCTCGTCAGCCCACGCCTGAACCTCCTCCGGGCCCGGGCCGTGAACAGCTTCACCAGGTCGTCCGTCGGCATGTCCAGGAGCGCGTCGAGATCCACGCCGCGGTAGCTGAACTTCTTGAACGTCCTGTTCTTCTTCCCCGCCGCCGCGGCGGCGGCGGCGGAGACGGCGACATCGGACTCCACGTTGGCCTGCAAAGAGAATAAATTAAAGCTTACGTCAGCTCTAGAAGCCGGTCCGTGAATCAATGCAGTCAAAAGCGCGCGATCTCACGTATAAGCGTTTTGTTCCTGATCTAGTTGTAAAGCCGCAGATTATTTTGACTGCATTAGTAAGGGAAAAGAGATATTCTGCGTATTTGGTGATCCAGAAATGTAAGTTTTTCAAACTTTAAAGCGCGATTTTGATAATATTGATCGTGAATATATGAGAAAGAGAGGAGGGATCACCATGCACAGAGGGTTGGAAATGGAGATCGGGGAAAACCCTAATGGATTGGTGTCTCTGCTGAATGTAAGTTTTTTTTTTTCTTTGGGGAGAGGTGATGAGCTAGCAGAAACCTCCTTTTATGGCAGGAAATTAAAGGGGAGAAAGAAAGTTTGAGATGTGAAAAAAATTTGGAATCACTCAAAACTATATTGCCTGATTTTCGCCGGATTTATGTACATTTCTAGGGTTGTTGAGCCACTTATAATAGTAATAGTAAGGTGTGCATTATTTAAGGCCTAGAGGTTACGGTTAGCTCCTAGGGCCATGCAACGGTACGGTGCAGTCCAGATCAGACCGATACAAAACTCAAGAATTATAAAAAAAAAATATAGAAAACTCGTGTGTTACCACTCTTGATATGAACGGTGGTATGATATGTATCAAAAGGGATAAGCGAGAAGGGATTTTGTGGGTTTTATTGTAACCACTTCGATTAACTATTATAGCAATTGTGGAAAAAACCATGCATATTCGATTGTGCTATACTCGACTTAATGTGTATTATATGTTAACTCAACCCCATCAAATAATCTTCAGTTTCCTCGTTGTTAATTGACAATTTTTGTCTACAAAGACCAGTTGTTCACTTGTGAACGCCCTAGCTAAGCTACTCTCCTTACATTCTAGTAACAATTTGGGACAAACCAAATACATTTATGTCTATACTCAAAAGATCAAATAAAAGACTACAATACAAAGAAAAATGTAGGGCATCTATTTTCCTGATGATCATCATAAGGTATTCTGTGATCGAAGAGGAGCTGCTTCAGGATCGAATTCACCTTTATGACTTTCCGGATGCCTAATAATCCGCAATGGTTGAGGGGAGGATGTATTAGCTGCAAATTAAAGAAGTTCACGATAGATTATATTAGATTCGGCTGGTTGTTTGTCGTCAAGGTCGAACAAGGATATATTTGTGCATTAACATTGGAAATTAAGAAGCTAGCTAGCTAGCTAGTATCGTATGACTTTTTGTAGTGGTTAACTTACGTTCAACCATGTCTTTTGTTTTGTGAAGTAGGAACGTCCCTGCGAGAATCGTCACAAATCCGCACATTTCTGTAACAATTTGTATTGGGTTTTGTCGATCCCAATCCTGCACACAAAAAGCGTTCAACTATAAAACAAAATTATAACAATCAACATACAATCCCTTTTACTTCCTAGCTAGGGTTTTTCCAAAAAGATCAAACAAATATAACAAATCAACGATTTTGACCATAAAACTCATATTTAGGATATAACATATATTTATGAACACACTACCTTTAAATCAACCCATTAAACTTCATTTTCTTGATGGATTATGAATCACCCACTAAACTTCATTGACTAAAAAGGCCTTGAAGTAAGATTATCCAATTCAGTAGTGGTTCTAATTACCATTTGTATTTTTTTTACACAATTCCACACAACGTACAAAGATGAGGTCATGAATGGAAGGAATGTTACCTTAAACATAATGACACTTGCTAGAATAGTGAATGTTGTAAACATGACATAGTATATGGGTGATACTACAGCTGTGTTAAATGTGTCGAGAGCCTGCATTTGCAAAACGATCATCAGAAAACAAATAGAGCAATCATGTTAGGAAAGAACTATGTTAGTTATTACAAACTTTTTATTACAGTATACGTTAGACCGTTAATAGTAACATAGTGAACAAAGAGTACAAATGAAGTGATGGAAAACCAGCGGCGGATTCAGGGCATAATAGAATACTGAACCAAATTTTATTAGAAAATTAAATACCTTACCGTAAAAAATCATAGTTTTTTTCACAATATCAATTGCACACATCGATCTTTTAATATAGAGAATTTATCAACAATGAGTCTACATCCATACCAATAGTATACTACTCTCTCTCCAAATAAAATAGTTAACCAATCGACGAGAAATTCATCGTTCATTTTGTTGCGTAAATCAGTTTTCACCTATTTCATTATTGAAAAAGTTCTCTCCATAGCAGTTGTTGAAACGGGCAGTGTCAACACTAGACAAATCAATTTGTATTGTGTGTCCATTCTTATTTTTCACCGCTGCTCTAGTCATTTTTCAAGTGATCACAAACCTCATATTTCTGTTAGTCCTTTACGTTTTAGATTTTTAGAATTTTATTTCATTGATTGTTGATCATTGGAGCTAGAATTTCTAGGCTAAATTAGGTTGTGATATGAATATATTCATCTTACCTATTTTCCTAAGTACACACAACTTTATTATAAAATAACACTTGGCAGAATGATTAAAATCGACAAAACTCATAAGAACTATACTAGCTCTCGGATCCGCCATTGTGGGAAAACGTACCTTGTTCAGATAATTCATTTGAGTGATCACACAAGCCATCACAACCAAAGTGAAAGCCCATGTTTGTGGGTAGACTAATTGGTTCATTCCCAAAAATGTTAACTTCAAAGCAATTCCAAGTGCTTTGACACTCATAACCTGGTCCATTAATTACAGTAATTACCACAAACAGTCAAAACACATAATCCTTAAATCACATTTCAATGTCATCAAGATACGTATTATAATACCAAAAAAACTGTACTTTGATGGAGTATAGTATAAAGAATTTAATAGATTAGTAGTGTACATAGTTCATACCGATAGTGAACCAACGAGTGAACAAACAGCAATGTAGACGAGCACATGTGTTTGCCCATAACGAGGTATTATATGCACGATCAGTATATATACCGCTACTAATACGAATCCGACGTAGAATAGTGACACTGCAATAAAATATAACGATGTATTTTTAAAATATCTTATGTGGAATTTGGGTTAAGATCTTGGATTTCAATATAATTGTTTGTAGTTTGATATCAGTTACCTGGTTCTGTCGCGAGTTGAAAGACTTCAATGACGGAATCGATGTGGCGCTCTTGAGGAGCATGTAAAACGATTATCGTCGAGCCCATAACGCACAGAATACACCCAACTATTCCAAACATGTGCAGCTTCTCCCCCAGTATCACATGAGCCAGAGCAGAACTGCAAATTATAACGTGAAGAATAATTGATTAAGTATTTAATTAATTAATTAACCAGCTAGATTATTCATGTGTGTATAGTTAATTACCTGATAATCACACTTAGAGCACCGAGAGGGGTGACCAGAATAGCGGGTGCAAATGCATAGGCTGCAAAGTTAGCAACTTCCCCCACAACCACTAAAAAAAAAGTAAAAGAAATTGCATGTAATTAAGGATAATAATTAGGGTTATAAACAACAATATACAAGAAGGGTGAAAACTTTGGTTGAGGTACTCACTTGTTGTCATGCCAATCCACCATAGTGGTTCATACAAGTAAGAGTAACCACCGGCACCTAAATCGACATGTCAAATCATCTTCAAAAGAATAATAATTACGTATAAATGAGGAACGTAAACAAAAAATGTACCCTTCAATTAGAGAACAGAAATAAATTGTTTCTTCCCGTGATCAAGAAGTAACAAGAAACATCAACAACAAATCATACCGGTTCAAAAAAATCATCAGACAAATTTACCGCATCCACATCGTTTCATACTAATTTTGTGCAAACAACACTAATTAATTAAGTACCTGCTCTGAGGCCGGAGGCACTAGCTTTCTTCAGACCCTTTTTCTTAATAATGAAACTAGATCCTATAAACAAGCTGGAAGACAGAGCCAACACCAAGCCCTTCAGATTAGATGCAGAAATCCCTCTGTAAGAACGCATTGCTGCAATTTGGTTGATGACGAGAACAACAACAACATAATTTATACGCATAACAGATTTAATTTCGTCTTCTCCTTGTTTTCCTTCTTGATCCAACTTATCATAATAATTGTACTTTATTATTCCTCAATTGTGAAATAATGTGCAGGAAAAAAAGAAGAACAATGTTAGGGAAGTTTATTTATTGAATAATGATGATAGTATACAAGATTGGAGAATGAAAAGGAAGAAACTCAGCAAAGTGATTTATTAGTGATCACAATGGAAAAGAAAGTGGTTGTTATTGTGTCATTTTCTTTTTGATAAATTTTTTATTGTCTTGTCATGTATTCTTGTTGCTCACCGTTTTTTAGTATTTTGGATTTATTCTCTTTTATTTTTATATATATAATATTTTTTTGACCTTTTAGGTTTCAAACACATGATTTTTGTACAGATGTGAGATTTAGAAGATGTCACGAAGACAAAGAAAGAATTTTATGACAATCAAGAAAAGTATTATTACACAATAAAAGATTATGCGGAGTCCACACACGTGGAGTGTAGGCCACAAACATAAGAGTAACTGTGCTAATATTGATAAACGATAAGCAAGAATTATCGAAATGATGAAAACTGTTGCTCCATTTCAAATTTTCTGCAACGAGAGTGATTATAGGAAGGATATTTTGGTCTTCACAATTGCTTATTTTCTTATTTATTTATTCATAAAAAAGGCATGCATTGGGATTTGAACCTTGGTCTCTTTAAAGGCAAGCAGGGATCATAACCAATCACACTAAGTATATTTATTGTATCTATTTAAATTCAAACATACACGAATCTAAATTATGAAAATCATATGACTTTTTTAACGATTAGTTGGCCACTGAATCTCCCGTAAGTACTTATTTGGTGTTTTAATACTTTGATTATTTTAGTTGTAGTTTAATACTTAATTTAAATTTCTATCTATTTTATAAATATACAATAACCCTAAAATTGCAGCCCAAATATCACTGGTTCGAATATTGCATATCGAATTGCAATATTAAACATGTAGAAGCAATATCGACTTCTTAAATTAATATTATTTTTCAGAATTACTATGGAGAAATTATATCTTTGTGCAAACTATATGAGACTGGTTCTTTTAATGTTTTAGTCGGGATAACCGCTACATTTTAAACTTCTTCATAATCTGGCATGATTGCATCCAATGATCATTATACAAGATTGTGTTTAATAGGGTGGCTCATTTCACCACTTTTTGACGTGTTAATGAATTTGTAGGACAATGACAGGTCTACATCTACACTCATCACAATTTACACATCATATAAATGTGAAATGTGAAATGAGAAAAGAGGGATTCCATTTCAAATTTGATGCGTACAGAGCAATTTTTTAGGGGTGAATTTAGAAGATGCCAGTGCGGTCGGTCTGTTGAGCACGAAAGTAAAAATATGTTTTCATTTAAACGGGCCCAAACTGTTATTTGGCCCACTAATCGTGCACCCATCGCCAATGCAGTCAAATTTGGGATTTTGATCGTAAAATCGTAGGATTTTAGGATTTTACTTAGGGATTCCGATCTTGATTTTACTATAAAATCGGTGGACCTTAAAATCGTTTAAAATCGGGACTAAAATTGTTAAAATCGTAAAATAGTACCGAAATCGGGATTTTGATTGTAAGAGAACAAAATAGGTGGTTTGAGCCAATTTAAAATAAGTATAACTGTTTCAGCGGAAAGGGCAATGGAATCTTCTCATATATTTTTCTATTAGAAAAATATTCAAAAATAATAAAAATAACCAAATTAGGGTTCGGTTAATCTCTTTCCCTTCACCCCATTTAACTTATTGGTAAAACACCTGTCCTAATATAGGAAGTATGTAAGAACTAACATCATTATTAACTAATTAATTTATTAATGAATATATTTGTACCAAGCCACTAACATTACTTATTTTATTGGAGTTCAATTATTTTTAGTTTTAAATCATACTTAGTAGACGATGTCGAAATATTACTTTGAGTTAAACAACCTAGACATAACATGAAAATAAGAGCCAAACCCATGAACTATATCCCTTCATCGTGAATTATTTTGAGTTACACATTAAATAACAATTAAAATAGTGATTTTGGAACATTAATCTTGAGAATTATCTTATGGAAAAAAATCTTCTGAATTATCATTTTAAATGCTATGTGTCTTTGTGATATTAATAATTTACCTTATTAATATTCTTATATGCTATGTTCTATATGGTACTTAAAATCCTACGATTTTACGATTTTGATTTTACCCCAGTTTTCGATTTTAGGTAAAATCTCGATTTTAACTGCTTTGCCCATCGCAGCCTCTCCAAATCTTCCTACTCTACTCGCCGGGTCATCTCCTCCACTACAAAATATCTCCTCATGTACTCAAAGTTCTCACTGAAACCTAATATCTACAACTTAGGCGCAGAGGGAGCAACCGATGGATTGTAGCGACCCCCACTATTTTGATAGCTAATCAAGAAGAGCGCATTTGTTTAGTTGTATGGTGATTCACTTAATTAACAATTTTTATTCCGTTGACAGCCTCCTCTCCGCAATTGTATTGTGTTCACGAAGATCTGAAGGCGCAAGTGCAACAGGTCCAGGGGTAAACAATATGTATAAAGCGTTGGCCAAATTGAATTGAGTCATTCTACTTGGAATATGAAGAATTTTGCTTAATTGCTTTGGTTCGTGATGCAACTATGTTATGTTTGAAGGTAGACCAACGCAAACAACAACACAGCTCCAGGGCTATTCTGCACATTAGGTAGTTGGGGCATTAATTGATAATTATTTGGGATTATTCCTCCAAGTACATAATTTGGAACGTGCCATTATATTGCATTGATTAATAGTTGTTTGAGATTTTTCAAATGAGTGATTTGACATGTTAAACTCTCTTATTTTTGAAAATGGAGTCTTCGAAGTGGAATATGAAGATTTTGGATTAAGCTTGGTTTCGTAACGCCCTTATGGGTGTTTATTCTCTAAAATGCAGCTGTCTTTCAAAGTGCCCGTTGCAAATGGCAAGTCAGGATACAACGATGGTACCGGTACACGTTTATATCATTAGTAGGTAGCAGATTGTGTCTGTTCTACTATATCATTTAGCTAAATACTTAGTTGTTCTTTTCAACTAAAAATTATGCTTAAATGCTGTGATTGGCCTCAGAAATGTATGTCTTTGCATTAACTGTTAATGATTGTGAGTTTTGGTTTAATGGTGAAAAGTCCATTTATTTAGAAGTCTAAATTGGGCAAACCTATTGGACAATAGGAATGCCATACATTAGTGTCGTGGGAGGTTTGTTTGATGTCTCAGGGTGTTAGATTTTTAAGAAGGTTGTTTGTTGTGGCAGAGAGTCCCTAAAGCTAGCGAGGTATTCCTATGTGGGCTTTTTCTTTGTTTGACTTTTTCTCGCCTTTTTTCTTATCTCTTTTTCTATTTTTGGTTTTTGTGTGCTACCTTCAGTTGCTACGTCTTCATTTGTGAGCCATCTATACTTTTCTTATTCAGTGCCTAAAAATCATATATACTCGATTGCATAGTAGTTACTAATAGATACATTTATACCAATAGAGAGATTTTAAGTTTTATCAGTTGTTAGTTTTAATATTTACTTACATTGGTTGTTTATGTAGTTTTCTTTGTAATATTTCTCATTATACAACTAATTACTATGGCTACGTAGTTGTATAAGTGGGGGTTGGACATGATAGTTCTTAGAAGCATCAATACTTGAAGGTTATTATAATGACCAAATTCTAAAGTTATGATTTGCCTTCAACTTGCTTGGAGCATTTCAATTATGCATCAATTGTTCTCTCCGTGTAGTTAACTCTCAGACAAATCGAAAATCTTGCTGATATGTGCTTGATTGTAGTTAAATTTAGGGTTCTACTGCATTGTTGCTTTACTCTTTTTTCGTGGTTGAGTCTGCTTCAAAAAATTTAGTTTGATTTTAGAAAATTTTGCTTCTGCAGTCCTGTCTTGCCACCAACGCGTTCAATAGATGGAGACGGGAGAGGCGAAGGCTATTTTTGTGTTGTTGTTGCTGGTTTAGGGATCGGTTTGTGAAGAAGAGGGAGAAGAGAGGGGGAAAGGGAAATGCAGGAGAGGGGGATAACTCTTTTCTCCGACAAAAATGGAGTGAAGAAAGGAATTATGATCAGTAAGAATATGGTTATCTTACATAACGGTCGCTATTCTGTTTGAATTGAGCTTGAGAGGCAGTGATAAGGACAAGCTGCAACCAATTCATAGTGAGAAGAGAGCTATGAACAATGATCATGTCTTATTTCAAGTTAGAAGGTAGTTTCAGTATAAGGATTATTTAATTTGACAAGTTGTTTCGTCCATGATTCTTGGTAGTTTCAGTGCCATTCTAGCCAATGTTTAGTCTGTAATTTTTGAGAATTGATGTGCGAGTAATGACTTTCACTTAGCTTCAACTATTATGTGTGTATTTATTGGCATGTGATAGAATTCTCTTTTCCTTTTTATTGAATTCATTTTCATACTCTAATTGTATTATTTGTACATAGGCAAATCATGCTCGAGATGGCAACTCGCTGATATGGCTGGTGCAAGGAATGAAGCCATCATTAGAATTCAGACCGACAACGGGGAGGGATGCCTAGGACTAATTCAATGATGATTGATGATGGTATAATAAAAACTGCAGTCTGCATCAGCACCAATTTCTAGGCCTAAGTAAAGGTATTCAACCCAGAACTCTGCTTAGCGCTAAAAATTGCCCTCACCCAATCTTGATCCTGTTTGACCCACTTCTGAAGAGTCAAGATATATGACTAATCCTCCCCGTTCGTATTTTCTTATTGACTCTTTCTGACCCTGTAGGTTGGGGCGGGTCGGGAAGAATTGGATTAGTGGGTCGGTACTAATCAAGTGGAATCTCAATCCCTTCACTCTCACTTGCTTTCTCTCCCATTCCACAAGTGGGTAACATACAGTAATCCGGCCAACGGACCGGGTAATAAGCTAGTACATTATTAAGGTCCCAAATCTCTTCTCCAAAAGCCAAGTCAAAATCCAACAAAGTGTTTTGAGAAAAATGAGAAGTTGAGAACCACGAAAAACAGAAGAGGGCTGAAAAGAAAAAAACGAAGAATCATCCCATTCCCCACTCTCCCAATGCGACCCACGTGGCATCTATCCACCCATCCTCGCCGACAAATCACAGCCGTCAAAAGGGAAATGGGAAAAAACGAAAACGTTATCTCCTGTCTTTTACCTCACCCTGCCATCCGACGGCCCACAGCCCACTCATCACGAACCAACGGCTGAGATTGTTGGGTTTCGATGTCAAATCTCGAGACTTTGGGAGAGTTGACTCTGCTGCTACACCTTCCTCGAGCGGACGGCCCGCCCGTCTTCAAATGTCACGTTCAAGCCGACGAAACGCGTGGCATTCCAGCTTGCAAAGTTCGTCTCTTTGAAGAGCAGTGAGTTCATGGTACGAAGCTGCTGCTGCTGCTGTTCTGCTTGAGGATTCTGGTAAAATTTTCTTTCTTTTTATCTGGGTTTTGATGGATTGGATTGTACTGAGATAGATCTGTTCGAAAGTTGCTGCCTTTATCACTCGTTCTGTTTATGCTATGGAAATTGAGATTCTGGGTTCATCGTGCTTACTTGTTCTTAGGAGTGGATGTTGTTGGGTTTTGTTTTTTTTTGTTTTTGGGGAAGTCGAGGAACTGGGTTCTGGGTTCTTGAAAGTGAAATGAAAAGTTGGGATCTTTGGCTTTCAGAGATGAGCTAGAGAGAGAGAGAGAGAGAGAGAGAATGAACAGTTAATTTCAATCATAATCCACTGTTCTTGCAGAGGATTTCATGAACTGGTTTAATTCATGGGACAATCCTGATGTCAATCCTTGTTATCTTCTGTGCTAAATTCCAGGATTGCTTGGAATTGGAGGAACTGTGATTCACAAACTATATCATATACTAGATGGATCCTGAAGATGAGATATGTGGTGAGACATGGGGGACGAAATCCTCGTTGTCGAATTCGTTACAAGAGAAATCAGCAGATTTTGGGTCACAACAGCAGCTTCAGAAGAAGTGGGACAACAACAACAGCTCCTGTATCATGGACTATGGATTCAGGATTGGCCAACAACAACCGCCATTCCGAGAACAGATCAACAATTCGATACAAGGCAAGAACAGCAACGACAACAAACCCCCTGAGTGGGATCCAAGTGCAATGCTTAACAATCTCTCTTTCTTGGAACAAAAGATCCATCAGCTCAATGACATGGTCCATTTGATAATCACCCGAAAAGGCCGAGTTCCCAGCAAACCGGACGAGCTCCTGACTCAGCAGCAGCAGCAGCTCATAACTGCCGATCTCACCTCCATCATTGTCCAGTTGATATCCACCGCTGGTACTCTGCTTCCATCCGTCAAAACAATTGGACAGTTCAGCCAGTTCACACCGAAACCAGCTGCTGTTTCTCCAGAGCAGCAACATCAGCAGCCTAACAACAGCATGGATGTCGACCATAACTATACCACTGAAGAGCACGAAGAACATGAGGACGGTGAAGCCGAGCACCTCCCACCTGGCTCGTACGAGATTCTACAGCTCGAGAAGGAAGAAATCCTGGCCCCGCACACTCACTTCTGCACTATATGCGGGAAGGGATTCAAGCGAGATGCCAACTTGAGAATGCACATGAGAGGACACGGGGACGAGTACAAGACCCCTGCAGCCCTCGCAAAGCCTCCAACGATAAAAGAAGTGAGCTCAGCCGCTGCAGAGCCAGTGATGATCAAGAGATACTCGTGCCCTTTCTCGGGCTGCAAGCGGAACAAGGACCACAAGAAGTTCCAGCCTCTCAAAACGATCCTCTGCGTCAAGAACCACTACAAGAGGACTCACTGCGACAAGAGCTACGTCTGCAGCAGGTGTAACACCAAGAAGTTCTCGGTCATGGCCGACCTCAAGACCCACGAGAAGCACTGCGGGAGGGACAAGTGGCTTTGCTCGTGCGGGACCACCTTCTCGAGGAAGGACAAGCTGTTCGGGCATATCGCGCTGTTCCAGGGACACACCCCAGCCATTCCTCCTGACGAAACCAAGACAGTCGTTGCTCTTGCACATACTGATGATCCTGCCGCTGATGGCGGTGGCCTTGGAGATCAAGCTCTCATGGACTTCAAGTCGGTTGATGATCCTGTTGGTGCAGCCGCTGTGGCGAGCTGCTTCTCCCCTTTGAACTTCGATTCGTGCAATTTCGGTGGTGGGTTTCCGGATTTCAATCGACAGGGGTTCGACGATTCTGAGGCTTCGTTCTCGTTTCTTTTGTCCGGCGGGTCGTGTAATTACAGCAACCAGAATACTGGAGGGGAATCCTAGTACTAGCTGTAGTGGTAGGACTAGCAGTGAACTATTATTCACAACTAAGTAGAGAAATTCATGTGTCTAGAGCTTTCGTTTTGTACGTTATAGAAGGTAAGGTTTTATGCATTGAAAGCTAATAAAAGCAGGGATTCGTTTCTCAGTACTGGTTGAGAAAACCAGCTACAGCTAATACAGGATAGAAAGTTACAGAAAACCTGCAGAAAACTGTGGCAGGTACAAGATAAAGAAGTTCTGATTACTCACTCCAGAGAAAGCCTTACAGAGTTTTAATGGAGTCACTGGAGAATCCATGACTGCGACGGGAGTTGTCATCGTCGAGCAGTACGAGTTTCAGGCCTCTCGCACTGTCTCCCCGTGTCAACTTCCGATGAGGAGTAGGGTAATACCTTTCCTTCAACACCACGTCATCGTGGACAGACCAGGTATGCCCTCTGGGAGAGCTTTCACCCCATAAGAACCTTTCGGAGAAAGGGTTTACCAGGCTGCCCCTGAACTCCTGAGCCGTCTCGCATATCAAACCCTGAACCAGACACAAGATGAACCCGTTTCAGTAATTGGGGAGAGAGAAGGAATGAGAGAGAAGGAGAGATTGTTAGTTTGTTACCTCTAGCATGGCTTTGAACAGGAGGTCGGGATCATGGCTGATCAGGACGACTCGCTCACCATCGCGGCAGAGCTTCTTGTAGAACAAGGCACTGGAAAGGACATGATCCTCTCGCCTCGGCGAGGGCATCGATGAAAATGGACTGTACCATTTTGTCTTGCTGGTGGTTCCAGTTACCGGCGAAGCAGGTGGTGTCGTCATCGATGAAAATGGAGGAGTGTACCATTTTGTCCTGCTGCTGCCGCCTCCAGATTCTGGCGATGCAGGTGGCGTGGGTGGAACTGCACTCTCATCTATCGAAGTCTGGACATGAATCCACCACTCTGTTTTCAGTTCACACTCTTCTATCCACTCCAACACTTTGGACGCCGCTGTGTTCCTCCTCCTGAACAATCTACTAGTCCTCTTCAGTGACTCCAGTTCATTCTTGACTGCAAAGAAAAATAAGATGAGGAACTCGATTAGCATTCATCGAAAACCCTGATCAGATAGAGAAGAATCAAAAATAGTGATTATAAAGCTGTTCAGTTGTGGAGAAGAATCAAAAATTAATCCCAACTGACTTGTCTAACTGATCCTAACAGCCATGACATGAAATGAAGGGAAATGAGAAGACGACGACAATGTTTGGTTTGGTTGGGCTAACATTACCTATTCTTGGAATGATCAACCGAGTCCCCCTGAGACCTTGTAGAAGCTGCAACGCCTTCCTTGACTCGTGGTCCAGCAGCGAAGCCGTGTCCACCACCATTATCCATTTCTTCGTCTTTGTCTCTTCTCTGCTGCGGTTAACCTGTACACCACAAATTTACATTTTACTTAACGAGCACAATGCAAGCGAAAGAGATGGGTAAAGGACGATCATTCAAACTCACATAAGATTGCTCCGCAGCAGAAGAACCAGGTGTTGTTTCAAAGGAAGCAGCAGAACCAAGTGAAGAAGCTCCACCACCAGACAAGCTTTTCACAGGGGAACGGATAATCAGATTCTGCAACGGCATCCTGTCGTTCCTTAGCACCAGTTGTAGTCCTAACTTCGCTTTATTATTCCTGGAGCTTGAGCTTGGTGTGGTAGTTGTAGCTGCCCTTTGTTCAATGGCTCCAGGAGTGCTGGAGTGCTCCTTGATCGGAGAAGTGTTCCCTGCGGCCATGATTCTGGAAGTAAGCGTGATCTTAGACGATAACGATCTGCTTAAACTGGACTTATTCGGGCTTCTATTCTCCTTGTCCGGAGTAAAGAGTTCTCTCTGTGGTGGCGATTCAAGACCAGAGAAATGAAGCTTCTTTGGTGATGATCTCGTATCTTCTGTACTGATCTTCCCCATGCTTTGAGTTTTCCGGAGCTGACCACCAACTGAACCAGATTCTACTCTCTTGAGCCTAAAGCTTGTTCTCTTTACCGACGACCTGACAGCATTGTTCTCGCTCTTGGGATGCTGTTGTTCCAAACTTCGTACTGTCGCAAGAACAGATTGCGGGGTCGTGCTTTCTTCTTCTTCGCTCTCCATGATCTGAGAGAGAAGTTCCTCAATTGAGAAAGATGACGAGCTCACAGATTCTGTCACCATTGATACAGTGCAGATAGAGAAGCTTCCAGGTTCTGCATTTGGAGTAGAATTGTGATCCTCCGGTTCTTGAATGCCACCACTGACATGGATGACTGGCTGTGAAGGCGAAGTCAAAGATTCAGATTCAACAGGAATAACTTCTTCCTTCTTTTGTTCTCGGTGTCTCACTGCAGCGCCATCACATGACGAGAATGAATCGAAATCCAGCGGGTTGCTTGAATCCAAGCTTTGGCCTCGCTTTGATGCAGTTTCTTCCCTTGCAGGGCTATCAAAAAGAGACATGTCTAGGTGTCTCTGTCTCTGGTCTTCTGCCGGCGATGCATTGCTGTCCAAGTCAGATTCAACTGCAGCAACAAAGAGAGTATCCAAGTCCATGGTATTAATGAGTTTCACTGGTGATCTTAGAGTAGAATCAATGTCCACGTTTCCACTCTTTGATGACGATTCTTCAAACGTATCTCCTTCTTCCGCTTCGTGGACAACTAAACTACCAGCTTCGGAGTTTGAAGTTTCCATCAGTTTATCATCCCTTGCTTCAGAAAACGAGACTGGCAGCGAATTAGCTTCAGAAATGCTGGATTCTGTTTCAAGGGGGGAAATTTCCAGATGGCCTTCCTCCAGTGGTCTACTTGTGGTGTCCAGATCATCTCCTTCCATCGTCTCAACAGACATTAGAGAATCAAAGTCGTCCATATTGATATCTGTCTCTAAGCTGACAGGGAACTCTGTGTCTAATCTCTTTGAAAGGTGAACTTCAACAGACGGCCATTCAGGACTTCTATTCAGTTCATTGAACTCCACATTCTCGCTTCCATGATAACTTTTCAAGGTTTCAGGGGACTTGGGACTTCTATCGAGTTCACCACATTTCTCATGATAACTTCTCAAGCTTGGAAGAGAATCAGGACTTCTATTGAGTTCATCAAATTTCCCATGCTCGCTTCCACTTTCACACTCTTCATCAGCAATACTAACAGTTGCAAAGTTAGGAAGTTCTGCAACTTCTTCATTATCAACATCTACACACGGGCTTCTTCCGATATCTTCATTACCCACTAAGGACAGCTGAAAATCAGGCTCAGAGAGATTTTGTACCAACAAAGACAAGTACCCCGTATCTGCTTCAGAAGGATCAATTTTGACATGTTCTTGATCCTTCATTATTGATCTTTCATCGTATCCTACATCTGTTTGCACCATGGTTGGAACTTCTGTGACTTCACCATCGTTTCTGGACAAAAGGCTCATTTCATCTTTTCCATTTGACACAAACGGCAGGTGAGCCTCAAGTAGATTGTCAACTGGAAAAGGTGACTTCGCAAATTCTGTGAATTCACCATCTTTTTCCTCAAATGAAACCAACTGTAGGTCAGCCTCGAGTAGATTCTCAACCGAAAAAACGGACTTAGGAACTTCTGTGAGTTCACCATCATTTATGGACAGAGAGCTGATGTCATATTTTCCCTCAAATGGAACCAACTGGAGCTCAGCCTCGACTAGATTCTCAACCGACCGAGGCAAGTTAGAAACTTCTTTGGCTTCATCATCATTTCTACACAAGCTTGCTATGTCTTCTACCATCCCCGCAACTAAAGAAACCTGTTGCATCTCAGTCCCAGAAAGGTTCTCATCCATCATAGATGAGTTCACTGAATCCGATTTCTGGTCCTTCATAGATGAACTTACACAATCCACAATGTCTTCTTGAACTTCATCAATATTTTTAAACGAGCTCCATAAGCCTTCCTTCCCCACAACAGAAGAAACCTCGTGCAAGTCAGTCCCAGACAGACTCTCATCAATCACAGACAAGCTCACTGAATCAGATTTCTCGAAAATACCAGGTTCTGAACTTCTCTGGTCCTTCATTGATGCTCTTCCACTATCCAGCAAGTCTGCTTGAATTGTGCTTGGAACTTCAATGACTTCGTCATCTTTTCTGTCTTCCTTGCCCTCCTCATGGGACACCAGCGGCTGGTCAGCTTCAAGTAGATTTTCAACTGTCAAAGACAAGTTCACCTCTAAAAGAGCAGGTTCTGAAGGTTCCCTGTCTCCCATCATAGCTATTTCTCTGTCCAGGTGGGCTTTGACAGCTGCAAAAAGTAGTGAAGAGTATAGGTTCGCCACTTCACTGGGTTCTCCTTGAAATATTACAGACAAGTCTTTGCTCCCACTCTCTGCCAGGGCATCATTAGCAAAGGAGGACTCAGATACATCATTATCTTCAAATTCACTTCCTACAACAACTGAACCACATGTTCCATAGTTTGAAACTTCCGTCACTTCATTATCCTTTCTCAAGGGAACCCTTGTTTCATCATTCTCTTCACAAACGGATACCCGCGTCAAGTGGGCATCAGCCGATTTCCCAGCAATATAGCACAAGTTTTCAGAATCAGATCCTAGAACAGCAGCTTCCCCTTGTTCTTGATCTTCAATCAGTGAACTTATAGAAGCTTCTTCGTGTCTTGTTACTGGACCATCAGTTCCCAGCTCTGAAACTTCCAATGCTTCATCATCATTTATATATGGATTTCCAATCTCCACTTTCCCCTCTGCAAAAAGCACTTGCCGAGAGCTCTCAGTTGGTTCCACCTCTGTCAACGACAAGTTAACAGATTCTAATTCAAACATTCCACATTGTACATGATCTTCCTTCACCAAGCATTGGTTCTCTGTTTGTTCCACTACATCACAGCCAGACTGTTGCTGTTCTTCCATAACAGGCAGCGAAGAATCTAAGCTATCATGGACATCGGATACTCCTTCACATGAATAACATTCTCTGCTTTCGTCTTGTGAAGAAGATTCATTACAGATAGCCTCCAAAACAACTACCTCTTTCTTCTCAGTACTGAAAAAATCCTCAGAATCCCTTAACTGAAACTCTGCTTCTTCCTTCTGCAACAAACCATTCGGAGCAAAAGAGTAAGAAAGATGACATTCTTGAAAACACGACCACAGAGAGTAAGGCATGACCACAGAAAGTTGAACACAAGGTTTCACAATTTAGCTTATGAAACTGACCATAGTCACTTCGTTCTCTGCAGCCAGAATAGGCAATGGGGATTCCGACTTGATATCTACTTCCGTAGCAGGCAATGGAGACTCCAACTTGACCTCTTCTTCTACTATCCCTGACACTTCTTCACATGAATACTGTTCACTGCTCTCACTAACCCCAGAAAATTCCCCATTCGCAGCTTTCCTAGCAAATCCATCGTCTCTTTCGCCGCTCAAAACCTCCCTCACTTCGTCTGAATCCCTAATCCCAAGTTCTTTATCTTCCTTCTGAAACAAAGAAATCATAACAAAAATGAGCAGGAAGACCACAAATCTTGAAAACACACAACGACAATGGAAAGATTGAAAAGGTAATCGCGATTCACAGTTCGGCTAATGAAAGAAGTCAGCCAAGTCGGTCACCTGAGGAGTCGTCATCTCTTGTTTAGCTTCAACAAGCCCTGGCTTTTGCTCTTCCTTCTCTTCAACCAAAGCAACATCCATAGCTGAAGAAGCAGAAGGATTCTGCATATCGTCAGCGCGACTCATTGGCACCCAATTCAGCCGATAAACTCTGGTTGAAGCGCCGATTCGGATCGTATCTCCCTCAGCGACCTCCACTCGAACTCCTGGCTCAATCTTCTTCCCCGATACCCAAGTTCCATGAGCTTCCGAACCCACACAAATCGAAACCATACCTCAGCCAAAAATCAAGAGATTCGAACAAAAACAGAATCCCTAGGCGGCGGAGAAAAATAATTCAGGAGAGAGAACAAAAAAAAAATTGAAAGTAGGAAAGCTCACCGGAACTCAAATCGGTGACGAAGAGCTGGTGAGTAGAAGACTTGACGATGATCTTGAAGTGGAATCTACTGATGCTCGGATGCGTCAACACGATCAAGTTGTCCGGATGCCGGCCGACCGTCACAACCTCCTCCATTTCCGTACCGCCACCTCCTTCTCTCGCCGGCTGGTTTCCGCCTCCGGAGGCGACGGAGGAGCCGCCGCCGTCGGACGGGCCGACGACGAAGATGTTCTTGATGATCGAACAGTTCTGCAAGACTGAGAGAACGGGAATCTTCTTCTCCGGTAATCTTTCCCGGCTCTTGCTACTGCTGCTGCTGCTGCTTCTGCTCACCATTTCTTCGAATTCGAATCTCTCTTTTTTCCCCCCTTTCTCTCTGGACCGACTTTCTTGAATATTCTTGGGCGAGAAAATGAGAGAAAGCGGGTGGGAAAGTTGCGACGCCGACTCGTAACAGATTTTGCTTTTTGAATCAGTGAGTGAGCGGAGGGAGAAATCAGAAATGAACTCGACCGTTGTGGAGGGAAAGAAATAAAATTAATTGTCTCTAATTTACTGGAATAAATATTTGTGCGGGAATTTCGTTGGACCGAGAAAAGAACGGGCCAGGCTGCCAAAAATGTGTGAGGGCCAAACCCAAAAATAGTTCAGGATTTTGGGCCAATAAGTGGGCCGAAAGCTATGTTCTGACAGGCCCATCTATTATCACGCCCTTCTTTCTTCTCCACTCTCCCTGTCTGAGTAACCGGTAAGGTAGTTGAGAAGGAACTCTTGAGACATCCGCCATTTTTCTCCCCTCTTTCGATGTTCCCAAAGAAACAGAGCATCACAGCGCATTTTCAACAGCATTGAAGAATCCCTCCAGCACGTTGATTCCATCGAAATCCCTTCCTCGACATAAACCCTCTTTTCCCCATTTCAATTTCAAAACCCCTTCTCGGAACCGAAAGAAAGGAAGCTTTTCGCCATTCTTCAAACCCAACAATGGCGCACCTCCTCCAAACCAGTTTCCTCCCTTCCTCGCAATGTCTCCGACCAAACCCAGATCGGTCCTCTTCTTCTACCTCTTCGCCGATGGTGCAAATCAGCCGTCGGCGGAGCAAAACCGGTGGGGCAGTGCAGGCGAAGATCCGGGAGATCTTCATGCCGGCGCTGAGCTCGACGATGACGGAAGGGAAGATTGTTTCGTGGGTGAAGTCTGAAGGGGAGAAGCTCGCCAAGGGGGAGAGTGTCGTCGTGGTGGAGTCCGACAAGGCCGACATGGACGTCGAGACTTTCTACGACGGGTACTTGGCCGCAATCATGGTCGAGGAAGGCGGCGTCGCCGCCGTCGGCTCCGCAATCGCTCTATTGGCTGAGACCGAGGACGAAATCGAGGCGGCCAGGTCCAAAGCTGCTGGCAGCGGCTCTTCTGCTGCTTCTTCCTCTCCCGCCACCGCTTCCACCTCTGCGGACCCAATCCCGGCAGAAATTGCTGCTCCGATTGCTGCTTCCGCACCAATTGCGGCAGCTCCGGTGGCCAAATTGGCCTCCGCCGTGCATCCGGCTTCCGATGGAGGGAAGAGGGTGGTGGCGTCGCCTTATGCCAAGAAACTGGCTAAGGAATTGAAGGTGGAGTTGGCGGCCATTGCTGGAAGTGGGCCTCTGGGTAGAATCGTGGCTAAGGATGTTGAGACTGCCGCCGCCGCGCCTGTTCCAGTGGCGGCAGTTACGGCTGCTGCGCCGGCTCCTGCTGCAGCTTCAAATGTTGAGCTGGGGACAGTTGTGCCGTTCACCACAATGCAAGGAGCTGTGAGTAGGAATATGCTTGAGAGCTTATCAGTTCCCACTTTCAGGGTTGGATACACCATTACAACCGATGCTCTTGATGCTCTTTACAAGAAGGTAAAATTCTCAGTCACATAGTCGAAATTTGATCTGTTAAGAATGAACGGTAGTTAAGATTTGGATGGATGATATTTTTTTGGAATTGTAGATCAAGTCGAAGGGAGTGACGATGACAGCTCTTCTAGCAAAGGCGACAGCTTTAGCATTGGCGAAGCATCCTGTTGTCAATTCGAGTTGCAGAGATGGAAACAGCTTTACATACAACAGCAGCATCAACATTGCAGTTGCTGTGGCAATTGATGGAGGGTTGATCACTCCAGTTCTTCAGGATGCGGATAAGTCTGATATTTACTCGTTGTCGAGGAAGTGGAAGGAGTTGGTTGATAAGGCTAGGGCAAAGCAGTTGCAACCTCATGAGTACAATACAGGTATTCAATTGCTTTCTACTAACATGACTGGGTTTTGTTTTGGGAAGAATTATGAGAATTGGGTAAGCTGTGGTGCTCATTAAAGTTGAGAATATAGGTTGTTGGCATTTGTTTGTAAAGTATGTTTCAAGAAATTGGAAAATAACCATCGTACTTGGAAACTTCCAATATAGTGGCATTAAGCCATACTCAATCGTGTAAGCATTAAGCCGTCCTCAATCGTGTAGCAAGAATTTCTTATGAAATAAGCTCATCAGGAGAGAGAATTAGTTGCGATATCACCATCTCTGACATCTCATACTATAATGGTCACCCTCATTTATCCAAAAGTTAATTCACATGTCGCTTCTAATTTTTCAGATTCAAGAATGTCGTGGTATCTTTGTGCAAAGTTGTGAAGCCATCCAACATTTGCATTTTTGGTTCTTTGCTAGGGTAGTTTAGTGTTCATTTCCCAACTACTCGTGCTGTGAATGTAGAGCTCATGTTGGTTAGTAGGTTTACTTTGTGAATCCGATGTTAGAGGAGAGAAACCTCTCATAAGGGTTTCCCTGGAAAATATTGTTGCTACCACCGCTTTCTACATACTTAATTTAATTCGCTTCTTTGTTTCTTACACTGGAAGATCAGCTCTACAAGCAAATTGGATGTAGTTTCTTGGGAAATTTTAACCTCAGTGACATATGACCATGTTTTTTCCTTCTTTTGTTGATTTTAGATCATTTATGAACCAGAATCTAAACTCCATCCACCGCTGCTGCCCCAGAGAAATTTGAAGATCCTTAAATCTTTTTTAAAGGATCCATGTATTGACATCAACATTTAATCTTTGTTCTTTGACCTCAAGTAGGCCGTCTCTAATTACTTCCCCAAAAGACATATCCAGTGGTCAAGTAACTAATCGAACCAATTTGGTACCCTCTACTGTCCTGCTCTAGGATAGGATGGCCATGTTCTTGCTGCAGTCGGTATTTATTGCTCCAAATTTGGGAGCTTCATTGCTCAGTTTATGTTTTTAAATAAGATGATATTAGCCTGGCAATCGTATTACATTTTCTTGCACTTATTGATGTAGCTCACAACTTGGGTTTTCATTTGCACCAGGCACTTTCACCCTGTCTAACCTAGGAATGTTCGGAGTGGACCGGTTCGATGCCATTCTTCCACCTGGAACCGTAAGTTCTTGAACACACTACCCAAAGAAATATCCTTTCTTCTGCATCATTCACTTCAATACAATTGTGGAATGTCAAGTCTTAAGATGCTGTACCATTGATCTTTCTGCAGGGTGCTATCATGGCTGTGGGAGCATCTCAGCCAACAGCAGTCGGAACTAAGGATGGTCGCATTGGCATCAAGAATCAAATGCAGGTAAAACAAGCTGGTAACCACGTATTACATGATTTCCCTTTTCAGCAAACTTCCAAATTTTAACAGCAGGAAAATGTGTGGAACTGTCTGCAGGTGAACGTGACTGCAGATCATCGGGTCATCTATGGAGCCGACCTAGCTGCCTTCTTGCAAACTCTATCGAAAATCATCGAGGACCCCAAAGATCTCACATTCTAGCTGCCTTCGGGGGGAAAGAAAAACTGGGAGAAAACAACCTTTCATTAGCACCAGAGGCACAATTTAACCAGAGAATGTAGCCATTTTCTATCTGTTTTCAAAGTTAGGATTTTGAAAAGCCTGTGTTGATTTTCATTCAAATGTTGCTGAGCATTAATAAGTATGAGGTATTCAATGTTTTGATCATATTCAGGGTGGTTTTGAGTTATTGGAAGACGTTTCTGTATCAACTCAACTTGGCATGCATGATCTTCCCGAGCTGCTGTCCTTTGTATAAGTAGGCAAATTTATGTCGTTTGGTGTTCTTTGGATGAAAAATCTTAAAAGGGTCAAAAAGTGTCCTTTTTCCGAAACTATTGGCGACGAATACTTCTTTACCGTCGCCAAAAGTAACACAGACCAACACAGTCGGTCAAGCAAATGAGAGGTTCAACACTTCAACCGGTACACATGACTTGAATCAAACCGAATCCGGCCCGATTAGGCTTTACGTTAGTTGCACAAAAAATGCTCTCTTTCGGCCTTTCCCTGAGTTTCGAGCATTCAAAACGGCAGAGTCCACAAGCCATCGAAGCTCCCGTCGGCCGGAACTTTGTGCTTGCTGCTGACGACGAGCGGCGGCCGTAATTGGAGTGAGCTGAATCCGAGTCCAGGGAGTGCAGCTGGGCAGGAGCAGGTTGATTGGTTTGCTCGTCGTCGTCGTTTACCAAGGTAAGAAATCCTTCGAAGGTGCTTCTCTAGCTGTAAAAGATGGCATTTTGAGATTAGGGTTCCTGTTTTCTCGAGAACGGGTTCAGCTGGTCGGATTGATTTGTGTCTTCTGCTTGAATTTGGTAACGATAGGGGATTTGGGCAAAAAGGAGATGAGTACTGCTGAGGAGAAAGCGACGACGGCGCCTAAAACTCCTTCCGATTTCCTGAAATCCATTCGGGGACGTCCCGTTGTGGTTAAGCTCAATTCCGGAGTTGATTATAGAGGTCAGTTTTGTTTCCTTTTCCGAGACTATTCACCTTCCATGGCTTACTTTTTTGCCTTCCACTCTCAAACTGGTTGGTCTTCTTGCTGGCTTCCTGTAAAGATCTGAGCTTTTAGTGCTCTGGATCTGATTCTCGTGAGTGGCTGCCTAGAACTGGTAGTTCATTTCATTTCATTTTGCTTAATGAAGGACTTCCCAGGGGATTTGGTCGATTAGCTAGTAGATTGAGGTTGTTTATATGTGGTGTCATGAATTGAATTTTTGATTGGGGAATCTTGCGAGTTTGCCTTGATCAATCGAAGTCGAAGCACCTGTGCATAGTAGTTCCTGGTAATGGAGGAATCGAGCTTGGACGACACTGTTTTAGTGTATGCGATTTAGGTTATTTTCAAGTGAATACATAAGTGCTTTAGTCATATGAATTTTGAACAAAATTGAGGTCGAGTTTAGGGGATTGAGGAACTCTGTGTTAGAGTCCAGTAATGGGTTGTAGCCAAGTTCTAATGCAATCTTCTCTTTAGCCAAGTTTTTTCGCATGGATTCCATAGATGACTGCTTCGGGTTGGGAAATGGGTTATTTTAGTTTTCTGTTAGTGGAGAATGTGATATAGGAATGAAGGTGATGCCACATTCACGAACCTGTTCTCTGGTTCCCTCTCAACCAATTTGGTGCAGTCATGCAGAATGTAATTTGTCAAGCACTCTACCCTTTTTTTGTACTGTTTGTTTAATTCCATACATTCATTGTAATTCAGGTGTAGTAGGTTAACCATTGTACCCCAGAATGTTCATTTGAGTGCATCTGCTTTTCAAGGGCATGTAGTTGACTTATTTCGTAAGCTTGTATTTTGCTATCTATGAAATGTAAACCCCAACATTTCTCTCGAGAAAACTAGCGTAGCAGTTGAGAGCAGCAAACTGTTTAGTGCTTGCTTTTGGAGCTCAAGTGGGGAAATTTTTACCAGGCATTGGTATCTCGTATTCTCATATTTGCTGATCTAGTAGAGGTAATTTGTGTGTGTAGGTATCCTAGCCTGCTTGGATGGATATATGAACATAGCAATGGAGCAGACCGAGGAATATGTTCATGGGCAACTCAAGAACAAATATGGCGATGCTTTCATTCGAGGGAACAACGGTACGATCAGTTCTTAAACCAAGACAACCTTGTGCATTGTGTTTGTCTGTTTGATATGTAATGTGTATAATGGCAGTGGTGGAAGTAGTTGTTAGTAATACTAAAGTTTCGCTGTTTCCTGCAGTTCTCTACATCAGCACGACGAAGAGGACGCTTGCTGATGGTGCTTAGCCCGCTACGTACGACTGTGCTGCAGCAAGTGCAGATGAAAAGGCTGCTTTTCTGTGCCGAGCTAATCCTCAACCGCAGTCCTTTCTTTCATTATGTGTTTGGGGATGTTTATTCAAGGAAACAGAAGAAAACTTTAAAACCCAAGTAGTGTTTGTTTTAAATACAATAATGTCCTGATTCCAAAAATTTCCAGATATGTGAAGAGCTTGGACCTCGACTTCTCTAGTTCCAGAAGACAAAAGAAACCCCCTCTGTCGAGTAATATGATCGAATCGAGTTTTGGATTGAGTTGGCCTGAATCGACAACTACTCTTATTCGGCATTAGGAGTTCGGATCTGGCTGAATTGGATCTATTGTCGAATGAAGAACTCGACTGAACCGGATTGTTTGTGCATTTCGATACGATTCTCATACTTCAATTCGATGCTATACTGGGATTATATTAAACCGTAGACTGAAACGGAGCAACAACGGCATTATAACGTGGTGGTCACGGCAACGAGAAGCCCAGCCCGGTTTGGACGACAACCACAATAATCAAACCCTAGTTCTTCTGAATTCTTATAGCAAGGGATTGTACAAAGCGAGCGTCTTTGAAAACCCTTCTGCCGACCATATACGTCACCAAGCTTAGCTGATCGGATTGTCTCAAACAGATGTCTGCCGGCGGGCAACCGAGCCACGGAATCGGCGGGTGGTTCCCGGAGGAGCTACATACGGGAATCTTGTCCAGGCTGCCGAACTCCGCCTCCATCGCCCGATTCCGCTGCGTCAGCAAATCGTGGCGCCGCCTCCTCTCCGACGACCCCGAATTCATCGCCAAAATCCTCTTCTCCTCCTCCTCCGACGCCGGCGCGGGAAACCGAGACGCTCACATCATGACCGTTCGTTCCCGCTATCTCCCGACGACGTCGTACTCCATCGCCGGCTGCGCCGAGGGGATCCTCTGCATCTCCCGCCCCTTGTCCACGCGGGAAATCATCCTGTGGAATCCCACGACTTCAGAGGCCAAGCTGCTGCCGCCGAAGCCGCTGCTTTACTGGTTCCGCCCCGAAGGAAGCCATCTCTGGTTAGGGTTCGACCCGGTAACGGAGGACTACAAGGTGCTTGTTTGGCTCTGGAATTACGAATCCCACAAGATTTTCGTGTACAGCCTGAGGAACGATTCGTGGCGGCGCCTCTGCCGCCGCGGGCCGGAGTGGTTGAACTGCGGCAGCGGTCGAAGGGTCGGTAGCACGGCGGCGGGATCCCCAACCACGAGAAGATGCCACTGGATTTCTTCCGGCGGCGATGGATGCTCTCAGCTTGTCTCCTTCGACGCAATCAAGGAAACGTTCACGGAGCTGGAGCTGCCCTCGCCGCCGCGGGAAAATCAGGAGCGCCCATATGTCAGTACCGAAGATTCGTTTCTCATGGGGAAAGATGACTCTTACCTTGTCGCAGTGTACTCTGGAATCAGACGACCCAATTCGATGTCGTCGCCGGCGGGGATTTTCTTGGAGGTCTGGCTGGCATTGAACTATGAGGCGCTCGGGAGGAAGGAATGCCCTTGGGTCAGATTGTACAACGTCTACGCCGATGACGCAATTCCAGCTCCAGCTCCAGCTCCAGGAGCTCCGTCGGCTACAGGGGTTTGGGAACACGGCGGGTTCTTCGTCCGGTGGATGGTGATTGATGAACCTGGAATAGGCCGGACGTATATACAGACGGAGAATGGGATGGGGGATCCTATGGCCGACGGCAAGTTCTATTTGAAACGTGTGACTTACCGTCCGTCCACAGTTTCCTTGTCCCACTTTGCGGAAAGCAAAAAGTCGCTCATCAAAAGGGCAAGAGATACTTGCCGCTCGATCTGTCGAACGGTTTATGTGGATTACTCTCCATGACTGAACATTCATTTTCCTGCCCTAGTATTTTCTTTGGAGAAGATGGTACTCTGTAAGGTTAATATATATGTTCTTCATTTCCCCCTTTTGAACAACAGAAAGCTCTGATACAAATACTAGATTACACAGAACAACAAAATTGGTATAATACTTTCGCAATGATACCCTGTAGAACAGGAGGAAATAGTGTACACAAACACAGCTTCTTCTTTTTTTCTTAACCTGTACATAAGAGTTGTGATCTTCGAATGCGTTCTGGCCTCGCGCGCGCGTCTCAGATGAAGCATATGCTGCTTTAGGCACACGTTCACCGGGCGTTGAGGATCATGCGCAACACGCTCTTCATCTTCGGCCTGGCCTCTGGCGACGCGCTGACGCAACTGAGAGCAACTTTCAGAACAGAAAGCATTTGGCTTCGCACGGAAAGCGAGCCTCTCTTGATGTTACTGTCGATGATCCCGTCCCACCTGTCCTGATTCTTGGAGTTGCTGGCAGCCCACTTGGCCAGTTCGATCCCGTCGCTCACTGCTGGTTTCCCTGTAACCAGTTCGAGCAGGATTACTCCGAAGCTGTAGACGTTTCCGGCCATCGTTACCCTCATCGTGTAAGCGTACTCTGCAGAGATAGAAACATAATGTCATTCATATGTGGATCTGATCAGAGAACCATCAAGCCAAAGAGTGGATCTTTCTCTCTTTTTTCTTTCTTTCTTTTGTGTTATTATTACCTGGAGGGATGTAACCCACAGAGCCAGCGACCATAGAAAGGCTGCCGGTGCTCTTTGATGGATCAATGACCTTGCACAGCTCAATATCTCCAACAACAGGCTCCTTCATCGACTTCAGCAGAACATTCCGGCTCGAAAGGTCGAGCAGAAGAATCGGTCCCGAGCTACATCCATGGAGAGAAGCCAATCCTTGAGCTACTCCCACAGCTATACTATACCTATTAGACCAATCAACAGCCATCTTCTCTTTCTCAACCTTATGAAGAAGGTCAAAAAGGCAACCCTGATTGAAGTTCTCATAGAGCAGATAAGCACTGTCCTCCGTCAACACATACGCCAATGGTGTCATCACATTTGAATTGCTCAATCTCCCCAACACCTCCAATTCCTCAGCAAACTTATCATGACCGTTCATCTGAAAAATCTTGTCACTCAAGTTGAGCTTCTTGACCAAGTAGATTGCTCCTGAAGGCATGATGGCCTTATAGTAAGTGCAGAATCTCGTCCTGAGCACGATGTTTGCAGGGTCAGCCACCACTTCCATTGCTTTGAAGAAGTCGATGCTCGATCTGTGGATTCCACTCGACGTCAGGAGGTTGCCGTGGATGACATGCTGAGGTGGTCCCACGACATGATCATCTTCCCCTAGCTCGGACTGCTGATCATTGTTCACTTTGAGGACACGTCTCGATAACAAGAGAACAACGATGGCGACCACAGCAACAGCTAGAACTGCAGACACCGCAGCAAGAATGACTCCCATGGCTACCGACTTCTTCCTTTTCTGAGGAGGTGGTGGAGTTTGTTTCGTAGGAGGTAAGACGAGTTCTTCATTTCCAGTTGTGTTAAGAGCTACAAAGCTTTTGAAAGGTGGAACAGTTCCAGACAAGTTGTTGTTCGAGAGTGAGAGTTGGATTAAGGAAGATAATCCAACGAGGGAATCCGGAATCTCTCCAGAAAGCTTGTTGTTCGAGAGATCGAGAACTTCTAAGTCTCTGAGCTGTGCTAGACTGTTTGGGATATGGCCATCGAGATGGTTGCTGCTGAGATTCAAAGCGATCTGCAATCTGACTGGCATTGGTGGGATTAAACCGGTCAGCTGGTTCTGACCAAGCTGGAGCTCAATTAGAGAATTCATTTGGCTGATAGTGATTGGTATGCTTCCACTGAGATCGTTGCCTTGCAAAGTTAAGTGAGTAAGCTTTTGCAAGTTTGACACTGAAGGAGGTATTGAACCATTCAGCGAGTTCCAGCTGACGTTGAGAATCGACAAATTCAATAACTGGGTGATTTCCTCCGGGATGGGACCGGTCAGACGGTTGGATTGGAGCTTCAAAACTTGGAGACTGACAAGATTTCCAACAGATTCAGGGAGGAAACCAGTCAGCTCATTCTCAGCCAAATTCAACAAGGCCAAATTCCGGCAAGAACCCAGTTCACCAGGAACTACATTACTCAAGCTGTTATTGTCCAGCTCCAAATAGGTCAGACTCTGAAGTGAAACAAACGAGGTAGGAATGCTTCCATTCAGTGCATTGCTCCCAAGCCTCAGGCGAAACAAGGAAGAGGATAAATTCACAGGGATTGCACCATTCAACGAGTTGTAAGATAGATCGACAGTCGTCAACCTCGGCTGCGCTAACAAATCATCTGGAATTGGACCAGTTAACTTGTTGTAGCTGAGGTCCAGCAGCCTCAGAAAGTTCGTTAGTCCCATCGGAATGCTGCCATCAAACTGGTTTTGATTCGCAGCAAACCTCTCCAATGCTGGAATGTTTGAAATCGATGGTGGGATTGCCCCACTCAACTGATTGGCTGACAGAATCAGAGTCTTCAGCCTGATGAGGGATCCGATTTCGGTAGGAACAGAACCCGAGAGACGATTCACACTGAGATCAATGAAGCTCAAATTCTTGTAGTCCCCAATTTCCCTGGGAATTCCTCCTGTGAAACTGTTCACAGAAAGAACAAGCTCCTCTAATCCAGTCGAATTCCCGATTCTCCCAGGAACCGGACCACTGAACTTATTCCAGCTAAGATTCAAGCTTTTCAGGGATTGCAATTCATCCAGCTGAAAACTAACATTCCCAGATAACGAATTGAAAGACAAATCCAGAGTTTCCAACCCTACAAACCCTTTGAAAACTTGCAAAGAACCCACCAATTGATTCTTGCTGAAATTCATAACTTTCAACCCACCCATCCCGCCACAGCCGGCGATGAACCCATCAGGGATTGAGCTCAAATGGTTGTTCGAAACATCGAGTGAGAGTAAAGATTCAATCTTGCAGACATCGAGTAAGAAATCAGAGTCAGAGAGACCAAACCCAGATAGGGAAAGCGCCGTGATGGACGAATTATCGGCTGAGCAGAGCACTCCTCGCCATGAACAAGGATTGGGTTGCCTGGAAGGGCTCCACTGGACGGCGGCGGAGTTGTTTGTGAGCTTCCCGGCGATGTCGACGGCGGCTGCTGTCTGAGCTGGAGACAGCTGGGAGACGGCGGAGAAGGGAAGGAAGGATAATAAGAAGAACAAGGAGAAGAGGAAAGAAGGCATGAATTTGTTGATGATGATTTCATCTTTCACCATGTTCTGTCTGCAGATTTTGCGCCGGTTGCCGCCTGCTACTTGATTGTTCTTCCTCCTTTCCCTCTCTCCTTCTCTCTCTTCTTGTAGAAGTGGTTCAGGAAGTCAACATATATAAAATTGGGAGTTTGTTAGTTAAAAATTTCTTAAATAGGGAGAGGGAAAGGAAATGTTGGGGATGAACAAGTGGAAATTTTGGAGGAGGGAGCTGGAAATGAAGAAAACTGGTTTTCTTGTGTGTGTTGGAATTTCCGAGTGACTCAATCTCAATTCTAAAGTCAAGTGTTTTTGGATTATAGTCTTGGTCAAGTAAATTGTAAAATAATGGAAGATAGAAAACATTTTTCCCATGATTTTTCAAAGAGTGTAATTTGTCGTATGGAATTGTATGGAAGATTAAATCAATGGTGTTAATTATCGATAAAAGATATAACGAGGACAAAGATAATGAATTGAAATGTCGTGATAAGAGTGTATTTGTTTGGGCGTTCATATTTTGTTTAAATTGTACAATTAACTAAGATTCAGTAACTTTAATGAATTTTAATTATCAATTAAAGATGTAATGGGGACAAATATAATGAAATTGAAATGTCGTGATAAGGGTGTATTAGCTTGAGCATTCATATTTTGTTAGTGGTACAAATTCACTTTGGTGAATTTGGTGTTTAATTATCTCTAAAATCAACAAAAATTAAAACAAGTAACCTATAGAATGGGTGTGGAAATTTTTTTGCACCAATAAATCATTTTAGTTATACTTACAAAGACGTTCACTTGGATATGTTTTGAAAACAGGAAGATCAAATTTGTTATAGGAGATATATCAATACATCACAATGTTGAAACCAATCACAACTAAAATAACAAATATATAAATGACCATGAAACGCTCTACTGAAACCGTTTTGATTTCGAGTAGATTGTTATTTTATTAGTTAGACTTTTACCTCGAATATTGAAATCCAGATATATTAATTGGGTGAGTAATATAGTTCAAAACCGATCACCAATCCGCATAGACCTATACTTCAAACCTCAAATTAATCGACTAAAGTACGTTTTGTTGTTTAGGCTAGGGGTGGGCACGTGGGTGTTTAATCCGCGAATTGATATCGACTCACCTGCAAATAATCCGATCTGCACGTTGTTGGTGATTGATGTGGGTGTATTGCGGATTGATAAATCTTCCACCCGCACTTATGTGGGTGGATTGTGGGTCATCCGTATAACCCGCATCCTATTTTTACAAGAAAAAATGTTGTTTCTTATAGTATCGAATATTCATCATATTTTCGAAGTGCACTATAGTCTTACCATATACTTCAAAATGTGGAGAATAAAGAATAGTTTTGACTACTATTATTAGTTATTGTGTTGTGCAATATCCATTAGATATTGGATATTGGTATGCAAATTATTATTAATATCCATTAAATATTTGGATGCAAACTATAAATTATCAATTGTATCTAAATCACAAATTATTGATACAATCTTACTAATTTACAACTTTTTAATGGCTAGGTGGAGAATTGCTTTTGCGGGTTGACCCGCAATCCAACTGTACCCATCACCACCCACCCAACCAAACCCGCAAATTAAAGTATGTTGGGTGGATTGCGGGTCACAATTATTTTAACGCGCTAGTAAGCGGGTGGGTGAATTTGATACCAAAACCCATCCAAGCCTCTCATTGCTCATCCCTAGTTTAGGCCACCATAAAGGCATAACCTAATATTTATGTTTTTTTTTAAGAAAAAATTATGGTTTTTAATAAAAACCAGAAATTGCCAATGTGATCACATTATTATTCTTATTAATTATTATTATTATGGAATTATAAGGTAAGGCGTGTTGGGAGGGGCGTTGACTGGGACTACTGTTGCAAAGGAAGACTTGGGTTGACTGACTTGACTGACTGATTGTGAGATTGAATATAGAGACAGAAAGACAATGGAAGGTGGGGAAAAAAAATAAAGATCTCAATTATTAATTTATTATTATTGGGTGTGTTTGTTTGAAAGTAGAATTCCCTCTTTTTCATCTACAAGTTATTTTGTTGACTCCCAAACAACATGGACCATGAATATTAACGTCATTATATAAAATTAGTAAAATTTTATATCGTATTTTATTGCACCACGAAATTTGAATAAAAAGAATGATGACAAAAGTTAAATTAAAATTTTATCAAAATAAAATCTATCAAATAGTTTCTTGTAATGGTGATATTTTAGTTATTTTTTGATGTAACGTGATACTAAAGCGATTCAAACATACGAACTTCATATTTAAAACTAGTAGTATTATCACTACTCCACTAAGTCAAATTCTTGTTGCATAAAAAACTTATTATTTGTTAACTCTTATTTTGTGACGTAAATATAAAGAATAAATTTTCCGTAAATGAAAATATAAAATCTCTCATTTTAGCAATGATTTAGCATCCCTATTTTTTTAGAGATTATAAATATCTAAAGATAGTAGTTTGATTTTATCAATCATAAAAGAACAATCAGATTTACGCTATGGTTTAGGCTAGTATACGGTTGGCGTACCCTAACCTCATCATACATCTAGTGATATTTAGAACATGAAGTAATAGGAGCTAGTTTGGAGCAAGAAGCTATACCCTAACCTCTAATTGCTGAACCTCATTCCATAATTCTTAAAACCCACACCATAAGATCATTTTATAAAAAAAAAAATGCAACCAACAGTTCCAAATATGTTAGTAAATAGTATATGATTTATAATTAAACCTATAAAAACGCCAGTAATTGGGATCAACTGGTTCTTGGCATGGTATCAGAGCCTTCTATGATCGAAAGAGTTTTCTGTTCGAATCTCAGTGACCCCATCTGTTATGTTAATCACATGATATCCGAACCTGTTCAAACTCATATGAATCGGCTTTCGTTTGAGAAGTCTGTTAGTAAATAGCATGTGATGCATAATCGAACCTCACTACTAATAAATAATAACTCAAATTAGTGAGACCAACGAATTCTTAACTAGAGTTTGGCCATAATTATATATATATGGATCCAGCTCATAATTATATAATTAGCAAGTTGTTTATAAGTTACGTTCAAGTCATGGAAGTAATGTCAGACGTATACTAATTAATGTGACCGGCCATACCAAATTAACCACTAATCAATCAGTCAATTTAGGTGCTATTAGACAACAGGAGATCAAGAACTTTGAACAGTCGTCTTCCTATATATACACCGTTTGTTAAGTACATTAACTAGCACTCTGCCACGTGCCAATGCGTGATGATTCAGCACATGTGGTCACTTGATGGGTTGGTATCGAATTCGTTTCGTAGTTTGTTCTCTCTTGTTTTTTGTTTAGGGTTTCGAGTTAAGAAATGTGGTGGGAGTTTAGGATGTGATCCCACTTGAAAATGGAGGCAGGCCTATATGGGAAGAGTTGAGCGTCGGAGTCTCGTGTCAGGGCCGCCCCATGATATTCGGAGGCCCTGTTCGACAATTTAAAATGGGCTAAATTACACGTTTGGTCACTCAAATTATACAAATTTTTCATGTTTGCCACTCGAATTACTTTTCTTTCTTATTTACCACTAACTTTACGAATCGTTTCACCGTTAGTCACCCGCCGTTACACTCCGTTAAGTTTGTCCTATGTGGCAGTCAACTATAAAGTTTGACCGTTAACTAGATGACGTGGAAATTAAAATAAATTAAAAAATAATTTTATTTTTCCACCTCATCATTCCACTTACTTTGTCTATATGCTTTATCATATTTATGATTTAATTAAAATTAATTAAATTATAAAATTAATTCCTCCTCCTTCACAACTCAGGTGAAGCTTTGCTCCGCCTCCAGAGCACCACTCCAGCTATCTCCTTCCTCCTCCTTTCCCTTCTCAGGCCGTCTTTGTCTAATGTATAAGCTTTGGAAAAAAAAAATGGGCATGGGCAAGAGATCCAGCGGGATGGTGCTCCGGTCGCTGTCTCTCCGCGGCCGATTCCCGTCGTACAACTCCGCCGGCGTCGGCCTTCTTCCGCACCACAGCTCCACCACACAGATCCGCCTCTCCGACGCAATCTATATCCCCAGAGTCCTTCGTCGTCGACGCAATCTATATCCACCACACAGGTTTTCCATCTTTAAGGGAAACCTATTACTGCCTCGCCAATGAACGAGCTCCATCCGGCGTGGCCGTTCTGGTGGCTGTTCTTGTGGAGACTGCAACAAAATGATCTGGGATGCGAGGTCGGAGAGCACATACACGTCTTCCTCGCGGGAGGCTGGAGATGCGATTGGTGTGCTTCGTCGTGACGGATATGCTGCGATTGGGAGATGTGGATCTGTCGATCGAGAATCGGAACGTCGCTCGCCTCGAGGTAGCAAGCAGTACAATCGCGTCGAAAAGCATCCCGCCCCATCGATCTCTCAATTATTGTCGTCTTTTATTTTTTTGCTGCCACCGTGATTTGCGAGAGAGGGATAGAGTTCATTCTCTTGACCCTGAATGTAATCTTCTTTGCTCTTTTGTTGTTTGTAAATGAGAACTGTTGGAACTCATTCAAGTTCACAGCAGAAGAAGGTATTGGAACCCATACCATTGCTGCAACCCACCATACTTGCTCATCAATTCCCACTCCAACCGACACTACCTCGATTCAAGTTAGGTCATCCTAATTTAAGTTTCTTATCTTCTGAAACCATGTGACAGTATTTATTGTTGTCTTCTTTCCTGTATAAAAGGCTTACTAGCCTCAATGTAACAATCAAGCTTTCCATCAATAAAATCATCATACACAAATTCATCATGGTATCAGAGCTGGATTCAGAATCCAGTGTAGGAAAGCCTAAGAAGAAGAAAAGGAAGAAACGATTTCGTTGCTGAGTTTCTAAATCTTTCTTTCCAAACCTTCTGTATATATTCCTCCGTTTGCAGAATACAAAAGTTCAAGCCATGAGTGAGCATTCTCCAGCTGCTCCTCGTCAATCATGCTTCCGCCATCAGTCCATTCATTTCCAATCACGAGCAGGCCTTTTCCAGGCTGCTCCTCTTCCACCTCATCCTTCCACCATCACAAATAAACAGCATCTCCGGCCCATCTCAGTAAGGGCCATCTCTCATCTAGGCGAAGTCCTTTCCGCCTTCAATCAATCTCTCTGGCAGATCAATTCCCGGGGAGAATCTCAGTCCGGCGAACTCTCTCGACCACTACCGCGATCGCCATCAGTTCCGGCGGCACTCCGGATGCAGTTCTCACCGCCTTCGTCATCAGCGCCCTCGGCGCCATCAATCTCCGCCGCATCAGAGTCAGCGGCCCAAACCAGAGACGTCATCGATTCCTTCGTCTCGCCGTCTCAGCCACCGTAAACCGCCGCTGCCGTCGGCGCCAAAACCAGTCCACCGCTGCATATCGATTGCCATCGCCATCGATCTGCCTTCGTCATCAGTTGCCAACCACCATCTCCACCGGTTCAGTCGTACCGTGGCCCAGTACCCGCCACAACCGCCGACTACCGTCGATTCCTTGTCGCCACTTGCCGCCGCCGATCTGTGCATGCCGGCCGTTTTGATTGGTGGAGGTGCGGAGAGAGGATCGAAAGGAGATTAAAAAAAAAAAAAAAAAAAAAAATTGGGAAGAGAGAAAGAAACAGAGGAGGTACGGCGGCCACCAAGAGGCGAGAAAGAAGGTTTCCCAAACCTACTAAGGCCATCTCCTTCATTCACCTTGGGCCTCTTCATTAACCAAGGCCCATTCTCAAAACCCAGCAGGATGGGTTAAAAAAAAAAAAAAAAAATTCGGCCCATTTGTTTGAGCTTTTCATGACCAACCAGCAGCTCATAATCCAGCTACGGCCATGCACACATAGCAATGTGTTTTCCATCACAAGAATCCTCTTCGGTGATCGACAGGGGTCACAAATCATATTTCTCACTGGTTCTTAATGTCCCATTTTCAGGTTTTGGCAAATTCATTTGCAGGCAAGAAAGCAAATCATCACCAAACAACGTTTAAACAGTGAAGATTCTCACGACCCAAGAGTTGGTCGTCCCTCCACTAGCCATTGTTGGAGTGAATGACAGTTTCTACAGGCAAAGAAAGTCTAGCCACTGTGCGAGGTTTCTCCGATCAGGTTGTTACCTTGACGTTTGAAGATTGTATGATCCAAGAAGAGATCGACTCCTCGGCGTCCAAAAGGCAAACACAACCCAAGAAAAGATCGGCCCCTCAGCTTCACGAGGCACTCTCGATCAGATCGTTCCCATGACGTTTTTAGACGGTTGTACGATCCAAGAAGAGATCGTCCCCTCGGCGCTTCAAATGGAAGAAGCGATCCTAGAAAAGATCGACCCCTCGGTGTTTATTATTGGGCTAAGACCAATTATTCATCACCTTTCAACCTGGGCATTCACGGTGTTCATGCTCCAGGTTGAGGGGGAGAATAGGGAATCAACATAGATCAGTTGATCGGTTCAGTCATCCGGTCGACCAACTCAGTCATCAGATCGATCACAATGTCAAAGGTGTCGATCTGTCTATCAAGTTGCTCGGAGAGACGAAGTCAGCAGTCTCCAAATCAACCTTGTCCAAGATATCAACCATCTCTCATTTTCAAGCTTGACATTCTTGTCATTCATGTCTCCGCTTGAGGGGGAGTGTTGGAACTCATTCAAGTTCACAGCAGAAGAAGGTATTGGAACCCATACCATTGCTGCAACCCACCATACTTGCTCATCAATTCCCACTCCAACCGACACTACCTCGATTCAAGTTAGGTCATCCTAATTTAAGTTTCTTATCTTCTGAAACCATGTGACAGTATTTATTGTTGTCTTCTTTCCTGTATAAAAGGCTTACTAGCCTCAATGTAACAATCAAGCTTTCCATCAATAAAATCATCATACACAAATTCATCAAGAACACACAGCAACTAGTTGATAAATTTTCCAAGGGGTTACAGGAACTACTCGCCATTTGTGCTCTGAATTCCATTTCTCTTTTCGCTTACTGTATCCAGTCAACGTGATCTTCCATGGCTGCAGAGTTTGCCAGCTTAACGATGATTTGCTGAATTGAAGTGTCATTTTTTTGGGGGGAAATTTTAGGGTTTTCTGAAGTAACTTGTGCTGTAGCAAGTGGGTGTATGTTTGGCTGTCCTTTCCGGCTTCTGCCATGGGGCAATGAACAGTGGACTTGGAGCTGGGGAGAAGGAAAGGGAAAGCTACGTTATTGGTTGCTTCTGTTGTCGTCTTTGGTGGTGTTAATGTTGTTGCTGTTGTTGTGTAGGGGAAAGTCAAAAGGAAACAAACAGAGAATTAAAGAAGCTTTGTCGACGACGAAGGACTCTGGGGATATAGATTGCGTCGGAGAGGCGGATCTGTGTGGTGGAGTTGTGGTGCGGAAGAAGGCCGACGCCGGCGGAGTTGTACGACGGGAATCGGCCGCGGAGAGACAGCGACCGGAGCACCATCCCGCTGGATCTCTTGCCCATGCCCATTTTTTTTTTTTTTTCAAAGCTTATACATTAGACAAAGACGGCCTGAGAAGGGAAAGGAGGAGGAAGGAGATAGCTGGAGTGGTGCTCTGGAGGCGGAGCAAAGCTTCACCTGAGTTGTGAAGGAGGAGGAATTAATTTTATAATTTAATTAATTTTAATTAAATCATAAATATGATAAAGTATATAGACAAAGTAAGTGGAATGATGAGGTGGAAAAATAAAATTATTTTTTAATTTATTTTAATTTCCACGTCATCTAGTTAACAGTCAAACTTTATAGTTGACTGCCACGTAGGACAAACTTAACGGAGTGTAACGGCGGGTGACTAACGGTGAAACGATTCGTAAAGTTAGTGGTAAATAAGAAAGAAAAGTAATTCGAGTGGCAAACATGAAAAATTTGTATAATTTGAGTGACCAAACGTGTAATTTAGCCATTTAAAATGTGGCCCAAAATTTGTTCTCTAAATTTATTAAAAATAATAATTATTAAATACTAATAATAAAATTGCATAAATTCAGAAAATGATTACAAAAATAAGAATATTATCTATCATTGTTCAAAAGTAACAATCATATAGTATTTTTTTAAAATGTAATCCTCTATTAGCCCGTCCATCTTCTCTATATCTTTTGAAAAACGAAATCAATCTATCTATTTCCAAAATAGCATTATCAATAAGCATATCTTTGGATTGTAAATATTTAGTTATTTACTAACCGAATTTGTTGAGTGCAACATTTCATACCAAATAACTAATGAAACAATAAACTCAACACCATTGAAGTTCATTTTGTGTCAAAGATTGAGCTTCACTTTCAATTTTTGAATCTCCATCAAGATCGGCTAGTAGTATTCAGGCTCCTCAATTTTTCTGTTTTCTTTTACGCTTAGAACTACCTTTTTCAAATTTTTGGATTCACATAATTGAAAATTATAACCAAAGATTAATGATTCCAAATTTTCAATCAAGATTAAGTTCCCTGCAAAAGAAAAAAAATTATTATAACTTAAAACAAGTTGATTAGGAGTCTGGATAGTAGGGATGGACATTGATTAGGAGTTAATTAGAATTTGGTGTGAATAATTAATATTTAGGCGTTGGATGGCATTAGAAAATTGAGAAATTTTGGGGAAGAGGATAAGAGAGCTGTTAAATACTTTAGTTGTTAGTATACATTCATAAAGCCAGCTCCAGCTCAGTGGTTCGAACTCCTTTTTAACGAAAAGGAGGTTCAAGGTTCGATTCCTGTCTCTGTTGGTTCTCCCTGGTCTTGTAAATATGGTTTTCGTGATGGGCCTGATGAGTTGCCTCTGGGAGGGCTTATGGTGGGCTCGCAAACTCCGCCCCGCCTATAAGGCCCATGTTGGCTCTAGCTCCGCCTCCGGGCCTCTCCTCTGGGAGGGCTTATGTTGGGCTCGCAACTCCGCCCCGCCTATAAGGCCTAGGTTGGCTCTAGTTCCGCCTCCAGACTGAGGCCCCAAGATATTGAGGCCCTGTGCTGTGGGTCAGACCAGTACAGGGTCTGGGCCGGGCCTGTCTCGTGTCTAACTAGAAAAAGATGACCTGTAAGAAATACTGTTATTCGGGGGGAAATGCTATGTTGACGAACGAACAACAAATAGTGTCTTCTAACATGATGCTACAAAACAAGTTCTCCTGCTTTAAGAACAAAGACATGTTACGCGTGACACAAATTCGGTGATAATAACGGATCGGCCCCATTAACAATATCGGAGAATAAAAGTCAGCACGTACTAGTTCCGATTTTGGAGACAAACAGTTATTTGAAAGAGAGCTTAATTTAGGGTGTGAAATTAATGGGTCGTTTGCTTCAAGGATTTGGACGTGAGATTTGGTTCTCAAATCCAACACATGAAGGATTTGTCCAAAAGCCATTGTTTGTTGAGCCAAAATGGAGGGTACCAAATCCGTGGGGTCCACTGATTTGTAAATCCCACCTCATACCCTGGGATTTGGAGACAAGTTGAAAAACCATCAAATCCATGATAAAAATAGCTCAACAAACAAAAGATTTCCTCAAATCCATAATACCCAAAATTCCTAATAAATCCCAAGGTTTTTAATTAGCAAATCCATGACAAAACCCTCGTTATAAAATCCTTGAAACAAACGACCCCTAAGTACACTTAGGGCTTGTTTGCTTGATGGATTTGATGATGGATTTGGTGAAGGATTTGGATCCATTATGGACTTTGTCCAAAATCCATTGTTTGCTTCATGCATTTAGGAGAAACAAATCCGTGAGTCCCATGAACTTTAAGGGACCAAATCCGTGGACCCCACGGACTTGAAAGTTCCACCTATTTAGGTGGGAATTGATTATGGACTTTGAAGTCCATCATTTTTTACCAACATACCCTTCATATTTGCTTTCTCTTCTTATATCATTAAGGGCAATAAAGGTAAATTACTCTTCATACATACAAATTTAATTAACAAAATCCATCATGAAATCCATCAAACAAACAATGGTGTTTATCAAATCCATAATGAACCTAAAACCCTTATTAATCCATGGTTTTTCAAAACCCAAGTTATACCAAAACCTTCATTTTTCAAATCCACGACGCAAACGAGCCCTTAGTGCCAAAGTACACTATGTCCTCTCTAGAAGAATCAACTCTCACATCCATGAAGACCAACTTCATTTATCCATTCCATGAGTAACATTATTATCGGTACATAAATTGAAGAAAGAAAAAAACCATACAAAAGGATATATAAACTCGATATATATGACGATACATATGAAAGTTGATGGCTCTCTTAATTTAGAGCATATGTTCAATATTGTTGTACAAGTACAACAATCCAAAGGCAGCCATTAATTTCCTGAAATACCCACAAATTAATGGCAACAAACTCTTCTTCTTTTTGTCTCCATGTTTTCTTCTTCTTCTTCACCTTTTTATTACAAGCTATAGTATACATATGGCCTTTTTGGGGAGTGGGGGATTTCCTTCACCATTTTTCCATTCTTGTTTATAGTAAAAAAAAATGGGAGAAATTCAAAGCTTTAGGCCACATATATACTATATGTAGCGCTCTACATGGAGGAAACAAAAAAAAGGGGAAATGGTGTTTTTTTTAATGGAAACCGGCGAGAGTCGTTTTGGTCGTCGGGATATCCGCCGGTGGAGATGGGAGTAAAGTGAGCGAGAGTATTCCACTCAGCGCCGCTGCTACTGCTCCGACCACGAAGGCAGGTAAATTCCCTCCTCCGAAAAGAGCATCCCAAGGCCCACTCAATACCGAAATTATCATCTGCACAAAAGGAATATAATGATGAAAAATGTCTAAGTTTAGGTAATTTTGTTTGCCACATCAGCACTTAACGGACTTCATTAACGGAGTTGAACGGAGACTAACGGAGAGTGACTAAATGTGACCTGTTTCAGTAATTCGAATGACTAAAATTGATATTAATTTTTTCTAGTGACTAAACATGTCCCGATTTAGTAATCTCAGTGACCAAATGTGTCTTTAACCCCAACAAAATATTATTAAAGCCAAACCAAACAATATATTAGATAGTTACCTTTTCCCTACAACCTTCTTCTCATAAAGCTAACTAACCAACCAACTAAAAAGAAAAAAAGGGATTAAGAGTTGTTTATGTTCCCTATCAATCTCATTCATTAAAAACTTGTTTCCTAAACCAAAAAAAAAAGTTTGAAGTGTTACATGCATTGAATCCTCTTAACTCTTTTCACACATAAAACTTCTCAATATGTATATGTGTTGCCTCATTCTTCGATTTAATTCGACCGATCGAACTTTCTCTAACGAAAAGAGACACAATGAAACTAACCACCTTCATGAGAGAGAAATCATGACATTTCTAAGTCATTTCCGTAACCCTCTTCAATTTCTTAGTCATAGTCCCCACATTTAATCCTAACCCACAAAAAAGGTGTTGCATGGGCTCTCTCTCGATCCCATCCTCCATAACAATTGTTGTAATACTAATGCATGTGCATTTCAGTAAGTCGGACTATTAGATCGTATGAATTCACGATATACATATTGTAATCATGATAGCGAAATATGTACAACAACGAAAAAAGGAAAAAGAACACCCATTACCTGTGGTACAACGATGGATAAATTGAGAACCCCCAGCGACAAACCTAATAAAACAACCACGAAAACAAAAATAATCAACTTAACATAATGATCCAATCAATTAATTCAGAATTAAGCCAGACGTAATAATGATTAATAATAATATTTCTTACCTTGACCTGTACCAGTGGTCTGAGAAAATATAGAAGCCAGAGCGAACGGGATGCTGTAAGTTATCTGCACAACAACAACAAATAAAACCCAACCCACAAGTTAAATAATTTTTTAAATCACGAGTCAGCAAATAATAATTGGTTTTTGTTCTTTCTTTTTTAACCTCTATGGATAATGCATGAACACAAATTAAAAGGTGTAATAAATTAGATCATTTATTATCCTAGTTGGCATGAATTCCAAAACTCACCGCCAGAGGAATCCCCAGGACGGAGAAAAGAATCATAGCCCCGGCAAAAACTCCGTTCGACGGCGGGGTCGGGTGCACCGACGAAACCCGACCCGACTCCGCCAGCTTACTGACCAAAACGGTCAACGCCAGGCAAATCGCGAGCAAGAAATTGACCATCCCCCAGAGCCGCTTCACCCCGCCGACCCACCGGCCCATGGGCTCGACCCCGAGCGACATGACCCCGAGGACCACGGAGTTCAGCAGCAGGCCCAAAGCCCCGGCCCGGACGCCGAGCCCATACATCTTGACCTGCTCCTTGTTCCCGTCGGAGCTCCCGCCGTAGACCTCGCGGCCCATCCAGTCGGTGTCGTAGAGGAGGAACGGGAACCACCCGATCCAGTTGAGACACGTCACCAGGAGGAGGATGCACATCGGCCGCTTCATCGTCTTGATCGCCGAGAAGAGCTCGCAGAGCATCGGCTCCGAAACCGACGGCTCGTCGCCGTCCGCCTCCGGCGACCACTGCTTCTCCTCCACGTACCTGGAATTTGTAGATCATGAAACATATCTAAGTCTCGGATTACCCTGCAAATCAAGGTTGTCAAACCGCGGGTTGAGCCGGCCAAGTAAGAACGGCTTCACGTTTAATTATCGAATCGCGAGGTTCGATCGATTTAAGAAGGGCTGGAAAATAGACCAGTCCGTTGGAAAATCGTGGTTCAAATCGGACCGCACAGTTTGGTCCGAACCGTAGACCATTAAGTATGGTCTGGTCTGGTCCATGGTCTGTAATATTTGATGTTTTGATTTCTTGGTCTGGTCTGGTCTAGACCGCGATTTACCGGATCAAACCGTGGACCCAACCGACTTTTCAATACGTGTTAACAGCCCATTCGACCACTCTCCCAACTCCCACAACGACACCCAAATCTCTACATTCATTTTGAGAATCTCGTCCCCTCCTTCATCCACAACCACATTTCACTATAAGAGTAGAGATAATCGTGTCTCTGTGTGAAATTATGTTAATATTTATGATGTTATGATGCACGTTGGGATGCTTTTACTTTGTATCTTTGTTATGTACTAAGATTTAGGGTGTCAAAATTATTCATGCATGTTAGAATTAATGTTTTAATACAAAAAAATATTTTTTCCTTGGTTATTGGTTCAACTTTTTGTGTGGTTGACTAAACAAATTGTTCATCTTTCGTTGAGTGTGGTCTATATGGACCAGACCGTACCGGACCAGACCACACAGACGTGGTCTGGACCGGACCGTATAGTCTGTCGTTTGGTCTGTGGTCTATACTCCAGCCTCTCGGTCTGGACCATAGACCGTATATATGGTCTGCTCTGGACCAGACAGCACCGTTTCCCAGCCCTAGATTTAAGATATTTTATTTATCTTATATATTGTAACAATCATTTGACAGGTATTATACAATAATAATTTAACAATTCGATATATTATATCCTGGCTTTAAAAACGGTGTATATACATTTTCGGTTTTCATAATCGGGTTTGTGAAATGATCAAGAGGCGTAATTCCGTTGAAGAACCAAAAATCGATTCTATCCGATCATACCTAGGAGTGACTGACCGGTTTTTCGGTTATCGGCTAACCGAAAAAAACGACGACTAACAAACTCGGTCGGTTGTCGGGAAAGGGAATGATCGCTTCGTTTCGCCGAGTAACCGAAATCGGTTACCTGACTAACCGACTGACCGACCCCCCTCCCCCTCCCCCCACAATATCCATATGACACCGTTCCCCACCAAAAAACGACGCAGTTTCACCAATATTTTAGACGATTTTACTGATTTATTATGCAGGTGGCGCTGTATCGGGTCGGTTATCCGACTAAACCCGAACCTGTCAGCAAGATTTCGGTTGCAAGCCTAACCAAACCAAAAATTGATAACCAATCGGTCGGTGATCAGTTAAACGTGCAATCCTTCTCGATCTATTTTCGGATGGTAGAAGGAGCTAATTCGGTTAACCAATAACCGAATATTCGGTTTTCGATTAAACCAAAACCGACTGCCTTCCAACCCTAAACATACCACCGGTTTTTGATAGACGAACTAAAATTTGTTATATTATACCTCATCCACTCGAGTAATAAATTTTTTTTTACTGCAAATGTAAATAATCAGGTAAGAAGTCAAAAAAGAGGGGGGGGGGGGGGTGGGGAAGAAAGAAAAGAAAAACGGTTAATTACCAGAGGGCTAAAACGGTCAAAACGAGGAGCAAGCTGATGGAGATGAAGAAGCAGGCCTTAAGATTCGCACAGTATACATCACACGCCGTCGTTTTAGTAAACGGGAAAACCTTATAGAGATGATTATAGCTCCCGGCGGCGTACCCCAGCACATTTCCGACGGCCATGAAGAACGAGAAAAACGCATTCGCCACCCTCGTCTTCCTCTGGCTCGTCCCCGAAAGATCCGCCAGCAGGGCCCGGCAGGGCCCCTGCAGCATGTTGTTGGCGACGTCGAGGATCCAGAACCCGACGACGAAGACGGCGATGGCGCGTGGCTTGGACTTCTTGGCCAGGTCGTCGCCGGCGTGGTGGCCGATGTCGGCGGCGTATCCGATGAGGATGACGGCGACGGCGACGCAGGCGGTGCCGCCGGCGATGAAGGGGCGGCGGCGGCCGAAGCGGGAGGAGCAGCGGTCGCTGTGGTAGCCGACGATGGGCTGGACGATCATGCCGGAGACGGGGCCGCAGAGCCAGATGAGGGAGGCGAGGGAGTGCGGGATGCCGAGGAGCTGGACGTATGGGGTGAGGAGGGAGAGCTGGAGGGCCCACCCGAACTGGATGCCGGCGGCGATGGAGGCGACGGCGGCGATCTTGCGGAGCGGGCTGGCGGCGACGTGGGCGGTGGCGGATTCTTGGTGGAGGGCGGCCGACGGTGGGGGTTTGTGAACGGTGGCCATGGAGAACAAATTTGACTATTGGGGGTTGAGAGAGTGATGGTGTAATGGAGAGGATGGAGCCATGGAAGAGTGGGAATATATAGGAGTGACTGTTGGGGGTATAATTGGTAATTTTGCATCCTAGTGTTTTGAGAGATATTTTCCCCAAGTAATATACCCAAGACCCCAAATGACAGTTAGTGAAGCCATCCTACAAAATCAAAGGACGCTATCTCTACAGGGGATAGCAGCAGGGCTTGTCTTGCCACTGTATGGGCAACCCAGTTGATAGTCCTCGGGACCGAGCTAAAGTGAATATAAGAAGGACATGATCTCAACAACTGAAGACAATCACGAAGTAAGGACCCGCCCACCGAGTCTTCACAACATCTATGATGTTTGTTTTGAGAGATTTATGATGTTTGTTTTACCTTGTAAATAGTAGTGATGATGATGTGAAAGATACACATAGCCAAGTTATTGGTAGTTGAGACAATGGGATTGTACAAAAGTTTTGGGTAGGAATGAGAATTTTAACCCGAGTCGTTTTACTCGATTTGATTGACCTGTTTTTTTATGTGGGTAGTACCTGTTTTATAAATGGGGTAGAGTGGGCAGGATGGATATGGATACTTCATTTGATCTGACACGGGTATTTCGATACTCATTTACTATCTCGTTTTATCGTGACAACCGATATTGCCGAGCTTGCTGGTTGACACAATGGGTAATATTTGGACAAGTTTTGGGTAGGTAGAGATGAGGAATTTCAACTTGACTGGTTTCATTCGATATGTGTTGACCTGTTTTCGGTTGGGTGATACTCGTTTTATAGAGTTGTACAAGTTACCCATCTAGTTGGATTAAATATTTTAATCGGGGGTGGAGGGAATTGAAGTGCATGGAAGGCAAGAAGAGATATGGAGCTCTCCATCCATCCATAAAGGCATAAACACATTGCTTAGCTAGTTGAGAAGGTTAGATTCTGCATGGTACAAGATTTTTTTGTCGTCAAGTTGGCCAGCTAAGCATGCAATATACGGTCGAATACTATTACTAGCCTTGGCCTACATATGCATTTGAAAAGTCTCACCCACAATTCTAAAAAAAAAAATATTCAGATTCCCTTTCTCTTTCACTTCATTTAATCAAAACAATTTTTGTTCACTAGACAAGCTAAGACAGAACGGTTAAAGATCGTCCCAATTTAAGGTGTTTCAATTTCAATCTAATCGAAATATAGTCGGTATTTAACGTCATGAGTCGGTCAATAACGTTTCTTATATCACTCAACAATTATTAACACGCCTGCTCAAATGAAAGGCGGTTCAACTCATAGTAATTTTCGTTTGCACAGGTCCTGAGTATGATACCGCATGTACTTCACAAATGGGGTCACCGAATTCGAACAGAAGACCTCTCATTCGCGGAAGGCTCTGATACCGTGTCAAAATCAATTGATCCCAATAACTCGAGTTGTTGGCAGAGGTTTATTATGGACCATATACAATTTACTAACACTCCCCCTCAAACGAAAGTCATTTATATAGGTTTGAAGTTTGCACAGGTTCGGATATCTGGTATTTAACATAACAGATGGAGCAGCGAGGGAAAAAACTGTGTTTGGAAATAATATTTGTAAATTCAGGAGTATATATAATATATATAAATTGTTAGCAAGTTTGGGTATATAGTGGATTTACAAGTTAGCTAGCTAACATGGAAATATAATGTAATACTGGGTGATGATGAGGAGTAAATAAGTATCGGAGCGGCGTTACTTCAAAAATATTTTCAAGAATCGGAATAAATTTTCATTAGGATGTCGTCTTGTGAAATAAAATCGAGATGGGAAAGTACCTGAGCTCATAAATATTGTTGTTTTCATTGCGAGATCTTGACCTGTTTGAATTGGATACGTGGTCAAATTGACCGTACAACGTGGTAGTTTTATCGATGACGACTTCAAGATGAAACAGTCTCCAAAGATATATGAAGTTGAATAAAAGGTCATATAATCAAATTGGTCAACGCAACATCGATCGATACTTACGTTAAGAGAAATTCAATCTTTCACACACAGTTAAAGAGATCACTCTTCAATTGAGAGATTCCACTCCCAATAATTGGAGCTGAGTTGGTCCTTTCTTTCCTCTGTAGTGCTCCAAAGAATGAGGATCAAGCCTAGATTCTGTTCTAGAAAGAACAAAAGAAAAAAAAGGAGAGAACTACTTGACAACAGCTAAGTCCAAAATCAACCTACATTCTCTAAGCTTTTGCAAATTTAGGTTTGCAACACAAGATATTTCATTACAACAGTGTAAAAAAAAATGTATATATGATTTATAATTAATCAATACCTACTATACATTAGTTTGGTCTTTAGTGACCAAATGAGCTCATTACACGTTATATGGTGCTTAATTTTTGTGAAGTTGAACCATCAACCAAGTCGAATAGTCGCGGATGCAATGTATTTTAGGTATTCATAATTTTATCAACTTACGAATAATTAGTACACAACTGTATCCAAATGTTATAAGAATATGTATAATTTCAGAAAAACGAATACATGGGAAAATCGTATTTTTAATAGATTGCTCTTAAGAAATAAAGAATCAAACCATGATTATGCTTACAATTAAACCAATCCAACTTGTAGATGTGGTCTCGTCTGAAATGCTATGCTTTTTGCACTTTTTGGTTTTCCACAGTCTTTTTGGGGGTACCAATGGCATATCGAACCCGGAAAAAGGAAAAGTGTCAATTTAAATGAAATAAAAACCAAAATAGTTTCACACAAAAAAGGTAAAACAAAAACAGAAACATCTTGTGGATAATTAATTAATTATATATGTTCAGTAAATTAAAACTAGTTAAAATAAGAATAAGTTAGGTCAAATGGGGTAGAACATACATGGGTGTCAAAAGCTAAACTATAATTATAATATGGATAAGGATAATAGACTATAAAACCTATAAAATTGGTTTTCTTACCATCTATCATATGAATCATACCACCCTCTGATCGATTATATCAAGCGATGACATGGTTCGTATAAGACGTAATAAGACACAAATTTTGTAGATTTTGTAACCCCTGAGTTTTATACCGCAACCCATAACTTATAATAGTAACAAATATTAGTACAAATTATAAAAAAGTAAAATAAGTAGACAATGGGTGATGGAGAAAAAAAACCCATACCTTACCTCTTCATCCAAAATGGACCAAATTCAAGAGTACTAGTGGACTCATATCCACAACTAGGAGAAAGAAGAAGATGAGTAAGCTAAGTCAAGAATCTATGATCCACTTTGGGCACATACAGAACAATCCCAAAGTGTCCACTCTTTTCTTTTCTTTTTTCCATTCCTCAATATATCCCTTCACTTTCTTGCTGATAAGGATTTTATATGCTCTTCTTGATCACTAGCATTCACAACAACACTTAATTTGCATATTGGTTTGTGTTTGTTTCTTTGGAACGTGAAAAATAATGTTTTAAATTTTTTAGCCACCACCACCATCATATATATGCTATAGTAGCTTAAATCATCCGATTCTAGGAGATTCAACGAACAGGATTGAAGGTGAAGTATTCTCCGATCGAGTTGCAATAATATCTTTGTAATTTTGGGCATGTCCCAAATGTCGCTGAGAATTTCTTTTCCTTGTAATTTTGTTTTTTGTATTTTTAATTAATAAAGGGCTATCACCATTATTAAAATAAAATATCTTTGTTCTTTTCATGGCTACGTCAACAATTGACGTCAGGAAACCACCTACAGCCTATGGCCGTCATTTACACTTGTTTGTGCCATCTAGTTCAGGACACGAACAATGATATTTGTTGTGTGGGTCGACTCGCCATTCGTTCGTCTGATCTCGTCGGGAGGGAAGAAACCTGTGAAAAGGACCGGGGATCCCCCCGGATTGAGCTCCAACGATCAAGTCAGTGTATATTTCGGGAGAGAGTTGAGAGAATAGATAGAGAGATAAAGTGTAGAGAGATAGTAGAAAGTGGAAAGTCCGGAGAGAGAAGAAGAAGTCCCCTTCCTTGGTGGGTTTCATACCTTTATATACTCGTAGCGGGTTTAGAGCGTCATACGTTGTCGATTGGACGCGGTATTACTTAGTCTCTGCGGGGAGCCTCTTAGCAACACCCCCAACAACACTTTTTGCTCGAGGTAGTGGGAAACTATAGTTCCAATTATCATCATCTCGAACAAGAGCTCGAAGGTATCACCACTTTCCATATTATATCGTCTTCGAATATTTCGATCACTCTTTTCTAGAGTTACGACGTTGGTGGTTGACATGCCATTTTATATCTCTTCGATTTATCAGCCAATATCAGGAATGATACAAACATGTGATATATTAATACAACGATAATATAAATCTGTACCAACTTTATATCATTTGGGTTCCAATTCATACCATCATCGTATATACTTACATTATGAATTCAAAATGATACATGGTGTGTGGAAGTAAACATCAATTCCCTTTTTAAGGTAAAATGGCTTGATTATAGTTTTAGGTTAACATTATTGAAGCTAATTAGTTATAGTTCCTGTAATTACTAAAGACGTGTCCACTTCCAATTTTCTTATGAGGAAGACTATATATTCTCTTTGGCTTGGGTTTTTGATTCCGGTGGCTAGCAGATGCAAAGTTGTGCACATATATATGTCTTTCAATTCCCACTTTTCTTTTTTGCCCATTTCTCATTATTCCATTTCCTTCTCCTTAACATATATTCAATTTTTTATTATTTCAAAATTTTATTTATTTATTCTTTTGGGTGGTGAATTTTCAAAATTTTATATCATGTCGAAGTTGGAAAATGCACCATGGCCATGTACATAATGCAATTATGATGAAAATCAAAATGCCTAGTCACGCCCACAAGGGCTTGCTTTTGAAAAAAAAAAAAACTTATTCCCATTCATCCTCATATGATTAAATGATGATAAGAATAGCAAATGAAAAAACTTATTCCCACCCATCTTCACGATTAAATTATAGTAATTCAAGAAATTAAAACTAATGAAATGGGTTTCTGAAATGGAATTTCAAATAGTTCAATTTCTGCTGCCAATCAGCATCGTGGTGTCACGTACATTGAGATTTGGCTATGGAGTGGAAATGGATTCTGGAATCAAAGTTGCAATAAGATGTATATATCTTCTCCCATAAATTCGTGATTGTAATTCAATCACTTGACCAAATTGGATCGCAGATGATTTCATGCCTTTGTTGCAATTCTACTATACGTACAATGTCCTAAAAAAAACAAAATTTATAATCTAGCTAGCATGCAAACATTATACGCTCACTCTATCTCGATTTTCCATAACAATTAACATGGATGTGAAAAGGATACATAGTACGTACATGGATCATGTCTAGAACAAAGCCTGTCGTGTTTTTTTTTTCTTCGTCTGAAGAGCTGCTTCCACTCGGGCTCACTTCAAGTCGGGCGCGGATAATGCATATCCGTTACCTTACTCATAATAGTTCGGGTTTTATCCATACCTATACCCACATATGAAACGGGTAGAAAATCAAAACCATGCCCATACCGGTTCGGGTTTCGGATATCCACGGTTATCGATGGGTAATAATTTCTCTTCATAACTCCAACCAATATGTTAACATTCACACGTATGCTCACATTACGTAAGAGGAAAAGTACGACAATAATTCACTAGAATGAAGAAAAATAATTAAAACTACACAATTTCATGAAAATATTCTATTTACATGCTAAATATAAAATATGTTAGAGAAAAATAATGATTATTTCTAGACAAAATCACAAAATACACATGCATGTGTATAATCGGGCGAGTTCGGGTTGAATAGTGAGAAACTCATGCCCACCCATTACTCATAATATTCGGGTTTGAATTTTACCCGTATCCACTAAATGTCATTCGAGTTCGAGTTTTACCCTACCCAATTAAACCGGATTCGAGCGGATATCCACAGTTACTGATATTTTCCCCATAACCTAGTTGAGGCAGAGAAAAGTGTTTAGGGAGAAAAGGTCAGCGTCATATATGGTATGAGGGAGAGAACATCTTTCCCAATGTTCTATCAAGTGTATTACAAACCCTCCTCACTTTAGTTATTGATGTGCAACGACCAGAAAGCTAGAAGGATTCACATCTCTTTACTTCAAAGTGGCAGACTTGAAAAAGGGAATCATTCACCTCAAACTACTCTGTCTATCTTTATGTCACAACAAACAAAAACCACTAATCATAGGAAATCTATTCCCTTTTTCTGAATGACGGCTCACGATTAGGTTTCATTTTGTGTTATATGAAAAGAGGTACGTAGTAGACTTGGTAGCAAAATATTCCCATTATACATAAAAGAAACCATTCGAAATGTGGGAAATGAAAAGAGAATAAAGAGCTATATTGATTGATAGAAGGATGGATCGAAAGAATAATTTTTTGTACATATACTTTTGCCCACCGTTCGATGTTGTTGGTTTTGATATTTTCCTAGCATCGTATACGTCATGGTTAACTAAATATGGGGTAAGTGGTAAAACATGCAGGTGGTACGGTATACGCTCATAGTTAGGAGTAGAGACACCGAGCATGGTCACGGGACACGGTTAAGTTTTGAGAGTGAAAAAAAAAGTATCTATATATGTCTATACTAGTACGGCTATCAAACAGACATTAAATTAAGGGCAAATACCACTACAACACCCGAACTATCCGAAAAATGCCACTTGTATCCTAAACTATTCAATATTCCATTTCTGTCCTGAACTATTATTCCGTTAGTGTTGACCGGCGTTGACCGTTAGTATTTAACAGAAAAACCAATCAGCGTTGACGTGGCATATGACATGGAATTATAAATCCAATTTTTATTTAAGAAATAATTAAAATAAAAAAATGAAAATAAAAAATCTTGGCCCTCTTTCCCCTTCCCTTCCCCATCTGTCTCTCCGGCATCTGAAAAAATCTCGGCCATCGGCCTCCTCGCCTCCATCCACCGCCCCCATTAGAACTCCCAACAATCGATTTCCCTCTCCGCAAAGAAAACCATCCCTCCTTTGTTGGCGACAGGGGAGAAATTTTCTAGAAACAAGAATCCGGGGATTCAAAGTGGCACCGAGTCTCATGGCTTGCTTCTGCCGTCGATTTGTCGGAGGAGGAGCAGCGCCGCGGCGGACCCGTCGTAGTTGAAGACTGTGTTACAAAACGGACACCATTTCTCCGCCGACAACTTCACCTACCCCTTCTGGCAGGCTACGACGCCATCTCTCGCGACTCGACAACAACACCTCCGTCTCTGGCGAGGTCAGGCATCCCTGCCACGCGAATAGCTCAAACAGAAAACAAGAATGTTTTGAAGCATAGGGGAGGCAAGCCATCGAGCAACCCCTCTCCGATCTTATTTCTTCTTCTTTGAAAGACAGGGAAGGCAAGCCATCGTCGAATTCAAGAAATCCCTAGATAACCCCAGATTTCCATGAAAAATTGTCCAATTCACCCAAAATTGAGTCCGCAGAACAGCCAGCGGTGGGGGAACTGAATTGAAAATGGAGAGATGAAGGTGTTGGGGAATTAGCTGGCGACAATATTGGTGGGATTGGAGAGGCAAAGTCAGGCGGAGGGGGATTGATCTCGCAAGGAAGAGGAAGAAGCAGAGAATGGGAGATTGGGGAGGGTGGAACCAATAATGATTTTTATTTTCTAAGAATTTGGTATTTTTTGTATTATAATTATTATAATTTAATTGTTAATTAAGTAATGACATGTTAATGATGTGGCATCTACGTGGATGTCACTTTTTTGCCACATCTGCAAAAGTCAACATCAGTTTGACTTCCGTCCAGTCAACAGTTATCTTTAACGGTCAACACAAAATGCCATGTCACAAATGTCACAAATTCATATAGTTCAGGACAGAAATGGAATATTGAATAGTTTAGGACACAAGTGGCATTTTTCGGATAGTTCGGGTGTTGTAGTGGTATTAGCCCTTAAATTAATTTAAACTCATTCCCCCCGTTAATTACTACAACCACAAAATAACAAAAATCAATTTGCTAATCCCTTCACTTTAGCCTTTGCCAAAGGAATGCAATCTCAACAATTGTTTGACTCCTAGACTCCAATTTCTCCATGCTTAAGGGACAACTATAATTAGAGAAACTATTATTTGGATTTGGTTATTGAGTTCCTACTTATTTGCACAACACCCTTCTTTTTAGTAATCTTTGGAACCTAAAATTTCTTCTCTTGATTTCCATAGAAATCAAAAGAGGATTAAATCTCACCCACATAATTACTATCATCCCTCTTTTCCCCTCTTCCCCATTGCCAATCAACTCCCACCAAACACAACGGGGGGAAAGAATTGCAAATCAAATCAAAATATTTGAATGGTAACGAGTAATCCCTTCAACTTTCTCTTACATTTCCTCTAACTTGTAAGAACATGAGATCCCATTTCATCTCCACCGTTTTTTCCTCCACAAAACTAACCTAATGGAATCCATGATTCCTACCCAACATCTCAGAAGAAGAAGCTTGTTACCCAAGGAAAGATTCTCGTGAACAATAAGGAGAACCCTCTCGCACGTACACCACAATGTCGAGAATGAGGTCTTCACGAGCCAGAAAGCAAACCCTATCGGTCCTCCCCCATCAGACACCGAGGCTCCGAGATCATTACGTGCTGGGCAAGAAACTAGGGCAGGGCCAGTTCGGGATCACGTACCTCTGCACCCACAAGACTTCCAACACGCCCTACGCTTGCAAATCGATCTCCAAGAGGAAGCTCCTCTGCAAGGAAGACTACGAGGATGTCTGGAGGGAGATCCAGATCATGCACCATTTGTCGGAGCACCCACACGTGGTGAAGATCAAAGACACGTACGAGGACTCCATGTTTGTTCATCTGGTCATGGAGCTGTGTGCCGGCGGGGAGTTGTTCGACAGGATCGTGGCCAAGGGACACTACAGCGAGAAAGAGGCGGCCAAGTTGATCAAGACGATTGTCGGGGTTGTTGAGACTTGCCACTCTCTGGGCGTGATGCATCGAGATCTTAAGCCCGAGAATTTCTTGTTTGATAACCCTAGTGATGATGCCAAGCTCAAATCCATCGATTTCGGGCTCTCCATTTTCTACAAGCCAGGTTGATTTTTTTTCTTCCCCCTCTCTCTCCTTCCCTCTCCATGGTCATAATGATCTAATTAAAATGATGCTTGAGCCACTAATTTCCTTTCTATTTTGTAGGGCAAATTTTTAATGATGTGGTTGGAAGCCCTTACTATGTTGCCCCAGAGGTTCTTCTGAAATACTATGGACCTGAAATTGATGTATGGAGTGCTGGGGTTATTCTTTACATCTTACTATGTGGAGTCCCACCTTTTTGGGCAGGTAAGTAACATTGATTAAGGTTCTTAATTATTTGTTAATCAACAATTATGTACTATAATTTACATTGTGGCCTAATGTACTTTTAAAATGTTGGCAGAAACTGAGTCAGGGATTTTCAGGCAAATTCTACATGGGAAGATAGATTTTGTTTCAGAGCCATGGCCAAGCATCTCAGACAGTGCCAAAGAGCTCATAAAAAAGATGCTTGAGAAGGACCCAAGGAAGAGGATTTCTGCCCATGAAGTCTTGTGTAATTGAACTAATTCTTTACCCCCTGCCTCAATCAATTTACTTGATTAATTATCTATTTAATCGATGCGAACTATATTGATTTCTTATTTTTAGCCTCTTTTCGATCTAAATTCTAGTTTCTTCTCCATTGTCCATTTATTAAAGCCTATCACCCTTTTATTTTCATCCACTAATTTGTTTTTGTTTTGGTCTCTGTTGTGATAACGAACAGGCGACCCGTGGATTGTGGACGATCTTGCTCCAGACAAGCCTTTAGATTCTGCTGTCTTGTCTCGCTTGAAGCAATTCTACGCCATGAACAAGCTCAAGAAGATGGCCCTACGTGTATGAGCAACCCCCTCTTTTTTCCCTTCCTTTCGTTCTAAGTTAAATCGAACCGGTCTTGCTAACTTCGCGAAATCGGTTCATCTGACAAACACGTTTTCCCCCTAATTGGACCGGTCCGGTTCCTACGAACTAACCAACCTTAACTCGAAAAACCAATTTTCCTAAACCGAATGAAGCTGATGAATCTGCAGGTGATAGCAGAGAGGATGTCTGAAGAAGAAATCGGCGGGTTGAAGGAGCTGTTCAAGATGATCGACACGGACAACAGCGGGACGATCACGTTCGAGGAGCTGAAGAGCGGGTTACAACGAGTCGGTTCGGAGCTGATGGAGTCCGAAATCAAGGCTCTAATGGAAGCTGTAAGTTGCAATGGATCATGATCTCTCACTCATCAAAGACTTTCATCAAGATTACTAGAATGTAGTTGATGATAGAATTTTTCTTCTTCTTTCTTTTTTTGTTGCTCTCCAGGCTGATATAGACAACAGTGGGACATTGGATTATGGTGAGTTTCTGGCAGCTACTCTGCACCTGAACAAGATGGAGAGAGAGGAGAACTTGGCAGCAGCTTTTGCTTACTTCGACAAAGATGGCAGCGGCTACATCACCATTGATGAGCTTCAACAGGCCTGCAAGGATTTTGGGTTGGGAGAGGATCCTTTGGAAGATATCATCAAAGAAATCGATAAAGACAATGTAAGTAGTACTACTACTTTGTGTAACGTGTTTGGAGAAATCCGACATTGTAGGAAAGTGAAGAGCGCTCGCACACACAGGATTATTTACGTTGTTCGCTAATACGATTTTTTGGGTTTTGCAGGATGGAAGAATAGATTATGAAGAGTTCACTGCGATGATGAGGCAGAGCAGTGATGGGACAGTAGGGACAGGGAGGAGCAGGTCCAGAACCGCCATGAGAAGCAGCTTGGGACTCAATTTGGCCGATGCTTTTCGAGTCAACGACTCTCCTTCACAAACTAATTGACAATCATAATTTTTTTTTCATTTTGGGTTTGCTTTTATAACTTTTTTAATTATACATTTACAAAAGAGAAAATCAAATTTTTTTTCTTGCCTTCAAGACAACTATATATATTCAATGTCAGTTGTCTTACAAAAATTGGCACATAGTGTGTAAATTGTAACATTTGGAATTGTTTTTTTTCCCCCCTATAGTCATAGATGATATCACAATACTATTGTATAAATGTACTTATGGAGAAAACTGGGAATGAATTTTCAAATTTTGTTTGTTTAAAACGAAATCGATATTTGATATTTATGGGGTCAACGGCTGGACAATTAGTTTTTCTCTAAGATTTGAATATATGGGGAGCTAAACATTTTCAGCCTAAATTTGTGTTAGTTAATGAATATTTTTAACAAAAGAGTTTATTTATTATCGAACCTTACTATAAAAAATTATTTCATGAGAAGTATAGTACAAAAAATCCTTGTAATTTTTTTTATGAATAAAATCCTTGTAATTTACAAGGTATTTTCAACTGAAACGTTAGACTGAAAGCCCAATCAGCAGGCTTTAACCCATCAATGATTGGGCCGCGCGGGCTTGGAGCTAATTACCCAAGAAATCCACTACTGCCCCAAAACGACGTAGTAGAGAAACGGATAGGAGATAATAGGATAGCGTCCTCCATTTCCCCCCTTCTTCCAAGCTTTTTTTTCTCTGCGTGCGGGCAAGAGGTGTAAAACAATGGCGTCCACCTCCTCCACACTCTTCTCCCTCTGCTCTTCCTTCAGTGCTCACTGCAAAATTTCCCCTACACCTTCCCTCTCAAAGCCACTCTCTTTCACCAAGCCCAATTTCGCGTCTTCCTTCAAGCTTCCTCAAAAGCTCGCCTTCTCGTCCTCGCCTTCCCTTCCCCAATTCGCCACTGTGCCCAAAGTCTCCGAAACCGACGCCCCCGCCGTCGCCGAGCCCGAACTTGAATCTCCCGAGCCCGCAGCGACCCAGGTTGTGGAAGTTGCTAAGGAAGAAGAGCCCAAACGCGAGGAGATTTTTGCTGTTGTTATGGTATGAAATGTATAATTGATGAAGTTAAAAAACGAATTTTTTGTTGATGGGTTCTTCAATTTGGAACTCAATTTGCTCAGGTTGGTGGGAGGCAGTATATTGTGATCCCGGGGAGGTTCCTCTATGTTCAGAGGTTGAAAGGCACAAATGTTAATGATAAGGTATTTGCTTGGATCCCCTCCACATTGCTCTCCATTTGCTCAAAACTGTTATAGTGCAACTGCAAGCTTGGGCCTTTTCAATTTTATGAGTATGCATGAATTCCCAATTTCTTTTATGTGATAATGAACAGGATGTTAAGGCAATATGTGTGATGCTTCATTTGGTTTTCCAGCTCTAGTTATCATTATTAAGGGTTGTGATTCTTACGCTTTTCGTGTTGGTGGTGTTTAGATCGCCCTAAACAAGGTGCTGCTTGTGGGAACCAAGACGACTACCTACATTGGGAAACCTGTGGTGACCAATGCTGTTGTTCATGCTGTAGTTGAAGAGCAGGTTGGTTTTTTCACTTACCTTTCTTGTTGCACAATGTGTTGGTTATCGATTTTCGCTGGTGATTTCTTATTTCACTCTCTTGATGTATGGTTGCCTACTTCAGGGATTGAATAAGAAAGTTATCGTCTTCAAGTATAAGAAGAAGAAGAACTACAGGAGAAACATTGGACACAGACAGGTACTTCTGCTTCCTTTCGTTTAGTCTTTCTTTCATGAGAAGAACACATGATAGTGCCACCATTAGGATTTTTGTTTCTCGATACTAGGTTAAAGTTTCTTCTGTGTATGAAAAAAGAAGTTTGAAAATTGATATCCAGCATTGGAGTTAAGAAGGTTGGGACCTTCAATCTGCTCATTCCTGTATACCCGATTTCTGAATCAACTTCTGAGCTTGTTGATATTGCTCACTCTCCTGGTAATGGCTTTGAAAGGTCAAACAGATGTGGATTGTTTCCTTGACCAATGTCTCATGAAAGACATGGTAAAGGGGAACGAAGAAAAATAAAGGATCATTATTGGTGTTCCCATTTCTACATTACTACCACTATTGTTATCGATTCTGCAGCATGATTGATGCTAGTCTTACTGTCGTATCAGTCATTGTCAACCTTACAATTTGATGCTTATTTCCCAGCTATTCACTCATTAATGTGTTTTGACGCCATTTTAACTTATCGCTGCAGCCAAATACAAGAATAAGAATTACAGGCATTACGGGCTTCGAAAACTACCCGGCTGTCACCCTCGACTCCATTGCAAAATCAAGTTGATAAAGACCAGTAGCTGGAAGTTCAACATGTCAAAGCATTCTTTGAAGTTCTATTTCCCTCTTTTCCCCCTCCCCTGTTGTATTACAACTCCTCTATAGGGTAGTGCTGAAGCTCAATCTGCGAATTACTGTTGTTTCAACAACAGACTGGATCCGGGTTCTTAGAGTTGTTTCGAAGCCGAACGACTGCTGCAAATTATGCTTCTATGTATGATTTTTTTGTAAGCAATAGCTGCTGCTAGGCCCATAGCTCAGTTTTCTGCTGTCCACTGTTTCAATTCAGCAGTAGACTAGAAATTTGGGTTTTATAATCTTCTTTTCGAATACCCTATTTACTCCTTATGCAAATTGCAAATCTAACTTCTAACCTTCTGTGTAATGCTAGTATGCTACTCAAACCATAGCACTGTACCAACAAGTAAATTTAATCTCCATTCTTTCATGAACGTAACTGCAATCTTTGCCCAGTATCCAATCTCACACCAATTTGATCTGATTCTCTAGACCATAGCAGAACAATCTCATCTCGGACTGGACCGAACCATTCCAACCACCCAACCTTAGCTAATCAAAGAAGCTTCAGCATCAGGCATCTCACAGCCTCTCACAGGAACAAGGGCACTAAAATGCAAATACAACAAAACTTGTACCAATTAAAACTAAAGTCTACTAATTTCTAAACTTTACTATGGACTGTTACATGGTTTCCCCAATACAACATTCTGTCAGTGCAGTATGACTATCTGAAATCTCACAACAGCTTATCTAGGAATCCAGATGAGAGATTTGATCAGTTGAGCATTACATTAAAAATGAATATAACACGGAACTTTAATAGCGGTGGAAGACATATCTACGCACTATCTTTCTGGTACTGTGTGCCATCAAAGCAGGCGAGAAGTAATCAACCCGTAAAGTATCAATGGCTTAAGATGCCTCCCAAAGACTTCCTGGTGGTGCACTAATAAATATTTGCCACCAGTTTCTGTTCTTCGTCGGAGCCCTTCCTCTTGCTTTATTCGTAAATCCGTTTTCTCTTCAAGAGAGTAGGAAAGATAATGATGGAGCCGATGATGAAGAGCATGGATAATGTTTTGAAATCGTATAGATCTTTCACCGACTTCAGATCCCCAAGGGCAAGCCCAGCCTGATAGACCATACAAAATGCAGCAGCAACAGCAGGGACGGAGAGCGCAATTAGTACTATATAATGAATAAACACAAGAACATAAAAGCACCACACACAATGGCAGTTCACACATTAAGACCTCTGATTATGGCAGGTGGCATGATCAAAACAACCACCTGGGAGGAAGTAATTCTACATCAGGTAAGACAAGACAAGCCAAGTACATTGGACCTTTTCCACGTCGTGTTTGCAGTCTCCAACAATATACAGACGACGAAAGCAGTTGAAACTGCCCATGTGTGTACATGCATGGCACTGTTCTATGACCAAGAGTTGGATAAACCGAAAACCAGCCAATCCACACAGAGATATGTGTCTACCAACAAGGCCAGAAACAGAGAAATATGTATGAAGAAACATAACAGGCACAGCTAGAGGGAATATAGGAACTCACCCTCACAGTAATATAGGATGCCGGAATGAGACCAATCAAAGTAGCCAAAAAGAAAATATGAAACGGTATGTCAACGATAGGAGATGCCAAATTGATGAATAGGTTAGGCAATGTGGGAGTTATCCTCAAGAAGAGCATGTAATTCAGTAGCTTTTCCCGACGTTTCGCTATCTGCATGATGGAATGGAAATAAGAAACTAGTACTTCATAAAAGCAGCAACATCCAAAGGAATGACATGTTATAGGTTTCTACTTATTCAATTACCTCTCCCTGAAAAAATCTCAACTTTTCAGGCCACAACCAACTAACGAGAGGACGGCCAATCAGCTTAGACAAGAAGAAGCAAGAAGATGCTCCGGCTGTTGCATTGAAAACAACCAAGAAAAGGCCCCTAATAACACCAAATAGAGCTCCAGCTAGCAATGACATGAAAATTGTTCCTGGAATCATGAAGGTCTGCATGAAGATGTAAGTCGAACAGTAGCCGAGGATGAACTGTGCAGGATGATCCTTCGCATATGTTCCAAGATGTTCTCTGACCACAAATAGATTACACACATTAAGATCTCATATCACGAAAGTTCAAAACTTCTTCCTACAAATTGCAACCAGCTATGTCTAGAAGTATGAATAACTATTCCTACACATATCGGAACGTCATTCGGCCTTATTGATCCTCAGAGTTACGGGATCCCTTAAATAGCTTCAAGCTACAAGGATCAATTGAAGCTAAATCTATAAGAAACCCATCACCCATTATTCCACCATTCAGGTTTCCCAATGCACTAGTACACCATTATTCACCTATACAACTAAAATCCAGTCACACTTCAATTCATCAAGCAAAGACCATCCCTCACTTCAATTCAATTGAGTCATCCATCAGCACTCAGCAGCAATTGCAAGCCCCATAACAACAACAAAAGAACCAACTAAAACCCAAAAACTCTTTCTGCACAACAGTAATGAAAACAGAAGGGGAGGAATTAATAGAAGGACAAGCGACGTATTACTTGAGCAAGCGGAGATCGGAGACAGTGCGAGGGATTTTGAGCTTGCCGTACTCAGCCGCAGGCATGGTCCAGTAGATGCAGAACAAACCAGTAGAGAAGACGAAGAAAACGGAAATGGCAGCAGCGAATTCCCATCTGGAAAAGGGGAACCTCTCGAACTTGGATTTCTTGCTGGAAGGTGAATCGTCCTCTTTCGCCTTCTCTTCGTCCCTCATTCCCATCCTGCTGCCTCCGCTACTCACAGTCAACCCACCACTCTCGACCACCGCAATACTCCTCGGTGCCGCCATTAATCTCGATCCATGAAAGAAATTATTCCCCCCAAAAACCCAGGAAAGAAAATGGAGAACAACTTCCGTTTACCGCAGAATTTGACCCACCTCAATCCGGGTTCGAGAGAAGAGGGAGAACCCACAAATTTTGAAGCGGAAAGAGGATTGCTTTGCTTCTGAATCTGAGAGTCGGGGAATTGGAGATGAGACTGGATCACTCAGAGCACTGAATTTATTTTTTTTCGCAAATGAGGCGAGGCAGCGGGCACGAAAAGAAAAGAATGGAACAGAAAATGAAAGTCCGGATTTATTTTCTTTTCGCTTATTAAATAATTTTTGGGGCAGCTTTTCATTAACAATTTTGTATTCAAAAGCTTTGCCTTTTTAATTTTATTGTTAGAACTTTAATTGTGATTAGCCTTTTGTGGTTAGTTGTTACATTGTTGATATTTTTCCAATTTAGTTTTGTTTAGTCAATGATTGAATGAAGGTTTGTGTTCTCAAATGTGTTTAGATGAAGGGTATTTGACGAATGATTCAATACTTTATTTGTAGTCAAATGATCGCCCACGATTTAGTTTCTTTTACATCTTGAACACTCATTAAAATGTTTATTATGTGATTGACTCGACAGTTTGATCAATCATAAATCAAAGTGTCAAAATCATTCCGATAATTGATGATTCATGGGAAATGAGTATTCGTTGAGATTTATTGGTATATTGTTTGCCGAAAACTTAGTTAATGAAAAAAGCAACCAACAGTGGTTGGTTCAATTAGATTCCAAGAGAATTAGGAATATGCTTAATTGAGAGATGAAGAAACTTGCAGAATCAAAATCGAACCAAACTACAAACTAGCAAGGATCCAAAAACACATTACAAATGCCAAAACAAGGGCTAAATTACATGTTTGGTCACTCAAATTATATAAATCTTTCACGTTTGCCACCCAAATTACTTTTCTTTCTTATTGGCTACTAACTTTACGAATCGTTTCACCGTTAGTCACTGGCCGTCAGTCTCCGTTAGACTCCATTAACACCGTTAATTTTTTGATGACGTGGCAAACGGAACTGCTGACTTGGACGTTAACTAATGACATGTCAATTTAAAAACAAATTAAAAGCAAAAACACAAAAACAAAAAGCTTCTTCGATTCCTATAGCCTCTGCAATTCCTCCATCTCCTTCTCATTCAAACAATCGACCGGAATGCGATTCTCCCTCCATCGCAAATACTAACACCCAAATCCATCTGGGAAGCAAATGCTTCACATCGGCTAGAAGAAGACTCGTCGATTCTCAACGATTGGGAATCCTCGTCTTCTCCGCTAGTTCAAATGCCAGATCCTCACATATTTGAAGATGATTCCGACAGATTCAAGTGAGATTCTTATTTCCGACAAGGTAATGCCGGGGATTAGGAGCCGGCGAGGGGACCAGGTCGTGTGAGTCAGCGGCTTCTCGAACATCCCTTCATTTTATATCCGCATCATTCCTCCTTCCGCGTTCGATTCGTGGTCTGCCGTGGCGTGGGACGAGTTGCGGTTGATATTGAAATTGAGGCCGGCGGAGGAAGGGGATGGATTTTGGTTGTGGGTGAGGGAGACCCAATTGCGGACATGGTGGGGCACCGCCGTCGGCCTATTGGAAGTGAGGGATTGTAGTTTGGACGAAGAATGGAAGAGTTAAAGGAAGATGAAGCGTCTGGGATAGTTGGGTTTGGGTCCAGTTTTTGCCACCACATCTGTTGTTGTTCGAATGGGATTTGGTGGTAGAAATGGTTTATGGACATTTGGGAAGCTAGAACAGGGGAGAGTGAGACAGAGAGGTAGAAGAAGAAGAAAAGAGGAAGGAAGAGGGGGGTAAAAGAAGTTTGGGAGAGGAGGGGAAAGGGGATAAGGGAGAACTGATGATTTATGCGGAGGAGGCTGTAGGGTGGGGAGGAAGGAAATCATTTGATGAAGATAGACAAACAAAGATAGAAAGAAGATGTAGATACTCGACTGGTTGAAGCCCAGGGCGGAAGTAACTCACGAGAGGATGGGGCATTGTTTATTTTTCATTTTATTTTTTAATTTAAAAAATTGACATGTCATTAAGTTAATGGTACAGTCAGCAGTTCCGTTTGCCACGTCATCAAAAAACTAACGGAGTTAACGGAGACTAACGGTCGGTGATTAATGGTGAAACGATTCGTAAAGTTAGTGGCCAATATGAAAGAAAAGTGATTCAGGTGGCAAACATGAAAGATTTATATAATTTGAGTGACCAAATGTGTAATTTAGCTCCAAAACAAGTGTTATTTGGGCCTGCGGCCATGAGTTTCGGGCTGGCGGATCCTTTGAGATGTGTCATGTGTTTTGAGTGTTTGGGCCTGCAGTTAACAAATCTCCTTTGATCCACACAAAGGCGGATCTCAAATCTCGAGGTCACAGAATGAGGTTTCATCACTTCGGTTCAAAATCGTAGCTCTATTTAGTACGATACTGTCTACTTTGAACCAAATTCTAACAGAAAAGATTTCATACTTGGCTAGGTGTACACTTATCTATAAGAATCATTTCACGTGTATTTCCGAAGTACTGGGATTGTACGATCACCCGGAGTTTCAGCACACAGTAAAACATTGGACCACGTTTGAATAGAAAATTAGATCTCGACTAGCACTGGACCGAAAGAGGCGCAAAAGACTAAGAACAAAAATCTATTGTACTAGCTCCGAACTCGGAAGAAAGCGGAGTCGTGCCCTGAAGAGGCCTCCCCCCTAAATCCGCCATTGTCTACAATAAGAATATGAGAGAGTCAATGGTTTCGAAGGTGACTTTCTTAATTAATCTGCAAGTACCCTAAAAAGGGAACCGAAAGAAGCTGCTATCATGAACCAAAGCTACAGCATCATCTATCCCCCATGGAAGTTTATCAATGATGGCCAACTAGTTGACATATCAGTTGACATTCATATACAAAACCCTAAACCCTAAAAAAAGGTCAGCAGACCTGTCCTATAGAAACTCAACAGGCCATGATCAGTAACCATCACTCTGCCATCATCTTGAAAAGGCAAAAACATGACTCCTACTGTTAGAAAAGGGACGTGACAGGCGACGATGATCATTTGGTGGCCAGTCGGTTTGCAGGCCGGCCAGCCGGCCGGCACGGCAAAAAACCAACCTTTTTCCAGATTTTAAAGCTTCTAATACGAATATCTCTGTTGTAAATGCCGATTCTTTACTGACAAATGGCTAATATTCTTTTCCCAATCTAACCAACCCTGCATTTGTCTCTTCTTCTGGTGCAAACTATAAAGGTACCCGGCCTGCAACATCGGTTCAGTTACTCTGCTGCATGCATTTCCCAGAGAGGCAGCAGCAACAAAATGGGGTTTTGCAGCTTTTACATGATTCTGCTAGCTGTTCTACCCACTGCGGCATTTTTACAAACAGGTAGCGTTCAATGTTTCATTCATCTCTAGCTAGTACTGCTCCTACCCAACGATTTGTTTCTGATGGAAGGATTTGTAACTGCAGCTGCTTATGATCCGATGGACCCACATGGAAGAATAGATGTCAAGTGGGATGTCATGTCTTGGACCCCTGATGGCTATGTGGTGAGTAGCATTACTCTGTTCTCCTAGATGTCTGTTTTCTTCTACAACTACAATTGTTCTCTGTTCTTTTGTCCTGTTTCATATAGATTCTAGGGGAAATAAAAGATATATATAGTTTGGTAATAATGTATTAGAAACCCTACCATATCGATTAGTCAGATCGGGAATACCGGATATCAGACTCTATAAGTAGGCAGTTTTAACTATACAAAACGGTTGATCAAAGTTGAGCCACAATTTTAGTACAAACTACTAAATCACAAACTTTTTCGGTATAACTTCTGGTATGGTTTCACAATCATTGTTTTATAATCGCTTGGTAATTCACTCATTTGTATTCAGCGGTATTCTTCTTAAATAGCATAACTCATTCTTTCGTGGCTGGGGGTGTACAAAACGGTCCGGTGACCGGACCTGACCAAATTCACTAGAATTGCGGTCCAATAGTAAAAGACATCCCAGAGTCGAGGACCAGACCAACATTGCATTGGCTTCAATCTGACTATGCTGGGTTCGATCCAAATGCCAATTCGATTCATTTTTCTTCTATATTTATAAAATTCATTTACCCAAGTACCGAACCAGACTATATTTGATTTGGTATGGTCCTGTGCGGTCCGGTATAGACCAAACAGTTGCACACCAGCCATTCACACTAGAAGAACAAGAATCACGTAAAATAGCATGCAATCTCTTCTTCGTTTATCGATTGTCTCCTTCCGTTACGACACTCGCAAACATTCCAGAAACAGAGCATCCCAGAAACCGGAAAAACAAATTGAGTATGAAAACCTCGAATTATTAGGACAAACTTTTTCTCGATCACTATTCTGCTATCAAAACATACTACCTCTATTGACGACCTGGATTTTTTTTTCTTCCTGATCGCAGGCAGTGGTGACAATGACGAACATGCAAACCTACCGCCACATAGAATCCCCTGGTTGGACACTGGGATGGAAATGGGCCAAGAAAGAGGTAATCTGGTCAGTTCTAGGCGCCCAAGCTTCAGATCAGGGAGACTGTTCAAGCTTCAAAGAAAACCTCCCCCACAGCTGCAAGAAAAACCCATCCATCATCGATCTCCTCCCTAACGCCCCTTTCAATCAGCAGTTCAGTCAATGCTGTAAAGGCGGAGTCTTGGCATCTCAGGGACAGGACCCTGCAGCTGCTGTCTCGTCGTTTCAGATCAGCATCGGACGTTCTGGCACTTCGAAGAAGACGATCAGCTTGCCGCAGGATTTCTACTTGTTGGGGTCCGGCCCTGGCTACACCTGCACTGCTGCCGCCGTCGTCTCGCCTTCGGCTTTCTACTTGGGTGATGGGCGGCGGCGATCTCAGGCTCTCAGTGAGTTCATGCTCTCATCTCTCCATTGTGTCAAATAACCTATTGGTCCGAGTAATTCGAGTTGTCGAGGGAGAAGTTCGGTAATGGATCTTATGTCACGTACTAACACTCCCTCCTCAAATGAAAGTCATTTATGTAGGCGTGAAATTTGCACAGACACCCACCAGACACCATATGCTTACCGATAGGAATACTAGAATTCGAATAGAAGACCTCTTGGGTACAAAAGAATCTTATACCATATCAAGAACTAGTTGGTCCCAACAATTCGAGTTATCTGGACTAGCTAACTGGTTCTTGGCATGGTATCAGAGTCTTCTGTGATTGA